ACCCTGCCTTTGCTGCTTCAGCAGCCAGGAGTTAGGAGTCACTTGTGCTGTCACAGTGTGACTGGGGAGTTCCCAGTTCCAAAAGCATTTAAACCCCTTTTTTCACCTTTTCCTAAGAAGTAGAACCAGTTAAGTGGAGAGTTAATAAAAGCTTCCATCAGAACAATGTCTTTTGTTCCCTTTTAGCTTTGATCTTGGTTAGCAGAAGCTCAAAGGCTTTCAGTTGAGCTGACTGTGCTGTTGGTGGAGCCAGTCCGAGCTCTGCTTTGTGCCGTGAGGACAAACCCAAGACATTTGCACATAGCAGCGGATCACAACAGCAGTCAAGCCAAAAGAGCAGCTCCTGTCTCCTGTAGCAGCCCGGCTGGGGCAGGGCTTGGGACACATCCCGGGTTCTGCCACCCACTGGGAGATGGGATTGTGCTGAAAGGGGACCTGGAGAATATGGCTCTGGAGGCAAATGAATGCAATGCTTGTACCAGTGACTGTGGCATAAAATATCAGGTGATGGCCTGAGCTTAGCAACAGGCAGGGAGCTGGTGGAGGGCTGGGACAACGTCCAGGGCACTGGTGACATTGAGGCTGAACTAAGTCATGGGAGGAAATGGAACAGTACAAAATGCAAAGTCATGCCCTGGGGACGCTGAACAAACATTTATGCCGTGAATTAGGCCCCTGATTTGGAAGTGAGTAGAGGGGAAAAGGCCTGCGTGTGTTCAGCAGCTCAGGATGCTGCTGTAGATGGCAGCCACAGAAATGTGGCGCCTTCTTAATCTGCTGGGATGTGTTTCTCAGGGGGGAGATGGTGCCAGGATTGTATTTACAGACCATGCACCAGCCACGCTAAAAGCCAGGTTTAGTCTTAGAGAAGGTGCAGAGAAGAGCGACTGAGGGCATGTGGAGGGGAGCTGAGAGCACCCTAGATGGAGAGCCCCGCAAAGCAGGTGCGGAGGGGAGATAAGGCTGCCCGGGGAGGGTTATCAGCACAGAACAGGGGAGCAGCAGCAGATCTGCTGGAGCTGATGGGTGCGTTTTGCATAGAAGGAGATTGGTCTGAGCTGGCCGAGAGCTGGGAGGATGCTTCAGCTGCTGCAGGAGCAGCGTGGGACGAGCTCCTGGCGCAGAGGAGCAGGGACCCTGCCCGTGCTGCGGGAAGGTGGAAGCTGCTGCCCTGCGAGCACCCTGCCGGCCCCACCAGCTTTGTTCTTGTGGGTGAAGTGCTCCAGCTGGGTACAAGGCCTGGCTGGCCCTGGGTCCCTCACTGAGGGCACTGTCATGGGGCCATAGCCCCAAAGTCTGGGCTCTGCTCCCAAGGAACAAGGGATGGGACAAGAGGAACCGGCCTCAAGCTGCACCAGGGCAGGTTTAGATGGAGCTGAGGAACAATTCCTGCCCCAGAGGGTGCTCAGGCATTGGAACAGGCTGCCCGGGGCAGGGCTGCAGGCACCATCCCTGCGAGTGCTCACACACCCTGGAGACGAGGCCTCAGTGCCATGGGTTAGTGGTGGCCTTGGCAGGGGTGGGCAATGGTTGGACGGGATGATCCTGAGGGTCTTTCCCAACCCGTTGGTTCCACGATCCCATGATTCTCCCAACCTATCTTCTCTCATGACAGCAAGAAGTTCCTCAGCGCGTCCACTGAGGAGCAATGTTCCCGCAGGAACCAGCGCAGGCACCAGCCCGCCCCGCGCTCCGCTGCCCGTTCGGAGCTGTGCGCCGGCAGCCAGCTCATCGCTATGCAGATGTATGCGGCTTTCCCCTCACCCTGCCCCATTTTCTTTCAGCTTCTCTTTTGGATATTCAGCAGTTCCTGCGGGACTGAGAGCTGAGTCCTGGGAACCGTCTGGAACCTTCCAGCCCTGGGCAGGCTGGGGCTGGAACCGGCTCATCGCAGGAGCCTCATCACCCACAGACCATCCCCTGCTGCCCCCGTCCACCCCACAGCCTGGTGCCAACCCCCTCCGAGAAGCACGAACATGGAGGGGGCCGGACCTTGTGTACGTCCAACTGCAACCTGGCACCAGGCAACAGCAAGGGTGCAGGAACCAGAGCGGGAGCACAGCAACTGCTGCCAGCACTGAAAGGAACTGGGGCAGGCTGGAGAGGTGGGAACCTCCTGGGGCTCAACCAGGCCAAGGGCAAGGTCCTGCCCCTGGGTCGGGGCAACCCCAGCACTGACGCAGGCTGGGGGAGAGGGGCTGGAGCCTGAGGAGCAGGACTTGGGGTGCTGGGGGGTGGGGGGTGGGATAAGCTCCCCAGGACCCAGCTTCAGTGAGCACTGGAGCCCAGAACCTCCCGTGTGCTGGGTGCAGCCCAGAGCGTGAGCAGCAGCTCAGGGACACAAAATCACACACAGAGAGCAGGTAACAGGGACACACACAGAGGGCAGGTAACAGGGATGCACACACACACACAGAGCAGGTAACAGGGATGCACACACACACACACAGAGCAGGTAACAGGGATGCACACACACAGAGCAGGTAACAGGGATGCACACAGAGCAGGTAACAGGGATGCACACACACACACACAGAGCAGGTAACAGGGATGCACACACACACACAGAGCAGGTAACGGATGCACACACACAGAGCAGGTAACAGGGATGCACACACACAGAGCAGGTAACAGGGATGCACACACACACACACAGAGCAGGTAACAGGGATGCACACACACACACACAGAGCAGGTAACAGGGATGCACACACACACACAGAGCAGGTAACAGGGATGCACACACACACACACAGAGCAGGTAACAGGGATGCACACACACACACACAGAGCAGGTAACAGGGATGCACACACACAGAGCAGGTAACAGGGATGCACACAGAGCAGGTAACAGGGATGCACACACACACACAGAGAGCAGGTAACAGGGATGCACACACACACACAGAGCAGGTAACGGATGCACACACACAGAGCAGGTAACAGGGATGCACACACACAGAGCAGGTAACAGGGATGCACACACACAGAGCAGGTAACAGGGATGCACACACACACACACAGAGCAGGTAACAGGGATGCACACACACACACACAGAGCAGGTAACAGGGATGCACACACACACACACAGAGCAGGTAACAGGGATGCACACACACACACACACAGAGCAGGTAACAGGGATGCACACACACAGAGCAGGTAACAGGGATGCACACACACACACACAGAGCAGGTAACAGGGATGCACACACACACACACAGAGCAGGTAACAGGGATGCACACACACACACACAGAGCAGGTAACAGGGATGCACACACACACACACACAGAGCAGGTAACAGGGATGCACACACGCACACACAGAGCAGGTAACAGGGATGCACACACACACAGAGCAGGTAACAGGGATGCACACACACACAGAGCAGGTAACAGGGACGCACACACACACACACAGAGCAGGTAACAGGGATGCACACACACACACACAGAGCAGGTAACAGGGATGCACACACACACACACAGAGCAGGTAACAGGGATGCACACACACAGAGCAGGTAAGAGGGATGCACACACACACACACAGAGCAGGTAACAGGGATGCACACACACAGAGCAGGTAACAGGGATGCACACACACACAGAGCAGGTAACAGGGATGCACACACACACACAGAGCAGGTAACAGGGATGCACACACACACACACAGAGCAGGTAACAGGGATGCACACACACACACAGAGAGCAGGTAACAGGGATGCACACACACACACAGAGCAGGTAACAGGGATGCACACACACACACACACAGAGCAGGTAACAGGGATGCACACACAGAGCAGGTAAGAGGGATGCACACACACACAGAGCAGGTAACAGGGATGCACACACACAGAGCAGGTAACAGGGATGCACACACACACAGAGCAGGTAACAGGGATGCACACACACAGAGCAGGTAAGAGGGTTGCACACACACACACAGAGCAGGTAAGAGGGATGCACACACACACACACAGAACAGGTAATGGGGACGGACCCACGCAGGCACCCCTCAGGCTGTGCCGTGTGTCCCCCTCACCATTCCCCACAGCACATGGATTGCTGCTGCATGACTGTGGCGGTACGTGGCTCTGCAGAACCTGTGTGTGCAGCCTGGTGCACGCATTGCATGGCACATGTGTGCACAGCCCTGCAACACACGCCTATGTGGCACACGTGTGGCCACACAGCATGGTTCTACAGCACATACATGCACAGTGCTGTGGTGTGCACCCCTGTGCACGTGGTACTGTGCATGCATGCAGGGGCATGGGAAGGGACCCATGTTTGCCCCCCAGTGCACTGACCATGGGGTGTTCCATGGGTGCTTCTCCCCTTGTGATGGGCAGTGACCCTTATAGGCACCGGTACTGGCGTCCCCTGGTGCATGCAGAGCCGTCCTGCCCTGCCTGAGGTGTCCCCTCTCCCATGGGTGCCCTGCACAAAGCAGCGTCCCAGCGCCGGGGTGTTGGAGCGCTGGCAGAATCCCTATTCCTCACATGCAGGGCCCCACGCACCCCCCAGCTTGCAGCACAGCCTGAAGACAGGTCAGGGCTGAGCATCCCGCGGGCATGTGCAGCCACGCGTGCTGTTCCCTACAGCTCTTGAGGTCGCTGGGGACCTGAGCTGCCCCGAGCAGAGGTTTTGAGTCCCTCTCCTGGGGCTGCAGTGGTGCTGCCACAGCTCCTGCACTGGGCTTGCTGCCTCACCCTGGCACTCGCCGTCGCAACTAGCTTGGTGCTGGCCCCGCATTACGCTGTGCCTGTGTGTGCCCTAGAGAAAGCAGCAGCCACCAGCCTGGACCCTCCCCAGGAGCTTTCCGAGAAGCTCTGCTGCGCAAAAGAAATGCAGGCACGCAGCAGTTGGGACAGCAGCAAGTTTAACTGGGTGCCACCGGTCCACACACAGGCCTGTCACCTCTTCCCTGCCCATCACTGAGTTACGGGAGAGGAAACCCTCGGGATGAAGCTTGTGCCTCCTCTGGGGTGGTGTCAGGGGTCCTGGCGGTGCCTCGCCTGGCGCTGAGGGCCTGTGATGACGGTGGTGGTGATGGTGATCTTGTTCACTGTCAGCCCGCCTGTGCCGTAACTGTCCAGATGTGCCTCGCGCTTGTACTCGGAGACTTGCTTGGTGGAGAGGAGGTCCCACACAGAAACCCTCTGCTCCTGGAGGGGCCCACAGGTGATGTAGGAGCCCTCAGACTGCAGGAGGTCCACTGTCTGCTGGGGAAGGGTTATGAGATGGCTTCCCTTGCTGTCTGTCACCACGCTGCTGGCGGTGCTCAGCAGGTCCTGAATGGTGACTGTCCCGGCACGGTACAGCTCCAGCAGCTGCTGCCTTTTCTCCTCAGGGATGCAGCCGGAGAAGAGCAGGTCCCACACTGAGACCTTGTGGCCCCGGTACTCTCCAACATCCAAGTCAACCACTGTGGTTTTCAAGGCTGTTTCCCATGGTTCTTCTTTGGTGGAGTCACCATCCTTCCCTCCTGCTGCTGTCACGGTGTCCTTGTTGGACGCCTTGACTGCAACATGGAATTTCCTGCCTGTAGATTCCTTTTTCTTGACAAGCGTGGTGACAACAGCTATTAACTGCTCCAAGGGCAATGTCCCGGCACGGTACAGCTCCAGCAGCTCCTGCCTTTTCTCCTTGGGGATGCAGTCGGAGAAGAGCAGGTCCCACACTGAGACCTGCCCCCCCTCGAAATCATCCTCTGACACCTCAACTGTGGTGGTCCTCAGGGTCTCTTCCCAGGCCCTGTCCTCCTGCAGCTCAGTGTGCTCTGCTCCTGCAGCCGTCGACTCTGCCCTGGAGCTGCTCTCCTTTGCCCTTGCTGCTTCTGCCTTTGACACAATAGTGCTCACCACGGTCTTCACCTGATCAAGGGTTAACTCCCCGGCCTGGTACAGCTCCAGGAGCTCCTTCCTATTCTCCTCAGGGATATACTTGGAGTGCAGCAGGTCCCACACTGAAACCTTGTGGCCCCGGTACTCTCCAACATCCAAGTCAACCACTGTGGTTTTCAAGGCTGTTTCCCATGGTTCTTCTTTGGTGGAGTCACCATCCTTCTCTCCTGCTGCTGTCACGGTGTCCTTGTTGGACACCTTGACTGCAACATGGAATTTCCTGCCTGTAGATTCCTTTTTCTTGACAAGCGTGGTGACAACAGCTATTAACTGCTCCAAGGGCAATGTCCCGGCACGGTACAGCTCCAGCAGCTCCTGCCTTTTCTCCTTGGGGATGCAGTCGGAGAAGAGCAGGTCCCACACTGAGACCTGCCCCCCCTCGAAATCATCCTCTGACACCTCAACTGTGGTGGTCCTCAGGGTCTCTTCCCAGGCTCTGTCCTCCTGCAGCTCATTGTGATCTGCTCCTGCAGCCATCGACTCTGCCCTGGAGCTGCTCTCCTTTGCCCTTGCTGCTTCTGCCTTTGACACAATAGTGCTCACCACGGTTTTCACCTGATCAAGGGTTAACTCCCCGGCCTGGTACAGCTCCAGGAGCTCCTTCCTGTTCTCCTCAGGGATATACTTGGAGTGCAGCAGGTCCCACACTGAGACCTTGTGGCCCCGGTACTCTCCAACATCCAAGTCAACCACTGTGGTTTTCAAGGCTGTTTCCCATGGTTCTTCTTTGGTGGAGTCACCATCCTTCTCTCTTGCTGCTGTCATGGTGTCCTTGTTGGACGCCTTGACTGCAACATGGAATTTCCTGCCTGTAGATTCCTTTTTCTTAATGACAGTGGTGACAACAGTTATCATCTGCTCCAGAGTTAACAGCCTTTCATGGTACAGCTCCAGCAGTTCCTGCGTTTTCTCCTCAGGGATGTAGTCAGAGAAAAGCAGGTCCCACACAGACACCCGCCTCCCCTGCGAGTCGCCAGCTAGCACTTCAATGGTGGTGGACTTCAAGGTGTTATCTAGTCGTGCATATTGTGTTGAAGAATCACCTCCATCCTCCTCCGCTTTTGTCACTGCCCTGTGCGGACCTCTGGCACTGGCCCTGAGTGCGGCATTTGCAGCTGCAGTTCTGTTTATGATGGTGGTGACCACCGTGGCCACTTGTTCTGTGGTCAGTATCCCTGCTCTGTACAGCTCCAGCAGCTCCTGCCGCCTCCCTTGGGGGATGTGTCTGGAAAAGAGCAGATCCAGCAAGGAAACCTTTTGCCCCTGGAATTCACCAGCAGTGACATAGATGGTTGCAGACTTCAGGGACTTTCTCAACTGTTGCTCTTGGGAGTGCATGTCCTGAACTGGTCGTGATGGGTGTGATGCTCCCACCTTGGTGTTGGCTGTAACTGTGGATGAGCTCAAATGCCCATTTTTCATTCCTGCCCCAGTGATGATGGTGGTGAGGAGGGTGCTCATCTCCGGGATGGTGACAGTCCCTGCCTTGTACTTCCTCAGGAGCTCCTCTCTCTGGTGCTCGGACACGTAGCGGGAGAAAAGGAGCTCCCAGAGGCTGACGCTCTGGCCCTGGAAGAGCCCCACGCTGAGCGTGGTGCGGGTGGCCTGCAGGGCTTTCCGAGCATCCTTGCTGAGCTGATGGACCACAGAGCCCTTGTTCATCACGTGGAGCATCGGCAGCCCCGTGTCCGGGTCGGGCACACAGCAGCGCAGGAGCTGCATGTAGGTGAGGTTCTCGTGGGTGTTGGGGTCAAAGCAACTTCTTATCTGGTTCTTGGGGTTAGAAAGGAACCGGCACATCTCCTCGTCGAAGTACCCGCGCTTGTGGGCCACTTCCACCGGGATGCGGTCACTGTGCACGGGGTCAATAATGCCGCCGGTGGCTATCTGGGCCTCGAGCAGGCGGACAGCATGCTCCTTCACAATGAACTCTTTCTTCATGGCCTGGAAGAGGGAGATGTGGTGGCCTGTGTATGGCTCTGTGTAGCCTGTGACAGCTCCCTCGGCTGATAGCAGCTTCTCATAGAAGTCTCTGCCGATGAGTCCCGCCGTCAGCGCCTCTTCCACAGACAGCTTCTGGTTCCTCACAGGGTCGGTGAGGAGCCCTGAAGCAGCCTGTGCCTCCAGCAGCACCAGGGCTGTGCCAGGCGTCAGCAACCCCCTTATCATGGCATCATAGATACTCATCTTCTTACTCATGGCCTGGAGGAAGACTCCAGCTATGAAGTTACTCCCACCAACACCCATCTCTTTGTGTTCATCCTCAACCAGGTTACTTCCCATGTCAGTTGACTTATTGTTCTGAGAGGATCCACTCATCTTCTGCGTTGTCTCTGGGGAACAGTACTGCTACCGTGGGCACCGTGTTTGTCTGGGGAGAGAGAAAGAAATGTCTTGGTGAGACAGAGGTTCTTGTGAATAGAGGTTCTTGTGCAGTTTTCATGGTGTGTGTAAATCACAGAATCCCAGGCTGGTTTGTGTTGGAAGGGACCATCCAGTCCCAGCCCCCTGCCAAGGGCAGGGACCCCTTCCACTGGAGCAGGATGCTCCAAGCCCCTGTGTCCAACCTGGCCTTGAGCACTGCCAGGGATGGGGCAGCCACAGCTTCTCTGGGCACCCTGTGCCAGCGCCTCAGCACCCTCACAGGGAAGAGCTTCTGCCTAAGAGCTCAGCTCAGTCTCCCTTCTGGCAGGTAAAAGCCATTCCCCTTGGCCTGTCCCTTCAGGCCCTTGTCCCAGGCCCCCCTCCAGGCTCCCTGCAGCCCCTTTAGGCACTGGAGCTGCTCTAAGGTCTCCCCTTCACGCAGCACAGGGGCAGGATCCCCTCCCTGAACTGCTGCTCACACTCTGGGGGTGCAGCCCAGCACATAGTGGGGCTCTGGCTCATCACAGCCCATGTGTGCTGGGTCTCTGCTTGTTCTAAGGCCATTGGGTTGTCAGAGCCTCCAGCCCCATCCTGTTACACTCCTCTGTCCACCAAAACAGGTGGACCTATAGGGATGCTGGAGAGGGACTCTTCATTAGAGACTGTAGTGACAGAACAAGAGGTAATGGGTTAAAACTTAAACAGGGGAAGTTTAGGTTGGATATAAGGAGGAAATTCTTTCCTGTTAGGGTGGTGAGGCACTGGAATGGGTTGCCCAGGAAGGTTGTGAATGCTCCATCCCTGGCAGTGTTCAACGCCAGGTTGGACGAGGCCTTGGGTGATATGATTTAACGTAAGGTGTCCCTGCCCATGGCAGGGGGGTTGGATCTAGATGATCTTAAGGTCCTTTCCGACCCTAACGATTCTATGATTCTAAAACTGGGGTCTACTGCTGTAGATGTGCTGGCACCAGTCCTGCCACATGCTGTCCTCTGGACTGTGCATGGCACTGTCCATGAGAGGGCTCATGGTGCCAGACACCATCCCAGGATGATCCTAACCAGTTCCAGCAACTGAGGATGAGGCAGAGTCACTGGGAAGGTTTGCCTGACCCAGTGCTCTCTCCAGATATTTAGGGAAACAGGAGCAGGGTGTTTGGGATGCTCTGGCTGAGCCCTCTGGCACACGGTCCTCTGTGTCAGGTCAGGGCTCGCCCTGGGCTGCCTGTGGCCACCACAGGCTGCCCTGCAGGGACCCAGCCCCCATGGGTTCGGTGGCACCGGGCCTGTGGCTTAACCACACTTTGCAGGTAAAGTGTTTCCCAGGAGCTCCTGTGCCGCGGGACGGGAGGAGCAGTCACTCTTTGCTATGAGCTAATTGCCGTGTGGGTAAATGGTGGCTTAAATGAGATATATTTAAGTGAAGATTAGCGAACGGGTGCCTCAAGGAGCTTTGAGTGCTCTCTCCCATCCAGGCATGGGCTTCGCGTGAGTGTGACCAGCAATGGTAAATCCTGTGGGCACCCTCACCCATGGAAATGCAGCATCCCTCAACCACTGCCCCAGTTGCCTGTCTGAGATGTTCCAGGGGGAAACAACTGTGCCCTGGAGCAGCCACCGGAGGAGCCACCCAGAGTCAGGCAAAGGTCTGTGGCGACAGTCTTCTTTCCACCCTGAGCCATAAGCAGACAGTGGAAGGATGAAGAGGGGAGGCAACATGTGAGATATTTCCCCAGTTTCTAAGTCAACCTTTGACTGTTTTCAGGTCAGGGGATTCCACTGAGCTGGACCTGGACATGTGTCCTCCTTGAGGGATGTCTCACATGCTGTCAGTCTCTTTGGAGCATGTAAACTTTCAGCATCTACAGCATTGCAGGGTGATGAGGCCAGCGCCTTGTGAAAACAGCCAAATCGAAACCCAAACCATTCCCTTGGGAACACCCATCTCCCATAACCTGCAGTGAGTGACAGTAATGACACGTTCAGCTCATTATGAGGGTCACAGCTTTAGCTCTGCCTCTTCGCCTGACTGGTCTGAAAGTCTCTGAGTCAGTGCTTCTGAGCCATTTAAATATTGGATTGATGCTGGTTGCTCACGATGGGCAGAGGCTCATCCCAGCAGCTACAGACAAGCCCCAGCCTCTTTGGAGACCATGACCGTGACTTCAGGCTCTCTATAGCCAGCGGCTCTGCTCCACCAGCCCAAGGGGGCAGCTCTTCTTCCCATCCCTGCCTGCCCCCCCAGATGCAGCTGAGCCCTTCAGGAGGTGATGGGCCGGTGGCACTGGGACGGGACGAGCTGAGTGCTGTGTCACACCCCGGAGCAGGCAACACCCATGTAGGACATGGATGTCGTGTAAACACCCTATAAGAGCAAAGACATTGCCCAACTGCGAGCTGTCATTAGCTGGTCTCTAATCAGACCTCCTGGTGCTGGGGCTTGGCTGCAGCTCCTGGGGCAGGACCTGGTTGTCCTTTCATGCTGTCACAGCAGCCCAGCCCTAATGGAAGCATTTTTCCGGCTGGAGGGAGCAGGGCTGCCGGCCAAGCCGTAGTCCCCAGCCCCGCTGCATGCTGGGGGGGAACTGGTGCTGTCCCCCTGTCTCAGTGCTCGGCTCCAGCCCAGACCCACCACAGGCCGGCATTTTCTGTCTCAGGAGCCTGCGGGCTTGGGCAGGTCCCTCAACTCTGGCTGCTTCCCTCCCACATCCCAGTGTCCCGTCTGCTCAGAAGTGATGAGGACACAGCTCCATCCAGCCCCGGTGCCACTCTGACACTCTGCCCCTTCTTGGAAAGTCCTGCCTGGAGACCTCATGCTCACCAGACCACTGCTGAGCTGCCCTCTGAACATTGGGTTTTGGGGTGGATGCAAGGTCCCTGCATTCCCTACAGACCCCTGATACCTGCAGGCAGGGTGCCATGCCAAAGTGGGGCTCTGGGGTGGCCCTGGTGCCCACTTCAGGCTCTGTCCTACCTGCTGGACATGTATCCAGGGCAGCTGAATCCCCAGCAGGCTCTGGTACTCCTCCTCCTCCTCCTCTTCTTCCTCCTCCTGCTGCTGCCGCTCAGCCAGGGTGAGCAGCCCAGGCAAGAGCCCAATTTAAATCCTTCCCTTCCCCGCCCTTGGAGATGACAAGGTGACCCTGCCCTGTGCTGAAGTGCAGAAGCACAAGTGACAGTCAGACATCTGGCAGGACAGTGCCACAGCAGCCCCAGGAGCCTGGCTCGGGTGGTAGGGACTGGGGCTGGGGGGCAGCCACCGGCCCTGGAGACATGGGCCATGATCCTTACTGGAGCCTGGAACAGAGACGGCTGTGGAGAGAGCAGATGCATGGTGAGCTCCTGGACTCTGCCATCACCTTCTTCTGGCAGCTGCTCAGCACAACTGCTTGTGGAGCACCCTGCCTGTGGTTCGTCTGCCACGGAGCCCTCCATGGACCTGGCTTGTTCCGTCTGCCCTTCTAGAATCAAGGAATCAACTGGGGTGTAAAAGACCTTCAAGATCATCAAGTCCAGCCTTTACACCAGCACTGCCAAGGCCACCGCTGCCCCATGGCACTGAGGCCTTGTCTCCACACTGTGTGAGCACTTGCAGGGATGGTGCCTGCAGCCCTGCCCCAGGCAGCCTGTTCCAATGCCTGAGCACCCTCTGGGGCAGGAATTGTTCCTCAGCTCCATCTAAACCTGCCCTGGTGCAGCTGGAGGCTGGCTCCTCTCGTCCCATCCCTTGTTCCTTGGGAGCAGAGCCCAGCCCCTCCTGGCTCCATCCTCCTCTCAGGCACTTGGAGGGAGCCATCAGGTCCCCCCTGAGCCTTCTCTTCTCCAGACTAAATAACTGCAGCCAAGTTCCTTCGTTGGGGCGAGGAACTGCAGCCATGGCCCTGCAGCTGTCCCTGCTCTGCAGCCAGGACAGAGACTGATCCTGTTGCTCGCTCTGGCTATGCTCATGACCATGAAGATCCCAGGGCTGTGGTGGCTGTGTTCATGGTGTGTGGAGTGGGTGGTCAGTGCTGCTGGATGAAGCAGCCCCAGGATGGAAACCTTTTATGCTTCTGACGAGCCCCATGCTGCAACCTGCGTCTGCACAGAAGCTTTGGGCACAAGGTGACCAAATCCCTGCTGAGGACTGGAGGGGAGAGATGGGATCCAGAAAGACCTGGGCAGGCTGGAGAGGTGAGACCCTGTGAAGAAGCTCTTCCCTGTGAGGGTGCTGAGGCGCTGGCACAGGGTGCCCAGAGAAGCTGTGGCTGCCCCATCCCTGGCAGTGCTCAAGGCCAGGTTGGACACAGGGGCTTGCAGCAAGCTGTTCTAGTGGAAGGGGTCCCTGCCCCTGGCAGGGGTTGGAGCTGGAGGAGCTTTAAGGTCCCTTCCAACAAACTGTTCCATATTTCCAGGATTGTATCACTTGTGCTGCTAGCAGAGGCAGGCTCTGCTCTGGCAGCTTTGGGCTGATCTTCAAACCTCATGTTTAGATCTGTGTTCATGTGGCATGTGCCACAGCCCATCAGACCGCAGGCAGAGCTCCAGTGAACAGCACCCTTGTTCTTGTGCCTGCTTCCACAACAGGACTGGGCTGGGATGTTCTGGTGTGTCAGCACTCATACAGCAATGTGTGCGCTTGGCTGTCGACCATGTCCATGGCCACGTGTGTTCATGACCATGTGTGTGCTCCCGTCAAGTGCACGCATGTCCCTGCCTCTGCCCGTGGGTGACTCTGTGTGTGCACAACACTGTGCACGCGTGACGGCGTGTGTGCAAGGGACAGGCTGTGCCTGTGTTGGGGTGAGCATGTGCATGTGCTGTGCGTGTGCTGTGTCCCCGGCCCATGTGGGTGTGTGTGACAGTGTCCTTGTGCACAGGAGCTGCTGCCCCTGCCCTTCCTTGCCCATGTCCTGCTTTGGGTGCACATTCCTGCCTGCGTAGGTGCTGCCAGACTGGATGATCCGCGCACAGAGGTTTTCCCTCTGACTCACCCAGGCGGGTTTGGGGAGCACACCCAGGCAGGAGGTCCCTGCTCACAGGGGTAAGGTGGTCACAGGACCCACTTCTGCTGTCCCGAGTCCCCTGTAGCTCTCCCTGGCCTGACAGCTCTCTGCAGCCTGCGCTATGAGGCACTTCCTGGTTGCAGCACAATCACAGCTCCGCTCATTGCTCTTCCCTCTATGTTCAGCTCTCCCAGCTGGGCTCCAGCAGGAGCTTCGTTCTGGCTGCACCCATGCAGGGGTGCAGAGGGTGCCTGGGCCAGGCAGGAGGGTCCCGTGCCTCTGAGCACCCAAAGGCATCGCTGAGCTGCCTGGATGAGCATCCACGAGGTGTTGCTCTGTGTGGGCCCACAGGCTCCTCACACAGGGACGCTTCTCTGAGCCCTGCTGCTGCCACTGGAGCTGGCCCAGCTCGTTCAGACCCCTCTGAAGTGCTGGTGGCTGCCCTCAAAGGTGCATTATGGTGCATTTGTCAAACCAAGGCTCTGGATTATCTCCAACAGTGGACATCTCGTCCTGAGCTGGAGCCCAGGTCCCGTTAGAGCCACGGGGAGCACACCAGGATGCTCCCACAGCCCCGAGCAGGACTCCTCTGACCACATGCACATCTCTTTTGTAGGATGTGTACATAAAGCAAACACCAGTCACCGGGACCTTCTCTGCCTTGGCTGCCTGCAGATGGGGTGACCCAAGCTGCACACAAACATCTCCTGCTGTGAATCAGCCCTGAAACCTCACCTCCTCCTTAGCGTGCAGGTCCCTGAGCTGCCCCACCGGCCCCACATGCACCAGATGGCTTCAGCAGAGTAGAACTACATGGAAATGCTGGTGCCTCACCTCAACCCCACTCCTGATTGTCCCCTCTTTAGAGAACAAGGCTCCATCTTCCCCAGTCAGGAGTGAGTCGTTAATCCTGCACCTCCCTCCCTCCCTCCCTGCCTGTTTCTGGGATGTGACAAATGGCAGGGGGTGGAACTGGATGAGCTTTAAGGTCTTTTCCAACCCAAACCAGTCCACAAGTCTATGTGGTGCTGCATTTCAGGACCCCTACATGTGGTACTGCACGGGGCATTGCTGGGCACCCTGCTGCAGCCAGGCAGTGGCCATACCCATCGGCCCTCAAAGCACTTGGGTATTAAAAGGGTACATCTTTAATTAAGAAGTAAATTAAAATGTGAGTGCACATTTGTTTGCACGTGTTTGTGCTGCCTCCACCTCTGAGTGCTCCTCACTGCAGCCCTGCGGAGAACAAAGCCATGGTGCAGACCCATACAAGTCCCCATCCTGCCTGTGCTCCGTGACTCACCAGCTGGTCCTGCAGCTTCCCTGGAATCCTGGAACCGAGACACGGGAGCTTTGGGATCTACAGCCCGGGCAGCGCCTCGACCTCCCCTGCGGGAGCTGGGGGTGTCCTTGGCTGAGACAGCCCTGAACCACACCAGAGAGATGGGAGGTGGATTTACAAGGGTGCTGCAGCACTGGCGCATCAGGGATGTTGTTGTGGGAACCTTCTCGATGGTGACACGGCCCCTGCAGCCCCGGGGCTGAGCACAGGGACAGGAGCTGCAGGGGCTGCAGGGGCTGGAGGAGCTGGGATCGCACAGAGCAGGAAACAGCCTCATGTATGGCGTGGAGACAGCAGCCCGTGCTTGGGCAGCGCTATGAGGACACTGCTGTGTGGGCACACCCTGCACACAGCAGGGACAATGTGGAGTCATAGAATCAGCTGGGTCGGAAAAGCCCTTTAAGCTCATTCAGCCCAACCGCTCCCCATCCCTGCCAAGGCCACCACTGCCCCATGGCACTGAGGCCTCGTCTCCACGCTGCGTGAACACCTGCAGGGATGGTGCCTGCAGCCCTGCCCCGGGCAGCCTGTTCCAATGCCTGAGCACCCTCTGGGGCAGGAATTGTTCCTCTGCTCCATCTAAACCTGCCCTGGGGCAGCTTGAGGCCGGTTCCTCTTGTCCCATCCCTTGTCCTTGGGAGCAGAGCCCAGCCCCTCCTGGCTCCATCCTCCTGGCAGGCACTTGGAGGGAGCCATCAGGTCCCCCCTGAGCCTTCCCTTCCCCATCTGAACCCCCCAGGTCCCTCAGCCCTTCCCCATCACCCCTGTGCTCCAGGCCCTGCTCCAGCTCCATTCCCTTCTCCGGCCCCACTCCAGCACCTCAAGGTCTCTCTTGCAGTGAGGGGCCCGGAGCCGAGCACAGGATCCGAGGTGCAGCCTCCCCGGTGCCCGGTGCAGGGGCTCAATCCCTGCCCTGGCCCTGCTGCTGCCCTGGTGCTGATACAGCCAGGATGTGGCTGCCACCTTGGCTGCCTGGGCCAGGAAATCACCAGCAGCAGGTTCCCCGCTGCCCAGTGCACCCTGCTGTGTGGAGATACCGCAGCGGGACTCCCAGTGGCAGCATGTCCCAGGCATGGAGCCGCCGCGCAGCAGCGTGTGGGTGCTCCTGGCAGGCGCGGAGCTGGCTCAGGAGCTGGGAGTTTCCCATGGGCACCTCCTGCTCCCAGCCAGCTGAGCGATGCTGTTGAGGGCAAGAATAACAAATCCATCCCCTCCCAGAAGGAGCAAGGAGCCAGACAAGGCCAGGAGGCAGGGATGGGCAGGGGCAGGCAGCGGTGGGCAAACATAAAGACAAAAATCCACTTTATTCTGCCTTGGAGAGGCGTGATTGTGCAACCCGGATCACCGTGGGAAGAAGCTCTCAAACATTCTCTACCCTGACATGTGGTTCCAGGGAAACAGGGATGGGCAGGACTTGTACTGGTGCTTCAGGTCACTGGCCCGGGGTGGGGTGGAAGATAAGCCAGAGTGCGGGGGGTCTACCATGGCTCCAACTGTTCTGCCGCCCTGGCCAGGGAACTGGCTTGTCCTTTGGTTTCGCAGCTTCCTGGAGGTTTCCCTCAGCAGCTCCTGGGAACACGAGAAGGTTTTGTGTTTGTGAAGACAGGGAGGGGGGTTCTGCTCTGATGGCATGGGTACAGCTCCCTGCTCTCTTGGGGGCCATGAGAGTCAGGATTGCAGGCTGGTTTCAGAGGGAAGGGACCTTAAAGCTCAGCTCCTCTGAGTACCAGCACAGCCCCCCTGCCTGCCTGCACCCCTGCCCACATCCTCACACATGGGTCTCCTACTCACACCCAGGACTGGAGAAGATGCCACCACCCCACCAGCCACATGGGCTGTGACACATGGTCCCACTCCAGGCCCTGGCGTGGAGCCCCTCACTTGTACCAGACCCCCCAGAAGATGTTTTTTTGGGACATGGACTGTGGGACCCTCCCCAAATCCAGAGAGCTGATCTCCCCCCAGACACTCTGTGGGGACCCTCACGGTTCCATCCGTTGCAGCTGGAAAGCCCTGGTAAGCCTGTGGTTTCTTGACAGCCCATCAATTAGTGCCAGGCTTGTTTCTGGCTATCATCTTCATTAACACTAATTGCTCGGGTTTTATCTGTCTGTGTTTGCTTCTTCCATCCCCTTAACAACTTAACAGAAGAAATAAGCATCTCCTCACTCCAATTATCCTGACTGACCGGTGTGACTGGCCAGGTTGGTTCCCATCACCGAGGCATTTGTCAATCAGGTTTACTCCTGGGTTGGGTTTGGTGGCATTTTGACCAAATACCTCAAAGAAGTGGGTATCCTCCTTCTACTGCCTTGCAACACCAAAGCCCCCCCCACGGACCACCAGTTCTGGGCCACTGCTGAGACCCTCTCACAGCCCCATGAAGGAGCTCGGTCTCATCTCTGGGTGTTATGTGGTGCCTTTGGACGGACACAGCTTCTGTGTGTTTTGCCCCCATGTGGGCATGTTCCCTCCCTAATCCTAACCTCTGGTTTATTCTGACCGCTGCTGAGCACACATCAGGTGATCTGTGATAACTGAGCCTGGAGAAGAGAAGGCTCCTGAAGGGGAGACCTTAGAGCAGCTCCAGTGCCTAAAGGGGCTCCAGGAAAAGGGACTCCGGGGAAACTGGAGAGGGCTTTGGACAAGGGCCTGCAGGGCCAGGCCAAGGGGAATGGCTTGAACCTGCCCGAGAGGAGACTGAGATGAGCTCTTAGGCAGAAGCTCTTCCCCGTGAGGGTGCTGAGGCGCTGGCACAGGGTGCCCAGAGAAGCTGTGGCTGCCCCGTCCCTGGCAGTGCTCAAGGCCAGGTTGGACACAGGGGCTTGGAGCACCCTGCTCCAGGGGAAGGGGTCCCTGTCCTGGCAGGGGCTGGAGCTGCAGGAGCTCTAAGGTCCCTTCCAACCCAAACCAGGCTGGGATTCTGTGACTTCTCTCCTGTCAAATTTCTCCCATCCCTTTGCGAGCCTGTGCAAACCTCCAGGCTACGCAGCCAGTTATGGCAGGAGTTTCACAGCTACTCCTGTTTTCAGCTATCAGCTGCACAAGCTGTGCTAGAAAAGCCCATTTTCCAGGACATTACTTGGTTAATTGAGGCAAATGACCCAGGGTCATGCATTTAAGGGGAGTAAGCTTCCTTCTAATAACAGTAGGAGAATTATTCAGCCCTGACCTCCACGGCAGAGTGGTTCTGGGGCTGCCTCCGCTCCTGGAGTGCAGCACATGGACCAGGTCAGCTCAGAAGAAGTAACGTGGCACAACAGCCTGAAGGCCGGAGCAGAGCTCTAGAGAGGCTCAATGGAGGAGAGGAGAGGAGAGGAGAGGAGAGGAGAGGAGAGGAGAGGAGAGGAGAGGAGAGGAGAGGAGAGGAGAGGAGAGGAGAGGAGAGGAGAGGAGAGGAGAGGAGAGGAGAGGAGAGGAGAGGAGAGGAGAGGAGAGGAGAGGAGAGGAGAGGAGAGGAGAGGAGAGGAAAGCACAGCCTGTGAGTGAACTGAGGTAACATACCACTGAGAGACCACACTGCTCTGAGGTGAAGGTGCTTATAGACCAGACACCACAGGAAAACCATACAGGGTGAGAGATTAAGAGTAAGCAAAGGTAATGTATCCCATCCCAGTACCACCTAACACCAGCCCGGAAAGTGCCTGCATGGAAACCTGATCTCCGGGCAACATCCAAGCTTGGAAACCTCCAACACCAATAAAGCCCTGCAAATATGCTAGGAAGAATGTTCTTCATGCATAAAAAAGAGAGAATAAAAGGAGAATAAACCCCAAATTCACACTACAGCTCACACAGCACAGAAGACACAATGGATGAGGGAAATGAGGACACCATATGTCATCAAAGTGACCTGAGATAACCCAAGCTGATCCCTGTGTTCCTCAAAGACTGAAGAAGGCAAAGGCTTAACACATGGTACCACAGGACTTAGGGGAGACATATAAAAGCTCTGCCTGATTGGGTATTGAAAACAAAAGAAAACAATAATGAAACTCTTTAAATGGAAATAGAAGTTTATAAAACAGGGTATAAACAAGAAAGAAAAATAGGAAAAGCAAAACATAAACATGAAACCACAGATCAGCACTGAAACAGGGCAAAAATGAAAAAGGTTTGACATTTACATTTTAGAAATACTGAGAAAATAAAGCCCCGTGTCCGGGTCGGGCACACAGCGGCGCAGGAGCTGCATGTAGGTGAGGTTCTCGTGGGTGTTGGGGTCGAAGAAGCCCTTCGTGTCGTCACTGGGGTCCGAGAGGATCTGGTTCATGTCCTGGTCGAAGTAGCCGCGCTGGTAGGCCACCTCCACGGGCAGGCGGTGGCTGTGCACGGGGTCGACGATGCCGCCCGTGGCGATCTGGGCCTCGAGCAGGCGGATGCCGTGCTCCTTGACGATGAGCTCCTTCTGCATGGCCTGGAAGAGGGAGATCTGCTCCCCGGTGTAGGGGTCGGTGTAGCCCGTCACGGCGCGCTCGGCCGACAGCAGCTTCTCGTGCAGCTCGCTGCCCACCAGCCCCGAGGAGACAGCCTCGTCCACCGAGAGCTTCCTGTTGGCCAGCGGGTCCACCAGGAAGCCGGTGGCAGCCTGCGCCTCCAGCAGCACCAGGGCCGTGCCCTGCCTCAGGATGCCCTTCCACATGGCCTGGTAGATGCTCATCTTCTCCAGCTTGCCGGGCTCGCCCTTGCAGGGCACCAGCACGCCGGCGATGCAGCCCGTGCCGTCCAGGTAGCGCTTGACGGAGGCCATTTCCGTCACCTCCGCCACCGTCTTGGCGCCCTGTACCAGGTCGGCCAGCGTGTCCTTGTCGATGATGCCCGAGTCCGCCAGGTCCGAGGCGGTCACCTGCCTCCTGAGGCCCGTGAACTTCACCGCGCTGCTGCGCTCCACCGCCTCCTGCACCAGGGCCGTCAGCAGCGCTGCCAGCTCGTCCAGCACCAGGCTCCCGGCCCGCAGCAGCCCCAGCAGCTCCTGCCTCTTGGCCTCGCTCACATACCTGGAGAAGAGGAGCTCCCACAGGGACACCTTCCTGCCGCGGAAGCTGCTGGCCGGGACCTCGATGGTGCGGGACTGCAGGGACCGCTCCAGCTCCTGCTCACGCTCACGCTCCTGCTCCCACTCGTGCCGGGAGCTCACGGGCTCGCCGTTCTGGGCGCGAACCGGCGCCGGGGCCGCCCGCTGCTCAGCCTCAGTGATGATGGTGGTGAGGAGGGCGCTCATCTCCAAGATGGTGACAGTCCCTGCCTTGTAGCGGCGCAGCAGGTCCTGGCGCCGGTGCTCGGGCACGTAGCGGGAGAAGAGGAGCTCCCAGAGGCTGACGCTCTGGCCCTGGAAGAGCCCCACGCTGAGCATGGTGCAGGCAGCCTGCAGGGCTTGGCGGGCCTCCTCGCTCAGCTGGTGGAGCACGGAGCCCTTGTCCATCAGCTGCAGCATCAGCAGCCCCGTGTCCGGGTCGGGCACGCAGCGGCGCAGGAGCTGCATGTAGGTGAGGTTCTCGTGGGTGTTGGGGTCAAAGAAGCCCTTCGTGTCGTCGCTGGGGTCCGAGAGGATCTGGTTCATGTCCTGGTCGAAGTAGCCGCGCTGGTAGGCCACCTCCACGGGCAGGCGGTGGCTGTGCACGGGGTCGACGATGCCGCCCGTGGCGATCTGGGCCTCGAGCAGGCGGATGCCGTGCTCCTTGACGATGAGCTCCTTCTGCATGGCCTGGAAGAGGGAGATCTGCTCCCCGGTGTAGGGGTCGGTGTAGCCCGTCACGGCGCGCTCGGCCGACAGCAGCTTCTCGTGCAGCTCGCTGCCCACCAGCCCCGAGGAGACAGCCTCGTCCACCGAGAGCTTCCTGTTGGCCAGCGGGTCCACCAGGAAGCCGGTGGCAGCCTGCGCCTCCAGCAGCACCAGGGCCGTGCCCTGCCTCAGGATGCCCTTCCACATGGCCTGGTAGATGCTCATCTTCTCCAGCTTGCCGGGCTCGCCCTTGCAGGGCACCAGCACGCCGGCGATGCAGCCCGTGCCGTCCAGGTAGCGCTTGACGGAGGCCATTTCCGTCACCTCCGCCACCGTCTTGGCACCCTGTACCAGGTCGGCCAGCGTGTCCTTGTCGATGATGCCCGAGTCCGCCAGGTCCGAGGCGGTCACCTGCCTCCTGAGGCCCGTGAACTTCACCGCGCTGCTGCGCTCCACCGCCTCCTGCACCAGGGCCGTCAGCAGCGCTGCCAGCTCGTCCAGCGCCAGGCTCCCGGCCCGCAGCAGCCCCAGCAGCTCCTGCCTCTTGGCCTCGCTCACGTACCTGGAGAAGAGGAGCTCCCACAGGGACACCTTCCTGCCGCGGAAGCTGCTGGCCGGGACCTCGATGGTGCGGGACTGCAGGGACCGCTCCAGCTCCTGCTCACGCTCACGCTCCTGCTCCCACTCGTGCCGGGAGCTCACGGGCTCGCCGTTCTGGGCGCGAACCGGCGCCGGGGCCGCCCGCTGCTCAGCCTCAGTGATGATGGTGGTGAGGAGGGCGCTCATCTCCGAGATGGTGACAGTCCCCGCCTTGTAGCGGCGCAGCAGGTCCTGGCGCCGGTGCTCGGGCACGTAGCGGGAGAAGAGGAGCTCCCAGAGGCTGACGCTCTGGCCCTGGAAGAGCCCCACGCTGAGCGTGGTGCGGGCAGCCTGCAGGGCTTGGCGGGCCTCCTCGCTCAGCTGGTGGAGCACGGAGCCCTTGTCCATCAGCTGCAGCATCAGCAGCCCCGTGTCCGGGTCGGGCACGCAGCGGCGCAGGAGCTGCATGTAGGTGAGGTTCTCGTGGGTGTTGGGGTCGAAGAAGCCCTTCGTGTCGTCGCTGGGGTCCAAGAGGATCTGGTTCATGTCCTGGTCGAAGTAGCCGCGCTGGTAGGCCACCTCCACGGGCAGGCGGTGGCTGTGCACGGGGTCGATGATTCCGCCGGTGGCGATCTGGGCCTCGAGCAGGCGGACGCCGTGCTCCTTGACGATGAGCTCCTTCTGCATGGCCTGGAAGAGGGAGATCTTTTGTCCTGTGCAGGGGTCGGTGTACCCCGTCACAGATCTCTCTGCAGATAGAAGTTTCTTCTGGAGCTCGCTGCCCACCAGTCCCGAGGAGACAGCTTCATCCACCGAGAGCTTCTTGTTAGTGACTGGGTCAATGATGAAGCCGGTGGCAGCCTGCGCCTCCAGCAGCACCAGGGCAGTGCCCTGCCTCAGGATGCCTTTCCACATGGCCTGGTAGATGCTCATCTTCTCCAGCTTGCCGGGCTCAGCTTTGGAGGGCACCAGGATGCCAGCAATGCTTCCAGTGCCTTCGAGGTATTTTCTCACGCTGTCCATCTGAGATATTTCTTCTGCCGTCTCTCTTCCTTTGTGGAGATTTTCCATCGTTTCTTCTGTAATTATCTGTGCACTGAGAAGTTCTGTTGCTGTTATCTGCTGTCTGATTCCTTGGAACCATACATCACTTCTGCCTTCTTCTTTTTCTTTAATGATGTTTAGTATTGTTTCAATGATTCCTTGGATAATGTGATGTGATTCCTCTTTGTATTTTTTTACCAGTTCTTTTCTCTTCTCCTCTGTGATGTACTCAGAGCAGAGAAGTTCCCACAGTGATAATACCTGTCCTTTGTATTTTCCAACAGGCACTTGTACCTTTGTAGACAACAGGGCTGTTTTTGTTTGCTCATCAATGTAGAAATAGTCATCATCCTTCTCCATGACCTGAAGCAGGTACCAGCCAGTTTCTCTGTCTTTGGAACATCTCTGCAGGAGCTGACTGTAACTGATCTTCTCATGAGTGTTTGGATCTATAAAACCTTTGCTGCCATGGTCAGGATCAGACAGCATGAGGAACATGTCATCATCCAAGTGTCCGCGCTGGTAGGCCACCTCCAAGGGCAGGTGGTGGCTGTGCACGGGATCGATGATGCCGCCGGTGGCAATCTGGGCCTCAAGCAGGCGGTTGCTGTGCTCCTTGACTGTTATCTTCTGCTTTATGGCCTGAAAGAGGGACATTTTCTTTCCTGTTTGAGGATCTGTGTATCCCGTCACGGCTTTCTCTGCAGACAGGAGCTGCCTGTGGAAGTTGCTCCCCACCAGTCCTGACGAGATGGCCTCGTCCACAGAGAGCTTCTTATTTTTCAGTGGGTCAATGAGGAACCCAGTGGCAGCCTGTGCCTCTAGCAGCCCCAGAGCACACTGCTCTGTGAGAAGGCCCTTCTTTAGGGCCTGGTAGATGCTCATCTTCTCTTTCCTTGATGGGAGTAGAACCCCGGCAATGCATCCAGTGCCCTCTAAGTACCTCTTGATGGTGTCCCTCTTGGTGAGGCTGGCAAGCGTGAGACTTCCATCCTGGAGCTGCTCTAGAGTTTTCTTGTCAATGATCTCAGAGTTAAACAATTCTGATATCGACACATCCCCCCGGAGTCCTTTCACCTTGAGGGCTTCTGCTCTTTGCTCTGTGTCCTCAATGATTCTGAAGAGGAGGGCTGTAAGGCCTTCCAGTGTTAGGGTTTTGCACTTGTACTGCATCACCAGTTCTTTCCTTTTCAGCTCGGAGATGTAATGAGAGCAGAGAATTTCCCAGATGGAAACTGTCTGGTCCTTAAACTTTCCAACTTTGATGTTAAGAGGCTTTGAGCGCAAATCCTGCTTTGTAAACTCATCAATGTAGAAGTACCTTCCTCCCTCCTGTACAACCTGCAGCATGTACAGCCCAGTCTCTGAATCTTGGACACATCTCTCCAGGAGCTGCATGTAGGTGAGGTTCTCGTGGGTGTTGGGGTCGAAGAAGCCCTTGGTGTCATCGCCAGGGTCCGAGAGGATCTGGTTCATCTCCTGGTTGAAGTACCCTCGCCGGTAGGCCACCTCAACTGGGATGCGGTGGCTGTGCACGGGGTCGATGATGCCACCGGTGGCGATCTGGGCCTCGAGCAGGCGGATGCCATGGCTCTTCACGATCAGTTCTTGGTTCATGGCTTCAAACAGGGACATTGGGGCTTTTGTGTAGGGATCGGTGTAGCCCGTCACGGCCCGCTCTGCACAGAGCAGCTTTTCAAAAACCTCCCCTCCAATTAGACCTGCAGCTAATGCTTCCTCCACTGAGAACTTCTGGTTCTTCTCTGGGTCAATGATGTAGCCAGTGGCAGCCTGTGCCTCCAGCAGCACCAGCGCTGTCCCTGGCCTCAGGATGCCCTTCCTCATGGCCTGGTAGATGCTCATCTTCACATTGCTTGGCTGTATGAGCACCCCTGCTATGAAATTGCTGCCCTCCAGGTACCTGCGGACAGAGTCCATTTCAGTGACTTCTTTGACTGTTTTCTTCCCCTGGTTGAGCTCATCGAGGGTTTTCTTGTCTATCAGTTGGGATTGGAAGAGGTCACTGGCAGAAACTCTTTTCCGCAGGCCCTTGAACGCAAACTTCTTTCCTTGTGTCTCTGTCTCTTTGATGATAGTGGTGACAATTGCTATGATTTCATGCAGCACTTCAGTGTTCTCGTTTTTGTACCTTTGCACCAGCTCTCTTCTCCTGCTGTCTGAGAGGTATTCAGAGTTGAGAAGGTCCCAGACTGACACTGTCTGCCCTTTGAAGCGCCCTATGTTGACACAGACAGTCACAGATTTCAGCACCTCCATGGTCTGCTCATCCACACAGAACATCGCGTTTTCGGACAGGGGAAGGAGCCAGAGACCTGACTCAGGCTCCTGAAAGCATCTGTCCTTCAGCTGCTGGTAGGTCACGTTCTCCTTCGTGTTTGGATCAAGGAAGATTTTGGTTCTGTCATCAAGCTGCGACAGGGTTTGGTTGAGGTCCTCGTCGTAGAAGCCGTACCTGTATGCGGCCTGGAGTGGAAGGTGGAGGTGGTGAATGGGATCAATGACCCCTCCGGTGGCCAGCTGAGCCTCCACCAAGGGAACAGCCTCTCCCAGAGGAATCAGCTCCTTCCTGAGCGCTTGGCACAGGGAGATGGAGTTCCCGGTGTAGGGGTCTGTGTAGCCAGTCACTGCCCGCTCAGCGAGGAGGAGCTTCTCAGTGAGCTCTTCACCCACTACAGCAGCTCTCACTGCATCCCTCACGCTGAGTCTCTGGTTTGTTGCTGGGTCACTCAGGTACCCTGTGGCTGCCTGAGCTTCCAGCAGCCTCAGAGCAGCCCCAGGGAGGAGGAGATGGTTCTTCATGGCATCGTAAAAGCTCATCTTCTTTTTGGATGCCTCTATGAATACCCCAGCAATGCTGCCTGTGCCCCGCAAGTACCTCTTCACGCTCTCCATCGCAGCCACCTCCTCAGGAGTTCGTATGCCCTGGGCTAGTTCTTCAAATGTCTTCTTCGTAATGATGCCAACATCCAGCAGCCACACTGCAGGGACGCTGCCCCGCAGGCCCTCCAAGGTGATCTGGGTGCGGGCTTTCATCTCCATCTCCCCAACCAACCTGAGCACAAGAGCAACTAGCTCCTGCAGTGACACTTCCTCAGACCGGAACCTCTCCACGAAGTCCCTCCTTCTCTGCTCCTCAGTGAAATACCCAGAGTGGATTAGTTCCCACAGGGAGACCCCTCTCTCCTTCACCACAGTTTCCTCAAAGATCCGCTGGATTTCTTCATCACTGCGGGCAGGAGCAGCTGCCTGTGCCAGAGGCAGCAAGTGGAAGCCGGAGACCTCGTCCTTCTGGCAGCGCTTGATCAGATCTGCATAGCTCACAGTCTCTTTGCTGTCTGGGACACAGAAGGCTCTGTTGTCATCACTGGGCTTAGAAAGGGCCTTGCTCGTGTCCTCATCCAGGCACCCTCGCTTCTGGGCAGAGTCTATGGGGATATAGTGGCCACAAGTTGGGTCAATGATGCCTCCTGTAGCCATCTGCACCTCCATTAACTGCATGGCCTGTTTGTCCTCGATCAGGCCCTTCTTCATTGCCTGGAAGAGGGGTATCTTCTTGCCTGTGAAAGGATCCTTATAGCCTGTGACAGCCCCTTCTGCATGCTGAAGCTTCTCATGGACTTCTGGTCCAATGACTCCCTTTTTGACGGCATCGTCCACACAGAGCTTCTGGTTGTTGATTGGGTCGATGATGAAGCCTGTGGCAGCCTGGGCCTCCAGCAATGGGAGGGCCATTCCAGGTAGCATGATGTTTTGCTTCATGGCCTCATAAATGCTTATCCTCTGATTTGATGGCTGGAGAACAATCCCCCCGATGCTGCCAGAGCCGTAGAGGTACTTTCTGACAGAGTCCATGTGCAGGACTTCCTCTGGCGTGACAGCTCCCTCCAGCACCCTCTCAAACAGGGCCCTGTCAATGACCCCGGTCTCCATCAGGTGGTAGGCGCTGACGCTGCCCCTCATAGCTGGGAACTTGATGGGTGCCCATCTTTTCATTTCCTCCTCCAGCATGGCTCGGATTTGCTCCAGGGTGAGCTTCCGCAGCTGGTAGTGGTTGAATATCTCCCGGCGCTTGCCCTCGCTGAAGTACTCGGAGTTCAGCAGGTCCCACACGGAGACCTTCTCTCCCCGCAACCGCCCAAACCTGACCGGCAGCCAGGAGCTCTTGAACACCCGTCTGGTGGCTTCATCCACGAACTGGCGCTTTCTGCTGTTCAGGGGCAGGAGGCAGAGCCCAGTGGACGGCTCCGTGATGCACTTCTCCTTCAGCTGCAGGTAGGTGAGGTTCTCGTGGGTGTTGGGGTCGAAGAAGCCCTTGGTGTCATCACTGGGGTCCGAGAGGATCAAGTTCATCTTCTTGTCAAAGTACCCACGCTTGTAGGCCACCTCCACGGGGATGCGGTGGCTGTTGACGGGGTCGATGATGCCACCGGTGGCGATCTGGGCCTCGAGCAGGCGGATGCCATGCTCCCTAACGATGAGCTCCTTCTGCATGGCCTGGAAGAGGGAGATGGTGTTCCCTGAGTAAGGATCTCTGTAGCCAGTGACCGATTTCTCTGCAGCCAGAAGCTTGTCGTAGACATCAGGACCAATGACACTTGCTCGCAAGGCCTCATCCACAGAATACCTTGTGTTGGCAGCTGGATCAATGATAAACCCAGTGGCAGCCTGGGCCTCCAGGAGGATCAGGGACGTTCCTGGCCTTAGAAGTCCCTTCCGCTTTGCCTGGTAGATGCTGATCTTCTCCTGGGAGTCAGGAAGCAGCAGTCCACCAATGCTACCTGTCCCTTGCAGGTACTTCTTGACCGTGTCCATGCTGACAACTTCTTTGGCCGATGTTTCTCCCTCCTTCAGTTTCTTAAACAAATCTTTGTTGATGATTTCAGAGCTCAGGAGCTGGTCAGCTGTCACCCGGTCCCTCAGTCCTTCAAAGGTGACGTTAGCAGGGGAAGTCATCTCCTCGATGGTGGCACTGACTGCCTTACTCAGCTCTTGCATGGAGAGTGTTCTTGCAAGGTACTGCTGGGATAGAGCAGCTCTTTGTTCGCTCTGGATGTAGTCTGAGAAGAGAAGTTTCCAGAGAGACATGGACTTTCCCTTGAATTTGCCCAAAGCAACAGGTACCCATGTGTTTTCCAGAGCTGTCTGGGTCTTGTGGTCAAAGAAGAGGTGGGTTCCCTTGAGTCCCTCTCCGCTGTCTCCTCCAAGAGGCAGCAGCAGGAGCCCAGTGCTGGGATCAGTCACACAGCGCTTGAGCAGGTCTGTGTAGGTCAACTTCTCCTTGGAGCTGGGGTCCAAGAACCCTTTCATGTCACTGGTAGGAGTGGAGAGGAGCTGTCTCGTGGCCTCGTCCAGGTACCCCCACTTGCAGGCTGTCTCCGTGGGGACACGGAGGTGTTTTCCTGGAGCAATTATCCCACCAGTGGCTATCTGAGCCTCCAGAAGGCAGAAGCCATGATCCCTGGGGACAAAGCCCTTCCTGATGGCTTGGAACAGAGAGAGCATTTCTCCAGTGCAGGGGTCCCTGTACCCTATGATGCTCTTCTCAGCTGAAGACAGTTTCTCATGAAGCTCTGGGCCAATGAGACCAACTCTAACAGCCTCATCAACCGAGTAGCTTTTGTTCTTGATGGGGTCTGTCAGGCTGCCGGTGGAGGCCTGGACTTGCAGGAGCATCAGGGCAGTGCCAGGCATGAGGAGATGCTCCCTCAGGGCCTGGTAAAGGCTTTTCTGCTCACCGGAAGGCAAGACAACGCCCGCCACAGTCCTTGTCCCACGCAGGAACCGCTGAACTGAGTCACTCTCTGCAACCTCCTGGGCAGAGACTCTTCCCTCCTCGAGACCTCTGAACGTGTCGGAGCTGATGATGCCTGAGTCCAGCAGGTCCCTGCTGCTCACCCGCCCTCCCAGCCCTGGGAACGTCGTCTGCAGGGGGAAGAGGAGGAAGCCTGAGCCTGGCTCGACGACACAGTGCTTGATAAGCTCCGTGTAGGTGACCCTCTCCATAGTACTGGGGTTGAGGAACCTCTTGCCATCCTCATTGCTTGGATCAGAGAGGAGCTGGCTCATCTCTTCATCTAAATATCCCCTCTCACAGGCCACATCTGCTGGGAGCCGGCAGCCGGTGCTGGGGTCAATGATGCCACCGGTTGCGATCTGGGCCTGGAGCAGGCGGGTGCCTTGGTCCCTCCCCACCAGGTCCTTCTGCATCGCCTGGAACAGGGGAATCTTCTCTTCCGTGTAGGGGTCCACAAAGCCGGTAGCAGCTTTCTCTGCAGAGAGCAGCTTGTCCTTCAGCTCCAGCCCCACCAGCCCCGTCTGCACAGCTTCTGCCACAGACACCCACCTGCTCTTCAGCGGGTCAGCCAGGAAGCCCGTGGCTGCCTGGGCCTCGAGGAGGCAGAGCGCCGAGTCCAGACTCAGGAGGTGCTCCCTGGTGGCATCATATAAACTCAGCATCTTCTTGGAAGCTTCCACATACACTCCAGCAATGCTGCCAGCTGCTGCCGGGGCCTTGCTGGGACCATCCATCCCCGTCATTTTGCTCTCCTTGCGAGCCAGCACGTCCTGGCACCAGTGGTTTGCTCCTGGGGTGTCTTCCTGGGGAGACCCAGGGGCAGCATGGCCGTTCACTGCAGGCTTGCTCTCCATCCTCCCGCTGCTCTGCTCCCACAGCTGTCACAACTCTGCAGAGAGGGGAGAGAATGGGAAATCTCAGTGAGAAATCACCTTTGCCATGGATTTCATCCTAAATACAGCATGGGGAAAAGAAGAAATTCCTCCCAGTCAGAAGTGAGAGCCACAGGCTGAACATGCCCAGGGCCACGTCCTTGTCCCTGAACCCCCCACCTGGAGTCCTGCATCCAGCTCTGGAGTCCTCACCACAGGAAAGACATGGACCTGCTGGAGAGGGTCCAGAGAAGGGTCACAAAAATGATCTGAGGGCTGGAGCACCTCTGCTGTGAGGAACGGCTGAGAGAGCTGGGCTTGTTCAGCTGGAGAAGAGAAGGCTCTGGGGAGACAGAGCAGCCTTTCAGTACTTAAAAGAGGCCTATAAGAAAGATGGGGAGAGACTTTAGCAGGGCGTGCTGTGACAGGACAAGGGGTGAGGGGTTTAAACTAAAAGAGGGAGTTTCAGGCTGGATGTGAGGAAGAAATTATGTACAATGAGGTTGGTAAAACACTGCCACAGGGTGCCCAGAGAAGCTGTGGCTACCTCATCCCTGGCAGTGTTCAAGGCCAGGTTGGACAGGGCTTGAAGCATCCTGCTCCAGTGGAAGGGGTCCCTGCCCATGGCAGGGGTTGGAGCTGGAGGAGCTTTAAGGTCACTCCAGCCCAAACCTTTCCATGATCCTATGTTGAGCAGGGCTAGGGGCAGGGGCTGCAGCCACCGGGTACCGGGAGCATCCCTGGAGGCTCTTTGCTGCAGGGGGTGTTTGCCCTCCTGCCTCGCTCACAAAGTGTTGGAAAGGCTCCAGCAGGACACTTGGGAGGATGCAGCAGGTCCCATGCGGAACACCCGGACCTGGCTGCCTGCAGCAGTGCTGAAGAGCTGCTGTCTGCACTGGGACCAACCCCAGCACACCCACTGTACAATCAAACCACGGCGCTCGAAGGAGCATGAGGCAGGCTGTGGACACCGGAAGGTCTGAGGCTGGTTGTGGCCGAGTACAGGCTGTGCAGAGCCTGGGGGCTGTTTCCAGCCCCATCCCCAGGGCTGTGGCTGTAGCACACACTGCTGGAGAGGAGCCTCACTGCCCACAGCCCTGTGCCAGCAGGTCCATGCCCAGTGCTGGGGCTGCAGCCAGACCTGCAGTGAGGCTGGAGCAGGGCTGAGGAGGGAGCGGGATGGGTGGAGGAGCAGAGATGGCTCCATATTGCATCAACCGCAGAGCCCTGGCACAGGGTGAGAAATGCTGGGGCTGGACTGGCCCTACAGAGCCGCAGCATCAAGTGCTGCAGAGATGCTGAGCCTGTGCAGCCAGTCACAGTGCTGCCCACTGGCACCTCTGGACATGGCTGCATGGACACAGCCTGAGCAGGATTGCCCCAGTGCATGCACTATGCTCACTCTGGCTTCTCCTATGTCCCTTGGGCCATGCCAGCAGCTTTTGTTCACAAGGGCTCCTCTGTCTCAGCCGTGCTCCAGGCTGGGTGCCAGGGGAATGGTTCCAACAGGCACTGGCTCCATCTATCACAGACTGGTTTTCGCTGGAACCTTAGAGCTCCTCCAGCTCCCACCCCCCTGCCAAGAGCAGGGACCCCTTCCACTAGAGCAGGGTGCTCCAAGCCCCTGTGTCCAACCTGGCCTTGAGCACTGCCAGGGATGGGGCAGCCACAGCTTCTCTGGGCACCCTGTGCCAGCGCCTCAGCACCCTCACAGGGAAGAGCTTCTGCCTAAGAGCTCAGCTCAGTCTCCCCTCTGCCGGGTTAAAGCCATTCCCCTGTCCCTACAGGCCCTTGTCCAAAACCCCTCTCCAGGTTCCCTGCAGCCCCTTTAGGCACTGGAGCTGCTCTCAGATCTCCCCTTCAGGAGCCTTCTGTTCTCCAGGCTGAACCAGCCCAGCTCTCAGCCTGTCATTAAATCCACCCTCAATCAGTTCACAGCCATTCCCCCTTGTCCCACCCCTACCCACCCTCTCCAAGAGTGATGTCAGTGCTCGGATGTGCCCAGGCAACGCTGTTTGTGTTGGCAGGTTCAGGGTTGCAGCTGACGCCGAGGTGTGGATGTGGTGTGGGACGGGACGAGACGTGGGGTGCTGCCGGTGGCCCTGGGAAGGGCCTTCCCGGGCCAGGCGGGGTGGGGAGCAGGGGAAAAGAGCCAGGACTCTGGGGGCTCTGCCTGGCGTGGGGCTGCTGCAGGGGAGGGCAAGGGGCCTGTCTCACAGGCTGGGAGCGGGGCGTCCCTGCATACCTTACACCAGGTGCATGCACCAGTGCTGGCAGCCCTGAGGCCGCACCACACACAAGGACACACACCGGGGCTGGCAGAGCCCTTCCCTGCTGGGAAGATGCTGGGTTAGGTGCCGCGGAAGGTGCTGTTCCTGAGAGGAGCCGGGCCCCCCAGCCGTGCCATGGGCACACCCTGCGGCTGCACCGGTGTGGCTGCAGTAACTGGAGACCCCCGGGCAGATCCCCATGCGCCCCATTCCCGAACCAGCCACCGGCACCGGAGCGCAGAGGGTGGGTGGGCAACGCCACCCACGGCGCTGCGGCAGCCCCATTCCCATCCGTGCTTTGTGGGGCCGCAGCAGGACCCCGGAGGCGGGGAGCTCCGTGCCGGGGGCAGCGCGGTGCGGGCGGGGAGCTCCGTGCCGGGGGCAGCGCGGTGCGGGCGGGGAGCTCCGTGCCGGGGCCAGCGCGGTGCGGGCGGGGAGCTCCGTGCCGGGGGCAGCGCGGTGCGGGCGGGGAGCTCCGTGCCGGGGGCAGGGAAGGGCTCGGCCGCCTTCACCAGGCGCCAGCCCCGTGGAAAGTTTCCGTCAGCGCCTGCCCGGCGCGGGGCGGGTCCTGGCGCGGGCTCAGCCCCCCCCGGCCGCCGCCGCTCGCCGCGCGGTGCCTTCGGCTCTGGCTGCGCCGGGGAATGCGCTGGCTCGAGCTGCGGCACCGGCCGCGCTGCCCCAGTGCTTCCCCGGCCCCTTCACACCCACTGGCGCCTGCGTGCGCCATCGGCCATAAATCACGGCATGGTTTGGGGTGCTCCTCCTTAAAGCTCCTCCAGTCCCAACCCCTGCCAGGGCAGGGACCCCTTCCACTGGAGCAGGGTGCTCCGAGCCCCTGTGTCCAACCTGGCCTTGAGCACTGCCAGGGATGGGGCAGCCACAGCTTCTCTGGGCAGTGTCTCCAAGTCACGGCGGAGGCTCTTGCTTGTGGACCCAGTGCCACGGGCAGTGTTGCATCTCTGGCTGCATTGGATAAGCCTGCACGTGTGCACCCGCAGTGCAGCGCTGGCTGCCGGGGCCTTGGGGAAGGGCTGGGAGAAGGGGCCGGCTTTACTGGTGGGCTGGAGGTCACGGTTTGAGAACGGGAGTGCTGGAGGAGGCGTCTGCTGGGGAAGGGGCTGGAGCTCCGGGTGGGAGCCGGGAGGTCTGGCAGGGCTGGTCTCTGGTGGGATGGGGTGAAGCGGGGGAAGAACAGGAGATGGGGCAGCACCTGGAGGGTGACAGGGATGGAGAGGGCAGATGGGGCACTTAGGGGTTCCCTGCCCTGAGCGGTGCTGCCTGCACGGCTGCCATGGAGGGGACACAGTGCCTGCATCCCACCAATGGCCTGTTAGTGACCACTGCTGCACCCAGGGTCAATCCCACAGCACTGTGCACCCACCTCCCTGGGAACCATGGAATGGTGCTGCCAGTCCCAGCACGTGCTGCCCAACGCCTGCCCCTTCCCCATTCCTGGCTCATGCTGGAGCTCTGGCACTACCCTCCATCCCCAGCACACCACAGCACCGTGCAGTGTTGCCCTATGGCCCCGGCACCGCACTGCGGGCAGCGGGCGCAGCCACGCCACATTCCTCACATACCTGGGACCCGCCTTCGTCTTGCTGCGGTGCTGGCGCAGCCGGTGACACCCAGGACCTCTCCTACCTGCCCGCGGTGGTCGCAGGACGGGTTCTCCCGGCCGGTGCCCACAGTCCCGCTGCTTCGCCGCAGCTTCCTGCCGGGACCGCAGCACGTTTAAACCTCACCCTTCCCCGCCCCTGGGGATGACACACGAGCCCAGCCCTGCTAGCAGCACATGGGCCCTCCCCACACTCCCGGGGTGCCCAGTCCGGTGCAGGGGTCCGGCTGCATGCAGCATCGCAGCCCTCCCTGTGCTGGGCCATGGCGGGCACAGGAGCGATGCAGGGCGATGGGCAGGGGTTCACTGGCCCCGTAACAGCTCTGGTGCAGGAGGTGTCCATGTCCTGGCAACCAAGTGCTTGGGCAGTGCCACCTCAAAGAGGTGAGAGAAAGGGGAGACTCCCATGGGGCTGGTGTGATAGAATCATAGAACCATGGAATGTTTGGGGTTGAAGGGACCTTAAAGCTCCTCCAGCTCCAACCCCTGCCATGGGCAGGGACCCCTTCCACTGGAGCAGGGTGCTCCAAGCCCCTGTGTCCAACCTGGCCTTGAGTACTGCCAGGGATGGGGCAGCCACAGCTTCTCTGGGCACCCTGCGCCAGCGCCTCAGCACCCTCACACAGAAGAAGTTTTTCCTTATATCCAACCTGAACTTCCCCTGTTTCAGTTTGAACCCATCACCCCTTGTCCTATCACTACAGTCCCTGATGAAGAGTCCCTCCCCTGCATCCTTGTAGCCCCCTTCAGACACTGGAAGCTGTTCAGAGGTCTCCACACAGCTTCTCTTCTCCAGGCTGAACAGCCCCAGTATTCTCAGCTTGTTTTTGTATGGGAGGTGCTCCAGCCCCTGATCATCCTTGCTTGCCAGAAGCACCTTGTCCTTCTTCCCATCACCCCATCACCTACCGCATGCCATCAGCCAAGCAGAGCCCCTGCACCCTGGCCCACCCGGCTCCTCTCCCCCGTGCCCACCCCAGCTTGCAGCATGGCCGGTTTCCACCGAATCACTGCACCCATGGGTCTGTTTAACTGGAACTGGGGCTGCAGCACTGCGTCCTGGCCCTGCTCCACAGCAGCCGGTGCAGTGGGGGGGACCCTTCCCAGCTCCCCACCCCAGCGTCACCCACATCCCTGGAGCCTGAATTGCCCAAAACATGCCCAAGCTGCCCCGTTGCCACCTGAGTCATCCAAACACCCTGGCCCTGCCTCCGTCACCAGCCCCACACCCTCTGCCCAGACCCCACACCCAGCCCCACACCCAGTGCCTGCTCCACCTGAGCATCCCCTTCCCCTAGCCTTGGTGCCATGGGGGCTGTGGGGGTCCCAACAGTGCCATGGGCAGCGCACATAGTGATTGGGAGCATTGGGTGCTGGAGGGTCACACCACCATCACTGCGGGTGATGTGAGCAAGGGATGTGGATGCACCGCGCCAGCATCGCGGGTGATGCAGTTAGGAAGGGATGGACGTGGAGCACCAGCACCAAGGGTGATGTGGTGAGGAAAGGATGTGGATGAGCATCGCCTGGAGGTGTTGACGGGCGTGGGAGTGTGTTGTCTGGACAGGTGCCGGTATCCAGGCATGGGGCTGGCCAGGCGAGCCGGCAGCATGGCAAGGCACACACAACATGGCACAGCATGGCACGGCACGGCACAGCACAGCACAGCATGGCACGGCACGGCACAGCACAGCACAGCATAGCACGGCACGGCACAGCACAGCACAGTATGGTGCGGTACAGCACGGCATGGCAAGGCACACCACAGCACGGCATGGCACAGCACGGCACAGCACAGCACAGCACAGCACAGCATGGCACAGCACAGCATGGCATGGCATGGCACACCACAGCACGGCATGGCACAGCACGGCACAGCACAGCACAGCACAGCATGGCACAGCACAGCATGGCATGGCACAGCATAGCACGGCATGGTGCGGTGCACTCTGGTGAGCACACAGCCCTGGCACCTGTGGGTGAATCCCATATACAGGGACATCCCCTGGGAATGTAACCTGGGCAGGAGCCCCTGTGGTACCAGCAGCTCGGGCAGCACCAAACCCACGGTTCCAGGAGGCATCCTGAGTGGGAGGAGGATGAAGAAAATAAGGGAGACGTGAGGAAGAAGATAAAGGACATAGGTGAGACACAAGGAGAAGAATAAAGGAACGTAGGGGAGATGAGTGGAGAGGAAGGCACAGGACACAGGAGATTCACCCGGATGGTGTCACCCTGGCGCACCCTGAGCCATGGGTCTGGCCCCAGATCCATGGGGCAGGGTCAGCCCCAGTGGAGCCAAGGCTGTGTCTGGGCCAGCGCATACAGGGCCCAGCACTGGCACTGGCAGCAGCATCGCAGTGCTGAGGAGCCATAATCCAACCGGGGAGGAGAGTTCAACACCACAGGCTCAGCACCAGCAGGTCGGAGCGGTGCCAGCGGTGGAGCTGCAGCAGTGCTGACCTGTGCGCCTGGCAAGCACGAAGATGGCCCCGGGGCCATGGCAGGTCAGGCATGCAGCAAGCCATGCTGTGCTGTGCTGGGTTGTACTGGAGCATGCTGGGTTGTACTGGAGCATACTGGGCTGTACTGTGCTGGGCTGTGTCGGGTTGTGCTGGGTGTCATGGTGAGATCCCTGCACCCACACATGCAAATACTCTTGCATGGTGAGAGCTGGTGCCTGCACACATGCACGGGCACAGGCACGGCGCTGCACACGTGTGTGCTCGCACATGAGCTGTCCCAGCAGAGCGGAGCCAACACCAGGCGCCCGCGGCATGTCTGGGCTCTGCCCCATGGCATGAAGCAACCGGGGCTGGTGTGTGGCTCCATGCGGGAGTGCAGGGCAAGGCAGGACCCACTCTGGTGTTCCCACGGCTGCACAGGAGTGGTTGGGAAACGGGGCAGCACCTGCTCCCCCTCCATGGGAGAGGGACGGCACCACCGCATGGCACAGCGCTGCAGCTTGGGTTATGGAAACATGGAGTCACGGAATGGTTTGGGTTGGAAGAGACCTTAAAGCTCCTCCAGCTCCAACCCCGGCCAGGGCAGGGACCCCTTCCACTGGAGCAGGGTGCTCCAAGCCCCTGTGTCCAACCCGGCCTTGAGCACTGCCAGGGATGGGGCAGCCACAGCTTCTCTGGGCACCCTGTGCCAGCGCCTCAGCACCCTCACAGGGAAGAGCTTCTGCCTCAGAGCTCAGCTCAGTCTCCCCTCGGGCAGGTTCAAGCCATTCGCCTTGTCCTGTCCCTACAGGCCCTTGTCCCAAGCCCCTCTCCAGCTTTCCTGCAGCCCCTTCAGGCACTGGAGCTGCTCTCAGATCTCCCCTTCAGGAGCCTTCTCTTCTCCAGGCTGACCCAGCCCAGCTCTCCCAGCCTGGCTCCAGAGCAGAGCTGCTCCAGCCCTCGCAGCAGCTCTGTGGCCTCCTCTGGACTCGTTCCCACAGCTCCACATCCCTCTTGTGCTGTTGCCCCATCCCAATGTGCTGGCTACCCACAGCCATGAGGGCACCAGGGTATTCATGGGGTCCCCTGTAGTGCTGCATCCTCCTGCCTGGTCCTATGCTGGGGGGGCAGCTGGGATAGGGCACGGATGCAGGTTGAGGTGGGTGAGGCACCTGGGCTGATGGCCCAGTCCAGGATGTTGGAACACTCCTGCACGTGAGTTGTCCCCAGGGGTCACAGCAGCACAGAGGTGTCTGTAGCCAGAACCCCCTGCATGCTGGGCTGAACCCCCAGAGCACGAACAGCAGGGCAAGGAGGGGATTCTACCTCTCTGCTGAGTGAAGGGGAGACCCCCCCTGCATCCTGCATCCAGCTCTGGGGCAACAGCACAAGAGGGACCTGGAGCTGCTGGAGAGTCCAGAGGAGGCCATGGAGCTGCTGCGAGGGCTGGAGCAGCTCTGCTCTGGAGCCAGGCTGGGAGAGCTGGGCTGGGGCAGCCTGGAGAAGAGAAGGCTCCTGAAGGGGAGAGCTGAGAGCAGCTTCTGTAATTCTGTAACAGGTTATTGGGATCTCAGGAAAGGCCAGACTGCACAAACAGCCTCAATCATGGGCAGCCTCCAGCCAGACCTGAGAACTCTGGTCATTAACAGGGGACAGTGGGAGATAAAGGGCCCTTGGATGGACCCCTTTTTTGTTCAGCCTGGAGGAGGCTCCTGAAGGGGAGCCCTTGGAGCAGCAGCAGCTCAGAGGGACGTGGAGCTGTTGGAGCTCCTCTCCTGGGCGTGGGCTCCCGCAGGAATTCCAGCGATGCATCCCGGGTTTGGAGGTGTAACCGGCACGATGCCCGCTGCCAGCACCGCGACACCCGGGGCCTGCCTGGCGCCTCTGCCGGTGTCACACCTCACCAGCGATGCCCCTTGGACCACGACCAAGAGGACAGGGATGGACAGACAGACCCAGAGCTGGCTGGGCACTCATAGAAAACCATCTACTGTTTATTGGTGCTGGCGGGCCGGGGTTACATTCAGCTCTACTGCTCTTCGGTTAGGGGGTGGTGGCAGCATGCGGCAGCGGGGCTGGGACCTGTGCCGGGGGGTGCAGTGCGGTGCAGGACCCCCCCGGCAGCCCCTGCCCCACTGGGATCAGGGTGGCTGCAGCCAGAGCCCTAGCGCAGGTACCGACAGGGAAGGGGGGTAGCACCAGAACCGGGGCTGCGCCGCCAGGGAAGGCACTGAGCCCGGCCACGGCCCACTGGGGTGTGGGCAGCGGGATGGGGGAAACGCCCTACCCAGCACTGATGGCACTGGGGGGACCCCTAACCCAGCACTGAGGGCATGGGGGGAACCCCCAACCCAGCACCAACGGCACCGGCAGCCACCCCAAGGGGTAGAGCCCATCACGGTGGTGTCTGGCCTGCCCCAGCCCCACTGCCCCAAATGCTGCGGCTGCAGCGGGCACTTGGAGCACATCAGCGGGGCTGCAGTGGGGCAGGGGCTGCAGCAGCTGGACCAGGGGGTTGCTGTGAGGCACGGGGGTGCTGTGGATCAGAGGGGTGCTGTGGGGCAGGGGGGGTGCTGTGGGGCAGGGGGTTGCATACATGCTGCAGCAGCAGTGCAGGTCAGACCTGTGGGCACATGGCTGCAGCTCTGCTATCCTCCGGCGGACAGGAGGGTCCTGAGTGGGGCCGGCTGAGGGTGCTGGTGCAGGGGGTCAGCGGCAGGGGCTGCACCGCTGTGGGGGGGACCCCTCGGGGGGCTCTGCAATGGGCACAGAGGCGCTGGAGCTGCATGGTGCTGCCAAACCCACGGCCTGCCCCACACGTTGCGGCTGCCCTGGGGTCCCACTGCCCCATGGCACAGGCAGGGCGCAGCCTGCAGCAACACCCAGGGCAGCAGCACCCGGGGCAGCAGCGGGGGCCCGCAGCGACGCAGCCTCACCTGCCGCTGCGGCAGCCAGGCTCTGCTCGGCCACGGGGAGCTGCAGCTCGGCGGCGTCGGGCAGGAGGGAGCCGCGGGCGCGGGGGCACCGGTCACCAGAGCGCGTCCTGCGCTGCACCGACTGCGAGCACAGAGGGGCAGCGCTCGCCAGGGGCCGGGGGGCACAGGGGGGGCCGGGAGGTTCTGCAGCTCTCACCTTCCTGGCCAGGGGGCTGCAGGGGGCCGAGGCGCTGCTGTAGAGGCTGAGGCTGGAGCTGGAGCGGGTCGGGGACAGCGCTTTGGATGAGGGTGACGAGGCACTGCCTGCGCCCGCCCCGAAGGCCTCCGCGCCCAGGTACTTCTCATTGATCTTCAGGTTGGTCCTTCCCTTCACTGGGGTGATGGAGGCGGTCACAAGGGCTGGGAACGGGGCCGCAGCCCGCAGGGGCCCTGCCGCAGCATCGCACTGCAGTGCCCACTGGCAGCGCCCCTGGGTGCGGGTGCCAGGGTGGGGGGACCGCCCATCCCCACCTCTGCAGGGGTCGTTCTTCACCAGGAACTCATCAAGCGCGATCCAGCCGCCACCGACCCGCACCATGAGGGTGCTGCGCAGGATGCGCACCATCCGCAGCTGCTGCGACTCCCCAAACTGCAGCGACACCGTGACACGGGGGGGGGGGCAAGGGCAGGAGGGGGTCAGGGCAGTGCAGGGAGCGTCAGGGGGTTTGTCAGGGCTAGGTGCTGGGGAGTGGGTGCCAGGGCAGGTCCCCGCACCCAGCTGCGCCTACCACCAAGCCATTGGGTCCCGTCCATCCCTGTGCTGCAGCCCGCAGCGCCAGGGGGCCCGGAGGACATGGGGACGTGCCCCCTCCCGGGCAGGCACTGCAGTGCATGGGAGCTGCAGCACCTGGCATGGTGCAGGCTGCGCACCGGTGCCGCGGTGCTACCAGCACTTACCCGGTACCTGTTGGCACTGATCTGCTCCACCTGGAACCGCTTGGCACAGTTGCACTGGGCCACTTGCCGGTTCACCTGCAGGGTGAGCACAGGGGTCAGCCCCCAAGGGACTCTCCCCACCCCAGCCCCTGTGGGACACCCCACCCCACGCAGCCCCCCCAGCTGCAGTCGCACCTCATCCTGGATCTGGTCAGCATCGGCGCCGCGGCGCAGCAGGTCCCGGTTGGGGTGCAGGGCACTGACGAACTCACAGTAGTCGATGAAGCCATCGCCGTTCATGTCAAAGATGCTGGCAACAGTGTTCATCTCCAGAACGTTGGTGGGGAACTCTGGGTGGGAACGGGACTCTCAGCACATTGTGCCAAGGGCAGATGGTGGCAGCACTGAACCGCTGCCCCCAGAGAGGGGATCATGGTTTGTTTTGAAGGGACCTTAAAAAGCTCATCCAGTTCCAACACACTCCCATGGGCAAGGAGCCCTTCCACCGGAGCAGGGTGCTCCAAGCCCCTGTGTCCAACCTAGCCTGGAGCACTGCCAGGGATGGGGCAGCCACAGCTTCTCCATTCAACCTCCTCCACCACCCTCATGGTAAAGAATTTCTTCCTAACACCTCACTTAACTGCTCCATCTTCCACACAGAAGCTGTTACTCCTCGTCCCATCCCTATGTCATTGTCCCAAGCCCCTCTCCAGGTTTCCTGCAGCCCTTCAGGCTCTGGAGCTGCTCTCAGCTCTCCCCTTCCCGAGGCAGAGGGGCAGGATCCCCTCCCTGAGCTGCTGCTCCCGCTCTGGGCTGCACCCAGCACATGGGGGGGTTCTGGGCTCCAGCGCTCACTGAAGCCGGGTCCTGGGGAGCTTCTCCTCCCCCAGCACCCCAAGTCCTGTTCCTCAGGCTCCAGCCCCTCTCCCCCAGCCTGGGCTGGATCCTGCAGGCAGACCCCGTCCATCCCCATCTCCACCAGCACGGCCCCACCACTCCCAGGGGGTCTGAGTGGATCCTGTAGGATCCCTGGGCACTCACTGGAGGAGAGGACGCTCTCTATGAACTCCCTCTGGCTGATGCGCCCGTCCTGGTCCCGGTCAATGCCTCGGAAGACGTCGAGGACACGGGACTTCATCTGCCCGATCCAGTGCATGTAGCGCTTGCGCCAGACCCCAAAGTCGAAGTGAGCAAATTCCTCCAGCTCCGAGGGGCAGAGATGGGAATTAATCCCCTGAGAGACACCGCAGCCCCAGCGAGCATGCTCTGCCCATGCAGCACCCAGTGCATTGCTCTGCCCATGCAGCACCCACATGCATTACCCCTGCACCATGCCGTGCTTTGCACCCGCCGGTGCTGCAGCGCAGCAGCCGTACCTCCCGCAGGCGCTGCAGGGCCGTCTCGAGCCGGTACTGCCGGTCCAGCGCCAGGAGCCAGAGCTGCTGCCAGCGCTGCAGGACCTGCGCTGTGAGCGGGCTCTGGGGCTCTGGCGCCCCGGGTAGCTCCGCCATTGCCTTCCCTGTGCTGCGGCGCCCTGCAGCCAGCAGACACACCATGACACAGAGCCAGGGCTGCGGCCGGTGCAGTGCAGCGCAGGGGGGTCCTTACGCGTGGCCAGTCGGCGTGCAACTGGTGGGCCCAGATCCACGGCCAGCTTCTGCTTGCAGCTCTTGGTCACCTTCTCCACATCAGGCTGCTTGCGGTTTAGCTCCTCCATGAAGACCTGCGGCAGAGCACACTGAGCACCCAGCAGCCGCAGCAGCGCATCCCACCACTGCTGCAGTGCAGCCAGGCACAGGGTGATGCTTGGAGCACAGAGCAGCCCCTCTGCACCCTCCTGCATGCGCAGCTCTGGTTGCAGAGCCCATGGGCTTGGCTGCGACACGTAAGAGGTGCTCCTGCAGCACTGCTGCACGCATGGCTGCAGCCTGGTGCACCTGCAGCCCTTGGTGGGTTGAGGCAGGTGGGGGCACACACACAGTGTCGCGGGCCCTTACCGCATGCTGTGCGCTGAGCTCCTGCAGTGGCTCCACCTCCTGTGGCAGCGGCTCCGTGTCCCGCAGCCCCAGCGCCTCCTCGGCTGCCGCCATCCACTCCAGGAGCTGCGCCGCATCCTCCCGCTCGGCCACCAGCCGCGACGCCTGCGCCTGCAGCCGCTCACCCTGCTGCTGCGCCCAGCGCTGCACCTGCGGCACGGCACGGGGCTGGGGGCCTGCAGGGGTCTGTGGAGGGCTGCATGGCTGCAAACCCTGGGGGCTGTGACTACAACCAGGCACCACAGGGTCATGGCATCAGTGGGGACGGCCCCTGCATGGTGCACTCCTGCCATGGGGCAGGCACTGGGACCTCCAGCCAGCAGACCCCGTGGCTGTGAGGCAGGGCTGTGGGGCAGAGACCCCAGCCAGCAGCCTCCATGGCCATGGGGCAAGCACAGGGAGCATCGGTCCTGGGTCCATGCCTGTGGCAGCAGCTGAACATGCCAGCACGAGTGTCTGTGCCTCTGCGAATGCACTGCTGCCAGCATGGCCGGGCTGTGCCGTGCCCTGCCTGCACGCCCTGGAGCAGCAGCAGCTCCAGATCAGGTCCCAGGATCTTTGAACTCCCCTCAGGAAGGGCTGGAGCAGGCAGGGATCAGACAAGTATCGGCTCAACCAGTCAGACCCGTCCAGGCAGAGCTGGGAGCCTTCAGCTGCTGTGGGAACCCCTCTGGGATGGGGATCCTGGGACATGGATCCCTGCCTGGGCTGGGTGGCAACTGCAATCCCATGGGAATGAGCCACCACCATCAGCATGAGCATGGAGGCCCCGGGTGACAGTGGGAGCCATGGGTGCCGGCAGCTCATAGAGGGCAGAAGAAGTTGGATGTGGCCACTGTCCCGACCAAGAGATCATGGAACCATGGAGGGGTTTGGGTGGGAGGGACCTTAAAGCTCCTCCAGCTCCAACCCCTGCCAGAGCAGGGACCCCTTCCCCTGGAGCAGAGTGCTCCAAGCCCCTGTGTCCAACCTGGCCTTGAGCACTGCCAGGGATGGGGCAGCCACAGCTTCTCTGGGCACCCTGTGCCAGCGCCTCAGCACCCTCACAGGGAAGAGCTTCTTCCCCAGTCTCCTTCCCTGGAGCATCTCTGAGACCCTCCCTGGACACGGGGACCCCTCTCACCTCCTGGAAGCGGCTCTTGGCGACGGTGATCCAGGACTTGATCGTGACAACGGAGTCAGGGTGGCAGGAGGACAGGATCTCCTCCCCCAGTGAGGTGATGCACTCCAGCTCCAGCTGCTGGCACTGCAGCGACTGCAGCAGCTCCTGGAGGGGGACACGCACCATGACAGTGCTGGGTCCAGCCCTGGCACCCAATGCACCCCTAGCACTGGGGAAGGGCACTGGTTCACCATGCATGGTTGCAAGTGCACGGGACCCCAAACCCCCACCCCTCAGCACCCCAAACCCGCATCTGGGTGCAATGGGACCCTGGTGGGGGCCATGGCAGATTGGGACGTACCGGGACAAGGATGCACTAACCTGCAGCAGGTCACGGCACTGCTGCACGGCCGCCTCCTCCTCGGGGATGGCGCCGTACTTGAGGCTCTGCTCCGACTCGCCAAGGCGGCGCAGGAATGACTGCACCAGGCTGTGGAACTCTTCAGCCTGCAGCAGACACGGGACCTGCTCAGCCCCTGCGTGTGGCTGCAGCACCAGGGCCCAGCCCCCAAGACCCCCAACCAGACCCTGTGGCTGCTGCTCCTGCACCCACCACATGTGACTCATTGCAGCACTATGTGCCCAGAGCTGCTGCCAGCCCGGCTGCAACCTGTAGCAGGACAGAGGAGGCTCCTTGCCATGGCTCGACACCACAGCCCCCACCAGGACCTCCCCATGGAGTTGCAACACCAACATCTTCCCCCGGCACCTGTAACCAGCACCTGCAGCACCCAGCCTGGCAGTCAGGCATGGCAGCTTGCGACACAGCCACACACAAAGCTGCGTGGCCACACGCAGCACCCTGCAGCACAACCACATGCAGAGCCCAGACACCCCACACAGCAGCCTGCAGCGTAGCCACACAGAGCCCAGGCACCCCATGCAGCACCCCACAGCGCAGGCACACACAGAGCCCAAGCACCCAAAGCAGAACATGACCACCCATCACCCAGGCACACCACACAGCACCCTGCAGCATCGCCCCATGCAGCCCCGGGTGCCACACAACCACCTGCAGCCCCTTCCCCCCGAAGCCCCTCGCCATGACCTGGCGCAGCGCTGCCTCCAGCCGCGCCTGCCTGCCCAGGGAGAGGCGGCAGACCAGGTCCCAGCGCGTGCTCAGCTCCTCCAGCTGCCGCTGCAGCCACGGCGAGTCACCGCGCGCCGGGTCCCGCACCGAGCGCGTCAGCGCCCGCACACAGCCAGCGCGTTTGCCCAGTTCCTTCTGGAAAACCTGGAGCGGGGAGAGATGCCGGCAGCGTCCCAGCACCCGCCTGGCTCTGCTGCAGCACAGGGCTCCATGCAGCACAGGCACCGCTGCAGCAGCGTGGGCCAGGGTCTGCGGCCATCACCCTGCACCAGCCTCCAGCCCTGCCCCGGGCAGGTCCCAGGGTAGCTGGAGATGGGATGGGATGGGGATGGGATGAGGATGGGGACAAGAAAAGGGATAGGGATGGGGATGGGGACAGGGGTGGGATCAGAACGGGGATGGGATAGAGACAAGGATGGGGACATGAGAATAGGAACAGAATGGGGATAGGAATGTGGGCAGGGAAGAGGACAGGGATAGGGACGGGGACACCCACCTTGTGCTTGTCCATCAGGTCACTGACCAGGTCGCGGTCGCCACCGACGGGCGCGTCCTCGCTGAGCTGCGGCTCGGCGCGGTACAGCCAGTCCAGGAGCGCCTGCAGCGCCTCCGAGAACTTCCCCGACAGCAGCAGCCTCTCCTCCAGCTGGTGCTGCCTGCCAGGACAGTGGGTGCAGGCAACGCTGCAGCGCCAGGCCCGGCACCGCGGGGCAGGAATGGCTGCACCCGGGACCCAGCACTGTGGGGCAGGGAATGGCTGCACCCAGGACCCAGCACTGCAGGGCAGGAATGGCTGCACCCAGGACCCAGCACTGTGGGGCAGGGAATGGCTGCACCCAGGACCCAGCACTGTGGGGCAGGGAATGGCTGCACCCAGGACCCAGCACTGCAGGGCAGGAATGGCTGCACCCAGGACCCAGCACTGCAGGGCAGGAATGGCTGCACCCAGGACCCAGCACTGCAGGGCAGGAATGGCTGCACCCAGGACCCAGCACTGTGGGGCAGGGAATGGCTGCACCCAGGACCCAGCACTGCAGGGCAGGAATGGCTGCACCCAGGACCCAGCACTGCAGGGCAGGAATGGCTGCACCCAGGACCCAGCACTGCAGGGCAGGAATGGCTGCACCCAGGACCCAGCACTGTGGGGCAGGGAATGGCTGCACCCAGGACCCAGCACTGTGGGGCAGGGAATGGCTGCACCCAGGACCCAGCACTGCAGGGCAGGAATGGCAGCACCCAGGACCCAGCACTGTGGGGCAGGGAATGGCTGCACCCAGGACCCAGCACTGCAGGGCAGGAATGGCTGCACCCAGGACCCAGCACTGTGGGGCAGGGAATGGCCAGGGATGGGATCCAGCCAGGAAGAGGAAAGCCCAGTGGTGCCGGGGCAGGGGTCAAAGCAGGGCGTTGGATGCCCAGGGAGGAATGTTGAGGGCAGGCCCTTACCTAGAACCACACGGGAAGCAGAGGACACCCCATTCTACCTCATCTCACCTTACCCCATCCCCAACGCCATCTCTGTCTCTACACCCATCACATCTCCACCCCAATCCCCATCCCTACCTTCATTCCCATCCTCATTTTCAGGCCACCCCATCTAGTCCCACCTTATCCCACCCCATCCCCATCCCCACCCCAATTCCATCCCCATCCCACCCCCTGGTCCCACCTCTCGGCAGCAAGGCTGCACAGCGCATCCCAGCGCTCCTTCAGGTCCCGCAGCAGCTCCTCCAGAGGCTGCAGGTCCTGGTCCAGCCGGGCCCCCTCCCGCAGCGCCCGTCCGCTCCGCAGCGTGGCCTCCAGCACCGGCCGCTTTGAGCGCAGAACCTTCTGGAACGCCTGCACAGAGGGCACGGGGACACGGGGAGATGGGGATGGGGACACGGGCACGGGGACACCCCTTCTGTCCCAAGTGCCGCAGGGCACCGTGGGGTGCTGATGCCCCTCAGCCCAGCCCCCCCCAACCACAGACAGAGCCCCAGGTGCATCCCCCGGGAGCCAGGACCCCCTGGCGCAGCCGCACCTTGTGCTCAGCCAGCCGGGACTTGAGCTCCTCCTGGCTCGTGGTGGTGTCCGAAGGCACCTCCAGGCTCTGCTCGGCCTCACCCATCCAGTCCAGGAGCAGCTGCCGGGACTCGGTGAACTGCAGCACAGGGACAGGGGCGGGGGGAACAGGGAACCATGGAGGGGCCTGAGTGGGACGGAGCTTAGAGCTCCTCCAGCTCCAACCCCTGCCAGGGCAGGGACCCCTTCCCCTGGAGCAGGGTGCTCCAAGCCCCTGTGTCCAACCTGGCGTTGAGCACTGCCAGGGATGGGGCAGCCACAGCTTCTCTGGGCACCCTGTGCCAGCGCCTCAGCACCCTCACGGGGAAGAGCTTCTGCCTCAGAGCTCATCTCAGCCTCCCCTTTGGCAGGTTAAAGCCATTCCCCTTGGCCTGTCCCTGCCTCCCTTGTCCCAACCCCTCTCCAGGCTCTCTGCAGCCCCTTCATGCCCTGGAGCTGCTCTCAGCTCTCCCCTTCCCGCAGCAGAGGAGCAGGATCCCCTCCCTGAGCTCCTGCTCCTGCTCTGGGCTGCACCCAGCACACGGGGCCCGGCTGCAGACATCACTGCTGGTGCTGGTACCTGCTTGCTGCGCTTTCGAGCCTCCTCCAGCACGGTGCCGCGCTCCGCCAGCCGCTGCAGCACCTTCCCCAGCCGCTCCTTGGCCGACAGCACCATGTTCTGGATCACGGCCCCGTCCTGCTTCCTGCTGAAGTCCCTCAAGCGAGCGGCCACAGCCTCCAGGCCGGCCAGCTTCTCCCCATGGGCACTCGCCTCTCTCACCAGCACCTGAGGGGAGGGGAGCGGGCGCAGCTCAGCCTGTGCCGGGAGCCCCACGAGCCGGAGGCATCCCTTGCACTGCGGCTGCTGCTGCTGCTGGGGAGCCCTCAGCAGCCCCAGGGCCCAGCGTGGCCCCGGGACCGGCCTGGCTCTTGCCTTGTGCTCCTGCAGCTGCGCGGTGACGGTGTCAAGGACGAAGCTGGGCGGCGCGGGGTCCCCGAGCTGCTCCTCTGCCTGGGCCACCCAGCGCAGCAGCTCCTGCACGGTGCCGTGGAACTCGGTGCTGACGGTCACCCCCTCGGCCAGGCTCTCCTGCGGGCAGCGCACGGGGCTGAGGGGGACGGGCGCCCGCAGCAGCCCCAGCCGCAGCCTCAGCCCCAGCACATCGCTCCCCGCGCACCTTCCGCTCCTGCGCCTCGGCACGGACGCTCTCCCACTTGTGCTGCAGCAGGCGCAGCCCGTGCTCCGTGCTGCAGGGCTGCCCCACGCCGCTGGGGCCCAGCAGCCGCTGCAGCCGCTCCCGCAGGCTGCTGTACGTGTCCTGCTTGGAATCCAGCTCCCTGCACAGCTCCTGCGGGGACGTGGCGGCAGCCCCAGCGGCACAGTCACACCAGGGATGGGGACATGGGGATGGGGACGTGGGGACAGTGATGGAGATGAGACAGGGACAGAGATGGGCACTGGAACGGTCATGGGGACACACACAGGGATGTGGATGGGGAGACGTGGACAGGGATGGATCCATGGATAGGGTCACAGGGATGGGGACAAGGATTTTCCCACTGTGTCCCAGGGTTGCTGGGGGGCACAGGAGGTCTCTGCGTGCTCTGGCAAGGCAGAAATGGGTCCTGGACCCTGTGGCACCCAGGCCCCCCACCAAGGGACACCCAGGACACCCCTGCGGAAGGGGGACACCCCAGCGGAGCCCTGGTGCTCACCAGATGCACCGTGAGCATCTCTTTGGTGGTGTCCGGGTGGCCCCACACTGGCTTCGAGAAGAAGAGCTGCAGCTCCACCTGCTCCAGCCACTGCAGCAGCTCCGTGATCTCCAGTGTAATGTCTTGGACCTGGCAAAGTGCTGGGGCTCAGCACCGCAGCAGCACCAGGACCAGCAGCACCAGCACTGGCAGTACGGGGCCGCAGTGCCAGTACCAGCACCACCGGGACCAGCAGCACCAGGACACACAGTGCCGGTACAGGCAGCACCACGGCAGGCAGAGCCAGTACCTGGCTGAGGTTGTTCTCCAGCTGCAGCTGTCGGGTCTCGGTCTCGCTGCGCACCAGATCCCAGCGCTGGTTGAGCTGGTGCAGGCTGTGCTGCAACCCCTCCTCGCTGTGCCCCATGCTGCAGAGCAGCAGCCCCTGCGCCGCCTCATTCACCGCCTGCACCGTGCGCGCGTGGCAAAGCACGTCGTTCCGCAGCACCTGCGATGGGCACCACAGTCACAGCCAGCACTGCCGCACCGGGGACCCGCGGCACCGCGTGGCTGCACCGCACCGCGGCCCTCCCCAGGGTGTTTGGGCTGCACCGTGCCCGTGCCCCGTGTCCCCCCTGTCCCTGCTCACCGTGTGCTTGGCCAGCTCGATCTCGCAGCTCTGCAGGTCGGGGCGCAGCACCGCGGGGCTCTGCAGCGTCTCGGCCGTGCGCGTCAGCCACTGCAGCAGCTCCTGCAGCTGGTGCTGGAACTGCCCCAGCCCCAGCAGCGCCGCCTCCAGCTCGTGCTGCGCCGGGGAACGGCCGCTCTGACATGAGATCACCCAGCACCCACCGCACAGCACCCACCCCGCTCCCCGCATGCCCACCCAGTTCCCTTGCACCCGCACTGCTGTCCCCCCTGTACCTGCCGGCTGACGATCTCCTCCTCCAGACGGTCCCAGCGCTGGCGGAAGTCGGGAAGCGCGGCTGCGGGGTCCCCCTGGGATGGGTCCCCCTGGGCCAGGTCTCCCTTGGCCGTGCCCCCCGTGCCGGGCTGGTGCTGGTGCTGCCGCAGCGTCTCCACATCCACCCGGCACTGGTAGAGCTCCCGCTTGAACTCCTGTGGTGGAGAAGATGGGGCTGCCCTGGCACGGGGTGTGGCACGGCACAGGATGGCAGAGCATGGGATGGAACAACATGGGACAGAATGGGATGGGATGCCAGAGCTGAGCCTAGTTTGGCATAGCATGGCACAGAATGGCAGAGCTGGGTCTGGTTTGGTACTGAATGGCACAGAATGGCAGAGCTGGGTCTGGTTTGGTACTGAATGGCACAGAATGGCAGAGCTGGGTCTGGTTTGGTACTGAATGGCACAGAATGGCAGAGCTGGGTCTGGTTTGGTACCGAATGGCACAGGATGGCAGAGCTGGGTCTGGTTTGGTACCGAATGGCACAGGATGGCAGAGCTGGGTCTGGTTTGGTACTGAATGGCCCAGGATGGCAGAGCTGGGTCTGGTTTGGTACCGAATGGCCCAGGATGGCAGAGCTGGGTCTGGTTTGGTACCGAATGGCACAGAATGGCAGAGCTGGGTCTGGTTTGGTACCGAATGGCACAGGATGGCAGAGCTGGGTCTGGTTTGGTACCGAATGGCACAGGATGGCAGAGCTGGGTCTGGTTTGGTACCGAATGGCACAGGATGGCAGAGCTGGGTCTGGTTTGGCACAGGACAGCCCAGCATTGCACAGTACGGTTCAGCTGGGTCTGGCACGTGCCCCACGCGGCTGGACGCACCTTGAGCTCCACCAGCTGCTGCTGCAGCACCGGCAGGTCCCCGCCGACAAGGAACTCCTCGGCCAGGCGCAGCTCGGCCGCATCCAGCCACCCGCAGAGACGCTGCAGCCAAGGACGGACGCGTCAGGGGGGGCCAGGCCCCATCTGTGTGCCCATCCGCGTCCCACACAGTGTCAGCACAGCGTGGCCAAGGCACCATCACCCTGTACCCTGCAGCCGCACCACTGCACCACTGCATCCTGCCCCACGGCCCTGCCAGCCCCACAACCAAAGCAGCAACATGATGCAATAGCCAGTCTGCCCCACACCACCTGGTCCCCTGCCCACCCCATGCACAGAAGACGGGGCAGGGACACCCCAGCCCCACACCCGGTGCAGGGTCCCACCTGCTCAGTGTCCTGGTGGGTGACAGCAGCCTGGAGCTGCTCCTCGAGGCGGCCGAAGCGCCGGGCCCAGGCCTGGCTGAGGCTGTGCCATGAGCGGTAGAGCTGGGGGTGGTGGGGTGGTCAGCAGCACCGCAGGGACGGGAGGGGACATGGGATGGGGGGGCATGGGATGGGGGAGCATTGCGGATGGGTTGGTGGCACCACACAGGGTTCATGGTGCCGGGGCCACCCCACCGGCACTGGCCCCCCCAGTCGATGCCCACACGCTCACATCGTCCATGCTCCGGGTGACGTCGGGTTTGCCGGGGTCCCCGCAGGCGGCTGCCAGCTCCACGCCAACGCTGCCGAGCGCGTCCAGCTCCACCTGCAGCGTGTCCAGCTCCTCCCGCAGCGCCTGCAGCACCCACATGGATCAGGGCGGCCCATGCTGCGGCACTGCCCCTGCGAGGGGTCACCTGTGCCATGGGCAGTGCTGCTGGTGCTGCCTGTGCTATGAGGCTGCTCATGCTGTGGCACTGCCCGTGCCATGGGGCTGCCCATGCTGCACCACTGCCCGTGCCATGGGGCTGCTCATGCTGTGGCACTGCCCGTGCCATGGGGCTGCTCATGCTGCACCACTGCCCGTGCCATGGGGCTGCCCATGCTACACCACTGCCCATGCAATGTGCATGGGCACAGTGCTCCATGGCAGTGGGGCTGCCTGCACCACAGTGCTGCCCTTGTTGCAGCACTGACTGTGCCACGAAGCTGCAAAAACCATGAGGCTGCCCATGCCTGTGCCATTGGACTACTCATGAAATGGATCTGCCCATGCTGCAGCACTGCCTGTGCCATGGGGCTGACCATGCTGTGGCACTGCCTGCGTCATGGGGGTACCCATACTGCATAGCCTACTCTTGCAGCACTGCCTGCATTGCAACACTGCCCTCAGCCCCAGCCCATACCTGCATGGAGCGCAGCCGGGCCCGGATGGTATCAGGCTCTGGGGTGTCCTCGGTGTCACCACCAGCATCCTCCAGCGCCAGCAGCACGTGCTGGGTGTCGCTTAGCGCCACTGCCAGCTCGGCCAGGCCCTGCCAGAACCGCTCTGCCAGCGGTAGCACGTCCCGCAGCCACCGTTCCCGCTCCTGGCACCGGCGCTGCAGGGACCCCCACTGAGCCTGCAGCTGCGCTGGCCTCTCCTGCAGCCCTGCAGAGACAGTGGTGGTGCTTGCACTGCAGCTTGGACTGGCAACTGCACCAGGACCCTGCACCAGGACCAGCATCAAGCACCAGAAGCTAACAGCAGCACTGAGACCCCGCAACCCCCCACCGGGACCCCACACCATGACCTACAACCCTGCACCAGGATCTTGCACCAGCACATCACACCCTGTACTAGCACCCCACACTGGGACTGGGACCCAGCTCTGGCACCTTGCACCCTGCACAGGGACCCCGCGCTGGGACCGTGCTCCATCACCATGGCATGTGCACACCTGCAGCCGCGGCACTGCAGCCGGCCTCCAGCACGCTGCCCAGCAGCTCCTCGCCCTGCGCCTGAACTGTGGCCAGGGCAGCCCCGAGCTGCTCCAGCTCTGCCAGCGCCAGTGCGTTGTCCTGGAGCTGCTCCCGCAGCTGCACCGCGTCGCCGCGTGCGCCAGGCTGGCTCTGCAGGCGCCGCTGCAGCCGCTCCAGGCACTCCCGCAGCACATCCATGCGCTCTGAGAGCTGTGGGGACACACCAGCCCCGGTGACTCGTGGAGTCAGCAGCGTGTCCCCCCCAGCCCCAGCCCAGCTCCGTACCTGGCTGTACCGCGGCAGAGCATCCTCAAGCAGCGTGGCTGCCTGGCGCAGGCGCTGCCGGATGCAGCTGTAGAGCTCATCAGCCTCGCTGCAGCGCTGCCGGAATGGTGCCGCCTGCTCCGGGCTCAGCTCCTGCAGCTGTGCTGCAACGCGCTGCAGCTTCCCCAGCAGCGGTCGGTGCTCAGCCAGGGCCTCGCGCAGGCTCTGCGGGTACAGGACGCTGCAGGGGCCGCCCACCGCTGCTGCTGCCCCGCACCCAGCGCTCCCATTGCCCCGTGCCCGTCACTGCCCCACGCCCACCACCACCTCACCTGCAGCAGCTGCTGCTGCTCCTTAAAACCGTCACAGTCGATGGTGCTGGGAGCGAGCTGCAGCGCGGCCGCCTGCGCCTCCCGCAGCCAGGGCTGCAGCTCCTCCTGCACCTCCGTGAACTGCGCCAGCAGTGCCTGTGCCTGCTCCAGCTGCTCACCGCGGGCACTGCAGCGCTGCCAGAGCTGCTCCATGTGCTCTCGCAGCGCCTGCACCGATGGCTGCCGACACACACAGTGACACGGGGCATGGGCATTGCTGCAGTGGCACCATCACCACATCCTCCCTGGCACCCCTGGCACTGCTCACCTGCAGGCGCTGCCGCAGCGGGTCGGGGATGCAGTGCAGCAGCGGGTCGGTGACACGTAGCAGCCGCTCCACCAGCGCACGGCGGTGCAGGACCTCAGCTGACAGCAGCTGCAGGACACGCAGCGGTTGTATTGGTGCTAGGGCCACATGCAGGGGCTCCAGGCAGTGCTTGGCCACAGACCCACCTTCTGCTCATCAAGCTGCGCACGCAGCACCGCAGCATCCAGCGGCACCGGCACCGGCTGCTCCATGAGCGCAGCGAGTGCGGTTGTGCAGCCCAGCTGCGCCTCCAGGAGCTGCTCCAGCTTTGGCACAGGGACACCATCACCACCATCAGTCACACTGCCACCGCTGTGACCACCCTCCCCACTGTGGCACAGAGCCCCCAGCACATCTGGCACCTGCTCTCCTTGGTCAGTGCCATCACTGCAGGCCGGTTCCTGCTCCATGCGGCTCAGCCACAGCACCAGGTCATCTTGCACCATGTCCAGGCGGGCTGAGGCCTCCAGCGTCTGCCCCAGTCGCTGCGAGGCATCGGCGCTGCTCCGGCACACGATGAGGTACCGCGTCCGCAGCGACTCCAGTTTCTCCTGCACCACCTGCACCTCCTCCCCTGCAGCACCACCACAGCCGCTGTCAGCACTGGCGCAGCCCTGTCCCTGGCTCCATCCCGCAGCTTGTGCTGCACTGCCAACAGAGCCCCAGCAGCGCCCAGTGCCCGTCCCCGCTCACCTGTGACCATAGTCAGGACCTGCTGCCCACTTGCCAAAGCACTGTCCAGCTCCCCCAGCCGTGCACCGACCTCCTGGCACAGCTCCTGTGACATGATGTGGTCACCTCAGCTGGCACCGGCCCCAGCACACACCATGCAGCACCCATGGGTGCTGCACCCTCCTGCCCCACCCGCCTGCCCCAACCTGGCTTTGCCGATGGGCGTCCTGCATGTCGCCACAGCCATCGGCGCGCCAGAGCTGCGCCAGCCTCCGCTCCGCGGCTCCCAGCCACTCCTGGAAGGAATCGGCGGCCTCCTGGAAGCGCAGCGCTGCCGGCAAGATCTGCTCCAGGCGGCCTGACCTGGTAGGACCCGTGTTAGCCAGGGCTGGGGACGGTGCCACCGCGGCCCCAATGGGCCGGGTCCTCCCTCGCAGCCCAGCCGGACCCACCTGGCTCCTGCCTCCTGCACCAGCCACTCCCACCTCTCGCCGAGGGTGCCGGTGCCGGTGTCACGCACCAGGGCCCCGGATCCATCCTGCAGCACCAGCTCCACGCGCGGCCGCCGCTCCTCCAGCAGCCGCTGCAGCAGCTGCAACACAGCAGGACACGGCGCTGCAACCGCAGCCACACACACCCCCTGCACCACAACACAGTGCCATGGCACAGCACCGGCAGCACTGCAGCCGTTGCACCTCCGCACCTTCTGCTCCTCCAGCTGCGCCTTCACCACCTTTGCCTCGGCTGATGGTGGCCTCTGGTTGCCCACCAGCTCCTCCATGTCAGCCACCCAGGCCAGCAGCGCCTCTGGCGTGTCCTGAGCCCGATCCACCAACACCAGTGCCGCCAACGCAGCCTCCTCTGGCACCACCTGTGGGGGACATGAGGCTGAGCCCTCAGCCCCTGCGCACCCATGCTCCTCCTCAGCAGATGAAGGGCAGGCGCTGCCAGCACCGGGGCTGGACCCATCCTGCAGCACCAGCAGGTCCCCGCACTGCAGCCAGAAGCCAGAAGCACACTGCCCCATGTGAGCCAAGGGCCGAGGCTCCCAGCGTGGTGCTGGCGGTGGCGACAGTCCCTGCCCACGGTCACCTCTGTGGCATCTCTGTCCCCCCGGCGTTCCGCCGGCGTGGTGCCAGTGCCGGTGAGCGGGGCCTCGGCGCCCGGGTACTGCGTCACCTCCACGATCTCGGTGACGATGGTCTCGGTCACCTCTGTCACCTCCGTCACTTCACGCCGGGTGCCAGGGGCCCAGCCCCATGTGCCACGGTGCGTGGGGGGTGTCCAGGCTGCACCTGGCACCAGGACACACGCAGTGCTGCCATTCTGCACCAGCACTGGGCTGTGCTTCAGGCTCCCGGTGGCACCGGGTGCCACACTCCAGCCATTCTGCACCGTGTCCGGCACCGCGTCCCGGAGCTGTGCCTCTGCTGAGCGCCGGCGCCTCTGGCCCAGGCAGCCGGGCCGGGTCACTGAGTTCCCCATGGCACCAGCACCGGCACCAGCTCCAGCCTGCAACGAGCCACGAGAACGAACGTTACCAGAGCCACCGCAGTGCCCTGCGCCCTGGTGCTGCCCAGGGGTCACCTGCACTGAGCCAGGGCCTCCTGGCATCAGGACCACTCAGTGCACGCGGTGCCACCGGCTGCACCAGCACTGGGCTCAGGCTCCTGGTTGGTGCTGCTTTGTGCTGATGGATTATAGTGGAGCCGGAGAAAGGAGCCACCTGCTGCTGTGGGGCCCATGGAGGGGTGTGGGGCTGAGGATGTGGGGCTGGGTGCGGGAATGGAGGAGTGGGCAGATGTAGGGATGCATGAGAGGATGTAGGGATGGATGAGGGATGTAGGGATGGATGAGGGGATGCAGGGATGGATGAGGGGATGCAGGGATGGAAGAGAGGATGTAGGGATGGATGAGGGGATGCAGGGATGGATGAGGGGATGTAGGGATGGGTGAGGGGAGGTAGGGATGGATGAGGGGATGCAGGGATGGATGAGAGGATGTAGGGATGGGTGAGGGGAGGTAGGGATGGATGAGGGGATGTAGGGATGGATGAGGGGATGCAGGGATGGATGAGGGGATGTAGGGATGGGTGAGGGGAGGTAGGGATGGATGAGGGGAGGTAGGGATGGATGAGAGGATGTAGGAATGCATGAGGGGATGTAGGGACGCATGAGGGGATGTAGGGATGGATGAGGGGATGCGGGGATGGGTGAGGGGATGTAGGGATGGGTGAGGGGATGCGGGGACGGGTGAGGGGATGCGGGGACGGGTGAGGGGACGTGGGGATGGGTGAGGGGACGTGGGGATGGGTGAGGGGACACGGGGATGGGTGAGGGGACGCGGGGATGGGTGAGGGGACGTGGGGATGGGTGAGGGGACACGGGGATGGGTGAGGGGACGCGGGGATGGGTGAGGGGACGCGGGGACGGGTGAGGGGATGCAGGGATGGGTGAGGGGATGCAGGGATGGGTGAGGGGATGCGGGGATGGGTGAGGGGATGCGGGGATGGGTGAGGGGACGCGGGGATGGGTGAGGGGATGCGGGGATGGGTGAGGGGATGCGGGGATGGGTGAGGGGATGCAGGGATGGATGAGGGGACGCGGGGATGGGTGAGGGGACGCGGGGACGGGTGAGGGGACGCGGGGACGGGTGAGGGGACGCGGGGACGGGTGAGGGGATGTGGGGATGGGTGAGGGGATGCGGGGATGGATGAGGGGACGCGGGGACGGGTGAGGGGATGTGGGGATGGGTGAGGGGATGCGGGGATGGGTGAGGGGATGCGGGGACGGGTGAGGGGATGCGGGGACGGGTGAGGGGACGCGGGGTGCGGGGATGGGGCTGGGAGCACCCATCCATCAGGTAGGGAGCAGGGAGGGGCACCCCCACCCCCACCCGCCCCGCGCGCCCTCCCACGTGTTCACGCCCCGCAGCCTCGCACCCGCGCGAGCCCCGGGGCCGGGCAGCGCCACGCACGGAGCGCGCCCCCCGCCCCCCCTCGCCCCGACCCCCGCCCCCCCCCCCCCCGCACTCACCGCGGCGGAGCCGGGCCCGGGGCTCCGGGGGGGCTTCGGGGGGCGCCGGTACCGGGGGGGGGGGGGGCGGGGCGAGTCCCGCCTTTGTTCGTGCGCGCTGGGGGGGCGGGGCCCGGCGGGACGCTCCGGTACCGGCGCTGCCCCCGCTGACCCCCGCCCCTCCCCCCCCGGCGCGAGCCGGAGCCGTTACCGGGGAAACCCCCGGGGCTCGCGCCAGCGCCGCCGCCCCGCCCCCACCCGGCCCCGCCCCCGCCCCCCGCCCCGCCCCCGCCCCGGTCGCGTCGTGTGGCCCCCCCCCCCCCCCCCGAGCGGCAGAGCCCCACGGGGACCCAGAGCGGCGGCGCGGACCCGCAGCAGCAGAGACCAAGAGGGACACGGCCCCACCGCAGCACAGCCCCAGCACAGCTCCAGCACAGCCCCACAGCCCCAGCACGGCACAGCCCCATCACAGCACAGCCCCACAGCCCCATCACAGCCCCACCGCAGCACAGCCCCATCACAGCTCCATCACAGCCCCACAGCCCCACCACAGCACAGCCCCACAGCCCCATCACAGCCCCACAGCCCCAGCACAGCCCCATCACAGCCCCATCACAGCCCCACAGCCCCAGCACAGCCCCACAGCCCCAGCACAGCCCCAGCACAGCCCCGCAGCCCCATCACAGCCCCACCACAGCACAGCCCCATCACAGCCCCACAGCCCCACCATCACAGCACAGCCCCAACACAGCACAGCTCCACGGACCCACAGCCACGCAGGTGCCAGGAGGACGCTGCTGCTGTTGCTGCTGTTGCAGCACTGCACATGGCGTGAGCCCCCCTGCTGCAGCAGCAGGTTCCAGCTGCACCCTGCACCATGTACCACATACCCTGCACAATGTACCACATACCCTGCACCATACACCGTGCACCATGCACCATGTACCCTGCACGCTGCACCCTGCATCATGCACCATGTACTATGTACCATGCACCATGCACATGCTGCAGGCAGTGGTACAGGAGCTGCTGCACCGGTGGGTGTGGCTCCCACAGGACCCCCGGGTGCAGAGGCTTTGGCTGCACTGGTGCTGGAGCCACTGCCACAGGGAACAAGCTGCTCCCGGTGCTCCTGCAGCATCTGCCCTCTGCACCTGACCCCACAGCTGCGTCAGGGAGGTGACAGCGCCCGGCTGCGGGCACAGGGGGACACAGCGGAACGGGGCTGCACACCCTGCATGGCTGCACATACCCTGTGCATGGATATACCCCGATGCATGGCTGCATGATCCTGTGTAAGGATGTACCCTCGTGCATGGCTGCACATCCTGCATGGCCACACACATCCTGTACAGGGATGTACCCCCATGCATGGCTGCATGATCCTGTGTAAGGATGTACCCTTGTGCATGGCCGCACATCCTGCATGGCCGCACACATCCTGTACAGGGATGTACCCCGATGCATGGCTGCATGATCCTGTGTAAGGATGTACCCCTGTGCATGGCTGCACATCCTGCATGGCCACACACATCCTGTACGGGGATGTACCCCCATGCATGGCTGCATGATCCTGTGTAAGGATGTACCCTTGTGCATGGCCGCACACCCTGCATGGCCGCACACATCCTGTACAGAGATGTATCCCTGTGCATGGCTGCACACCCTGCATGGCTGCACACATCCAGTGCACAGGTGTACCCTTGAGCATGGCTACACACATCCTGTGCATGGATGTACCCCTGCACATGGCTGCACATTGTCAATGCACAGCTGCAGACGCCTTGCACGGGCAGGGGACATGGCTGCATGCACCTTGCCCACTGCACAGCCCCCATGAGAAGGGGACCCAGTGCCGCACACACTGCCTGGTCTGCGGAGCTGCAGCACGCAGCTGTTCTTGGTACCAAAAGTGTCCCCAGCGCCCACAGGGCTCCGAGGACGCGATGCCACTGGCAGTGGCATGGCCACAGGGACCAAAGGCTCCAAGCCCACAAGGCTGATGGTGCTGGTGGGCTGGGAGCAGGACCCATGTCACCAGTGGTACCAGGACCCATGTCACCAGTGGTACCAGGACCTGTGTCACCAGTGGTACCAGGACCTGTGTCACCAGCACAGCAGGACCCGTGCCACCAGCAGTACCAGGACCCATGACACCAGCAGTGCCAGGACCTGTGTCACCAGCACAGCAGGACCCATGTCACCAGCGATACCAGGACCCATGACACCAGCAGTGCCAGGACCTGTGTCACCAGCACAGCAGGACCCGTGTCACCAGTGGTACCAGGACCTGTGTCACCAGCACAGCAGGACCCATGTCACCAGCAGGAGCAGGATCATGACACCAGCAGTGCCAGGACCTGTGTCACCAGCACAGCAGGACCCATGTCACCAGCAGGCCCATGTCACCAGCAGGAGCAGGACCATGTCACCAGCCGCACCGGTGCAGTGCTGACATGTCCCCAGTTGTCCTTGTCAGTGTCTCCCCCCTTGCCCCTCTGGCACCATGGTTGGGTCATTCCCTTTTACCTGCAGCGCTGGCAGCTGCCGCTCCACTGCATCCAGCCAATGCCGCAGGGCCTGCAGCCGGTGCTGCACCTCCAGCCGTGTGCTGCAGGGACAGCAGGGACACTGTGACAATGGTAACACGGGGGGCTATGGGGCTGCAGTGTGGCTGTGGGACTGTTATGAGGCTGTGACAGGGCTGTGGGGCTGCTCCCACGCAGCCTTGCTCACCCCATGGATGTTCCCCACCGTGTCCCACTCCTGCTGCAGGATCCCGGTCACCGCAGTGCCCCCATGCACACGCAGGCCCTGCTGCAGCGTCGCGGCCATGCCGTACCTTGCCATGGGCTCCCCATCCAGTGATGACCCCTCAAAGCTGGCTCCAGGGGGTCCGCTGGCACCGGTGGCCTCAGCAGTGCCGTGGGGCTGCAGGGAGAGCAGGGGACACGTGGGGACACGTGGGGGTGCTGGGCCCATGCCACGGACCTGCCACCGTGCCCTGCACCCGGTGTGTTACCGCAGCGCTGTGCAGTGCAGCCGCTCACCGGGGGTGCCCGGAGCCCTGGAGAGGCTGCAGGAGCCCGGAGCAGATGCTGCAGGTGCTGCAGCGAGCAGCAGGGCTGGGACCGGCTGCAGCCTGCAGCGAGGAGCTCGTCCAGCACCAGGGGCTGCAGGTGCATGCCCAGGGAGGAGGAACAAGAGGAGGATGAAGGGTGCCCGGTGCTCGGGAGCGAGCAGAGCCCTGGGTGGTGCAGCCGGGGCGCAGTGAGGAGCGGGCACGGGCGCGTGGGCGCTGCCAGGAGGGCCCGGGGAGCTGGAGGTGAAGCATGAACATGGGCTGAGGTGGTGCCATGGAGCTGATGATGGTGATGGTGGGGGTGGCGGTGAGGATGCTGAGCACAAGACCTGAGCAAGGATGGGAGGACCCGCACCCCACACCCTCCACCTCACACCCTGCACCCCATACCCTGCACCCGCACACCTGGGGCTGGTGCCCCTCAGCTGCTGCCAGAGCCACGGGCTGTGTCCCACAGCGCTGCATGCACCTCCTGCCAGTACCTGCAGCCAGTGCAGGCAGCCAGTGCCAGCGATGGAGCAGCCACAGGGGTCTGGCTGCAGGGGGTACATGGATGGATTCACCGGCACAGCTGACTCTGGCTTGATGGTGCAGACACTGGTGTGGAGCTGCAGCAGCACAGCCTTTGGCCGGGTGTTGCAGGGTCTTGGGGCCCTGGCCCTGAGATGGAGCAGAGCTGGGAAGAGCATGGATCTGCAGGAGCCACGTCTTGCCCCACGGACACAGGGTCCCCACCAGGGGATGGGATGGGGCTGTCACCCCTACACAGTGCATGGAATCCCAGCCTGATTTGTGTTGGAAGAACTTAAAGCTCCTCCAGCTCGAACCCCTGCCACAGGCAGGGACCCCTTCCATTGGTGCAGGGTGCTCCAAGCCCCTGTGTCCAACCTGGCCTTGAACACTGCCAGGGATGGGGCAGCCACAGCTTCTCTGGGCACCCTGTGCCAGCGCCTCAGCACCCTCCCAGGGAAGAGCTTCTGCCTCAGAGCTCAGCTCAGTCTCCCCTCGGGCAGGTTCAAGCCATTCGCCTTGTCCTGTCCCTACATCCCTTGTCCCAACCCCTCTCCAGGTTCCCTGCAGCCCCTTCAGGCACTGGAGCTGCTCTCAGCTCTCCCCTTCAGGAGCCTTCTCTTCCCCAGGCTGCCCCAGCCCAGCTCTCCCAGCCTGGCTCCAGGGCAGAGCTGCTCCAGCCCTCGCAGCAGCTCCAGGTCCCTCTGGTGCTGTTGCCCTGAGCTGGACGCTGCTGTCTATGGAAGGTGCTTTGGGGTCGGGTGTCCCAGGGGAGCAGGGGGTGATGTGTGGTGGCACAGGATGGCTGGGGAAGGTGCACAGACAAGGGACACAAGGGCCAGTGGGGGCTCAGGGCTGAGGGGCACATGGGGCTCGTCCAGGAGCTCTCAGCGGGGACAGGAGCTGCACCCACAGACGCCGTGGGGAGCTGTGGGGTTTCCAGCCACGCTGTGGGGCTGGGCCACGGGCGGCACCCATGGGCACCGGTAGGTCCTGGTGGTACCAGGAGGTCTGAGAGAGGTGGTTTCAGGGGGCTCAATGTTTGGGGAAGCCCAGAGCAGGAACCGGTCCTTGCTGGGACCCATCCTGAGCTCCCCCATAGGCACCGTAGTCCCCGCACACCTTCTGCATCTAACCCCACATCCAGCACCACATCCAGCACCACATCCAGCACCACATCCAACGCCACATCCAGCACCACATCCAACCCCACATCCAACCCCACATCCAACCCCACGTCCAACCCCGCATCCAGCACCGCATCCAGCACCACATCCAACACCGCATCCAGCACCACATCCAGCACCACATCCAGCACCACATCCCACCCCATATCCAACCCCACATCCAGCACCACATCCAGCACCACATCCAACCCCTCGTCCAACCCCACGTCCAACCCCACGTCCAACCCCACGTCCAACCCCACATCCAGCACCGTATCCAGCACCACATCCAGCACCACATCCAGCACCGCATCCAGCACCGCATCCAGCACCACATCCAGCACCGCATCCAGCACCACATCCAGCACCACATCCCACCCCATATCTAGCACCACATCCAGCACCACATCCAGCACCGCATCCAGCACCGCATCCAGCACCACATCCAGCACCACATCCCACCCCATATCTAGCACCACATCCAGCACCACATCCAGCACCGCATCCAGCACCGCATCCAGCACCACATCCAGCACCACATCCAGCACCACATCCCACCCCATATCCGACCCCGCATCCAGCACCACATCCAGCACCGTACCCAGCACCGCATCCCACCCCATATCCAACCCCGCATCCAGCACCGCATCCAGCACCACATCCAACCCCACGTCTAACCCCACATCCAGCACCGCATCCAGCACCGCATCCAGCACCACATCCCACCCCATATGCAACCCCACATCCAGCACCACATCCAGCACCGCATCCAGCACCACATCCCACCCCATATGCAACCCCACATCCAGCACCACATCCAGCACCGCATCCAGCACCACATCCAGCACCACATCCCACCCCATATCCAACCCCACATCCAGCACCACATCCAGCACCGCATCCAGCACCACATCCCACCCCATATCCAACCCCACATCCAGCACCGCATCCAACCCACATCATAGAACCATAGAATCATAAACCAGTTAGAACTGTAAAGGACCTGAAGATTACTTAGTTCCAGCCACCCGCGGGGGGCAGGGACACCTCGCACCAGACCATGTCACACAAGACTTAATCCAGCCTGGCCTTGAACACTGCCAGGGATGGAGCATTCACAGCTTCCTTGGGCAACCTGTTCCAATGTCCCACCACCCTCACAGTAAAGAACGTTTTCTAACCTGAACTTCCCCTGTTTAAGTTTTAACCCGTTACCCCTTGTCCTGTCACTACAGTCTCTAATGAAGAGTCCCTCCCCAGCATCCCTATAGGCCCCCTTCAGATACTGGAAGGCTGCTATGAGGTCTCCACGCAGCCTTCTCTTCTCCAGGCTGAACAGCCCCAACTTCCTCAGCCTGTCTTCATACGGGAGGTGCTCCAGTGCCCTGATCATCCTCGTGGCCTCCTCTTGATTTGTTCCAACAGTTCCATGTCCTTTTTATGTTGAGGACACCAGAACTGCACACAATGCTCCAGGTGAGGTCTCACGAGAGCAGAGCAGAGGGGCAGGATCACCTCCTTGGACCTGCTGGTCACACTGCTTTTGATGCAGCCCAGGACACGGCTGGTTTACAGGCTGTGAGCGCACACTGAACCTGGCTCATGTTCAGTTTCTCATCAACCAACACCCCCAAGACCTTCTCTGCAGAGACCTCTAGCATCAAACACCACATCCAACCCCACATCCAGCATCGCATCCAGCTGCACATCCAGCACTGCATCCAGCCCAGCATCCAAACTCCTATCCAAAACCACATCCAGCCCCACATCCAATCCCACATCCAGTACCTCATCCAGCACCGTTTCCAGCCCCGCATCCAGCACTGCTTCCAGCCCCGCATCCAGCAATGCATCCAGCCCAGCATCCAACACGCCATCCAAAACCACATCCAGCCCCACATCCAATCCCACATCCAGTACCACATCCAGCACCGCATTCAGCCCTGCATCCAGCATTGCATCCAGCCTAGCATCCAACACCCCATCCAACACTGCATCCAGCCCCACATCCAATCCCACATCCAGTACCGCATCCAATCCCGCATCCAGCTCACCATCTAGCATCACATCCAACACTGCTCCAACCCCATCGTGCTGCACCACAACCCACTGCAGCCCACAGCACAAAGAGCAGCTGGGAGCCATCAACCAACACCAGTGTCACCAGGGCAGCATTGGGTCGAACAGAGCACGTGGAGGTGCTGCTGGTTGGAACATCCTTCACTGCTGCTGTGGCTGCCCCACACGGCAGTGCCAGGACCCCACGGGGTCAGCTCCTGCCCCGCCAGAATGGAGGTGCCAATGGACCGGGATGTCAGGGCCCGGGCGCGGCGCCGCCACTGGCATGATACGCGAAAGCAAAACAGAGAATGAGAGTAATAATCATCATCATCATCATATTAATAACAAGGGATGCGGAGGAACGACAGACGCGGTGGACACGTGGCAAATGGGAGCAGGCGGGAAGGAGGAGAAGTGCTGCAGAAACCCGCGGCGAGTTGCAGCACCGGGCCAGGGGGCCAGGGCACTGCATGGGTGCCCCGGGGCCGGCTGAGGGGCTCTGGCACCCCGGCAGCAGCGGCCCCGCTCTCTGCTGAGTGCAAAGGGTGAGGGAGCATGTCCCAGTGTCCTGCAGCGCGGTGCCGGCGGCCCCGGGATGGGGTCTGGGGGCTCCATGACAGCGGTGAGGGGAGTTGGGATGAACATCCAGCCACACTACAACAGAGCGAACAGAAAGATGGGATGAGACAATGGAGACTGGATCATGGGATGGAGCCCTGAGCCCACGCCAGCAGCGCCCGCCCTGCGCCAAGCAGTACCCGTGGCCGAGCAGCACCACAGCAAAGTCCACACCGAGCCATGCCCGGAGGAGACCGACAGCCCCGGACACCCTGGTGTCAGCACACAGGGAGCACGGCACCGGCTGAAGCCCCAGCACCAACCCAGCAGCAGCCCCAGCTCCAAAGAGGGAACAACCGGAGAGGTCAGCGTTACCTGTGCCGGTGAGCGCGGCCGAGCCACCGCCGCATCCCAATGTCCCCTCGAACCCGTCCACAAGCTGCCGACACCAGAGACCCAGGTGAGGAGCTCGCCCAGAGGTGCCGCGACGCCCTCGCTGGCGCTGGGGAGAGACGTCTGCCAGAGAGAGAGCGCGTTACCGTGGCACCGGCACCAGTGGAACCACCACGAGGGTCAGAGGAACCCAGCATTCCCAACATGGGAGTGCGCTGGTGTCCATCAACCCGCCCTGCTCGTGGGGTCCTGTGGCCTCCACACCCCTCAGAGAACCCCCGCGGTGAGGGAGACGCGGCGCAGGAACCGCGCATGGAGCCAGCCTGGGTTTGGCAGCGCCGAGCTCGGCACCGGGCTCTGGCGGACGCCCACTCATTCCTTGATAATTATTCCTTGTTAATTCCTTCTCAATTCCTCGTTAACTCCTTGTTAACTTATTAAAGCTGCACTAGCATCAAGAACGGGGCCTTGCACGAAGCACTCCCCAGACACATGGGAAGCAGCAGCAGGCGGTGGCGGTAGCTCACGGCAGACCCCAGGCAGTGCCGGAGCAAGGCGCGGTGGCCGTGGGCTGGCGGAGGCGGCAGCAGCTCTTGGCGGACGACGTGCTGGAGCGCGGTCGGGCCAGTGCCACCACACTTACGGTGGAGGCAGCAGTGCCGCGGTGCTGGGGCCGTGCCGGGGCGCTAGGGCAGAGCGGCAGCTCCGGTGCTGGTGTGGAGTGTCAGGTGCGCGGTGCTGGCAGTGTCCTCCTCCTCCCGCCAGCACGTCCGCGGGAAAAGGGTCGTCTCCTCCTTGGGGAGTGGGATGAAGCGGCGGGTTAATTATAAAAGAGTCTCTAAGTGGTTAGATCCAAAAGACAGAACGGTTTTCCTGTTTTCCTGTTGGATTTCCTATTGGTTTTCCTATGTTATGTTGAGTTTCCTGGTTTGCAGCCCTGCCAGGCCATGCCACAGGGCGGGCGCGGTGACGGGCCGGGTGATTTCTCTTTGAGTACACACACCCCCGGGCTATGCTGGGTTTCACAGGTTAGTTTTGGTTAAGCCAGGGCCGGCTTTGGCAGGTCATCACCACATTCAACCAGTAACAGGAGATCAGTCCTAGGGAGTAGCAGCAGCGTTGCCACATGCGGAGCGAGCAGGCAGCGGGTTCCTCACGCAGGGGCTGGCGGGTCAGGCCACGCGCAGCGGCAGCCGGTGCATCCCGGCGCGCTCCACGCTTGCCTCCCTCCCGCAGCTCCAGACCAAGGCGGAGGTGAAGGCAGCCACTGCCTCCGTGGGACCCGTCGTGTATCTGCGCCCGAAGCTCGAGGAGGAGTAGGAGGAAGAAGAGAAGGTCATGGAGAAGCCGGAGCCGGTGGCGTCAAAGCTGCCGCGCCGGGAGCCAGAGCGGGAGCCGGTGCGGGAGCCTGAGCGGGAGCCGGACGTGGAGCCGGCGCTGCTGACGTTGTAGGGGCTGTAGTAACCTTTGCTGGATTGAGAGGAGGCCTCCAGGAGGCGCAGGCCGGTGCCGTCCTCCACCATGCTGCGGTCCATGGCGTCCTTGTAGGAGATCTTGAGCTTGGTCTTGGGGCAGGTGAGGTACTTGGAGTAGGTGTTGACGTCGCGCAGCTTCTGGGCCGTGCGCGCATCAATGGTGCCTTTCTGCAGCGCCTCATCCAGGGACACACGGCCCTCGACGTCCGGCTCGATGAGGCCGCCCGTCAGGTACTGCACCTCCAGGAACCGCTGCCCGGCCTCGTAGTAGAGCCAGCCCTTCTTGAGCGCCTGCGCCGCCGACATCTTCGTCTTGGTGCGCGGGTCCTCGAAGCCGTAGAAGGCCTTTTGCGCCAGGTTGATGCGGTCCACCATGATCTTGTCCACCAGGCCCTTGGTCACGGCGTCAGCCACGGTGCACTTGTCACCGGTGGTGGGGTCAATGATGCCACCGGTGCAGGCCTGAGCCTCCAGCAGCCGCTGCCCCGTGATGTTGTCCACGAGGTTGCGGCGCATGGCCTCGGTGATAGACACCTTCTCCAGGGTGTCTGTGTCCAGGATGCCGGCCACCGGCCCCGTCTCCTCGGTTGGGTCACTCCACATGGATATCTGCGTCCTCACTGGTGCCGGGCTGACACTGTAGGAAGAGGAGGAGCCCACAGAGGACGAGCGTGAGCGGAAGCCGCTCATGTTGCCTGAGAGCATGTCCGCAAACTCAGTGATGGAGAGCGTGCCTGCGCGGTACTGGTCCAGCGCCGACTGGTCGATCAGGCCCTTGCCAATGGCGTCATCGATGTCGTACTGGCGCCCCGAGCGCCGGTCGATGATCATGGACTTCACCACGCCGTCGGAGGAGGAGGTGGTGATCTCCTCCCACTCACACTCCTGCTCTGACAGCTCCAGGTACGTCTGGTGGTCGATGAGGCCCTTGCGATAGGCCTCGTACACAGACATCTCCTTGCCCGTCTCCGGGTCAACAATGACCACCCTGCGCTTGCGGACGGAGGACTTGGAGGACGTCTTCCTCTCTCGCTTCTTCTCCTTCAGGGGCAGGAGACAGAGGCCAGTCTCCGGGTCAGTGATGCACCGCTCCATGAGCTGCAGGTAGGTGAGGTTCTCCTCCGTGTTGGGGTCAAAGAAGCCCTTGGTGTCATCACTGGGGTCCAGCAGGATCTCGTTCATCTCCTCGTCAAAGAGGCCCCTCTTGTAGGCAATCTCCACAGGCAGGCGGTGGCTCTCCTCGGGGTCAATGATGCCGCCAGTGGCAATCTGGGCCTCCAGCAGCCGGATCCCATGGTCCTTCAGGATCAGCCCCTTCTTCATGGCCTGGAAGAGGGAGATGAGCTTCCCGGAGTAGGGGTCCCGGTAGCCGGTGACGGCCCTCTCGGCAGAGAGCAGCTTGTCCTTGAACTCAGGGCCCACAATGCCCATGCGAACGGCCTCCTCCACCGTCAGCTTCAGGCCCTTGATGGGGTCGATGACGTAGCCCGTGGCTGCTTGTGCCTCCAGGAGCTCGAACGCGGTGCCGGGCCTGATGATGCCCTTCTTCATGGCCTGGTACACAGAGAGCCGCTCCTTGGTGGAGTCCACGAAGACACCAGCGATGCAGCTGGTGCCCTCCAGGAACTTCTTCAGGTTCTTGGAGACCTCCTCGATGGAGGTGAGTCCCTCCTGCAGGCGCTGTGCAGTGGCCTCATCCATCACCTGCGAGCGCACCAGCTCCTCCACCGTGATCTGCTTGCGCAGGCCGCGGAAGGTGAGCTTCCGTGCGTCGCAGAGTGGGAGCAGCAGGAGCCCGCTGCCCTCGTCCCGGCGGCACCGCTTCAGCAGCTGCGTGTAGCTCAGCTTCTCCTCCGTGGACGGGTCCACGTAGCTTCGCACCTCACTGGGCTCGGACAGCATGTCGTACGTGTCCTTGTTGATGAAACCCCGCTGGTAGGCCACCTCCAGGGGCAGGTGGAAGCCCAAGTGCGGGTCAATGACGCCGCCGGTGGCGATCTGGGCGTCCAGGAGCTTGAGGGCCTCTTCACTGGGAATGAGGTCCTTCTTCATGGCCTGGAAGATGGAGATCTTCTGCTCGCTGTAGGGGTCTCTGTACCCAGTCACGGCCCTCTCGGCAGACAGGAGCCGGTCGTGGATCTCGGGCCCCACCACACCTTTCCTGACGGCCTCGTCGACGGTCAGCATCTCGTTCTTCATGGGGTCTATCATGAAGCCGGTGGCAGCCTGGGCCTCCAGGAGGGAACGGGCCACTTCTGAGTTGATCAGCCCCTTCTTCAGTGCCTGGTAGATGCTGAGCTTCTGCTTGGAGGAGGGGATGTAGATACCAGCCACGCAGCCCGATCCATAGAGGTACTTCCAGATGGTCTCCACATCCAGGATCTCCCGGAAGGTCTTGGAGCCCTGCTTGAGCAGATTGTAGATGTCTTGGGAGATGATCCTGGCCTCGTAGAGTTCCTCAGCCGTGATGCGGCGCCGGACATAGTCATAGGAGGTGAGATTCTGCTGCCGGATGATCTCGGTCTTCTCGATGATCTCGATGATGATGATGATCATGCGCTCCTTGGACACACGGCCTGACTTGAACTCCTCCATGAGCTGCTTCCGCTGCTCCTCAGGCAGCAGATCCGAGTGCATGATCTCCCACAGTGACATGGAGGAGCCCGCCCTGCTGCCCACCGGGATGTCCACCTGCGTCTCCTCAAACACCTTCCGTGTCTCTGCCTCAGTGTAGACCTGCGTGGTCTCCACCACTGGCAGCTTCTTCTCGGGCTCCCGCAGTGGCAGCAGGTAGAGGCCGGTCTCAGGATCCTCGATGCACCTCTCCTTCAGCTGCGTGTAGGTGAGGTTCTCCTGCGTGTTGGGGTCGAAGAAGCCCCTGGTGTCATCGGTGGGGTCGGAGAGGGTTCGGTTCATCTCCTCATCGAAGTACCCGCGCTTGTAGGCCACATCCACGGGCAGGCGGTGGCTGTGCACGGGGTCGATGATGCCACCGGTGGCGATCTGGGCCTCGAGCAGGCGGATGCCGTGCTCCTTGACAATGAGCCCCTTCTGCATGGCCTGGAAGAGGGAGATGGTGTTGCCAGAATAAGGGTCCTTGTAGCCAGTGACAGCCTTCTCCGCAGACAGCAGCTTCTCGTGCAGCTCGGGCCCCACCACACCAGCCTTGACAGCTTCGTTGACATAGAGTTTACGGTTCTTCACGGCATCGATCAGGAACCCGGTGGCTGCCTGGGCCTCCAGGAGGACCACAGCGGTACCGGGCTGCAGCAGGTTCCGCTTCATGGCCTCGTAGATGTTGAGCTTCTCCTTGGTCGCCTCCACGTAAACGCCAGCAATGCAGTCGCTGCCATGCAAGAATCTTCTCACTGCCTCCGTATCAGAGAAGTCCTTCACCGACTTCTTGCCCTCCTTCAGCTGCTCGTACTGGGCTTTGGTGATGATGCGGGACTCCACCAGCTCACTGGCCGGAACAGGAGCCCGGAGCCCGCTGAATGTCAGCTTCTCCTGCTTCTTGGTCTCTGCCTCCTCAATGATGGTGATGACGATCTTGATGATCTTCTCAATGGTGACCTTGCCGGTCTTGTATTGCCGGAGGAGCTCCCGCCTGTGCTCCTCTGTGAAGTACTCGGAGTGGATCAGCTCCCAGATGGTCATGGTCTGGCCCTTCATGCTGCCCACCGGGACCTCCACAGTCGTCTTGTTGAAGCACTCTTTTGCCTGGCTGTCAGTGTAGACCTCCTCCTGCTGCGCCTGGATGGCTTGGTCAGAGAGGGGCAGCAGGCAGAAGCCGGTCTGCTTGTCACGGCGGCAGGTCTTCTGCATCTGGGCGTAGGTGAGGTGTTCCTGGGTGTTGGGGCAATAGAAAGCCTTGGCGTCATCGCGGAACTCAGCCATCGCCTCGTTCATCTCCGGGTCGAAGTAGCCGCGTTTGTAGGCAACGTCGAGCGGGAGCCGGTGGCTGTGGACAGGGTCAATGATGCCGCCGGTGGCAAGCTGGACATCCAGCAGACGCACGCCAGTGTCGCTGGGGATAAGGCCCTTCTTCAGCGCCTGGAACAGGGAAACCGTCTGGCCTGTGTAGGGGTCTTTGTAGCCGGTCACCGCCTTCTCTGCCGACAGCAGCTTCTCGTGCAGTTCCGGCCCCACCACCTCAGCCTTCACTGCCTCATCCACGGAGAAGAGCATGTTCCTCACGGGGTCGATGATGTAGCCAGTGGCAGCCTGGGCCTCCAGAAGGGACAGGGCGACCTCCGGCTTCAGCAGGTTCCTCTTCAGGGCATCATAGAAAGTGAACTTCTGCCCAGTCGACTCCACCAGGACCCCAGCAATGGTGTCGGTGCCCTTCAGGTACTGCCGTACGGACTCCATCTCCACCACGTCCTTCACTGACTTCTTGCCCTTCTGCAGCTCATTGTAGAGGTCTTTGTTGATGATTTTGCTTTCCAGCAGCTCCGCAGCAGGCACGGGGGCCCGCAGGCCCTCAAAGCACATCTGGCTCTTCTTCTCACTTTCTTCCACAACTGTGATGATGATCTTGATGATCTTCTCCACCGTGATCTTGCCAGTCCGGTACTGCTGGATCAGATCCCGCCTTTGGTCCTCAGTGAAGTATTCCGAGTTGATGATCTCCCAGATGGTCACTGTCTTCCCTTGGAACTTGCCAAATGGTGCTGTCACTGTGGCCTTCTTGAAGACGTCTTTGGCTTCTTTGTCAGTGTAGACCAGCTCCCTGGCTTTGGCTGCCTGGTCAGTGAGGGGCAGGAGGCTCAGCCCCGTGTCAGGGTCAGTCACACACCGCTCCAGGAGCTGCATGTAGGTGAGGTTCTCCTGCGTGTTGGGGTCGAAGAAGCCCCTGGTGTCATCGGTGAGGTCGGAGAGGGTTCGGTTCATCTCCTCATCGAAGTAGCCGCGCTTGTAGGCAGCTTCCACGGGCAGGCGGTGGCTGTGCACGGGGTCGATGATGCCGCCGGTGGCGATCTGGGCCTCGAGCAGGCGGATGCCGTGCTCCTTGACGATGAGCCCCTTCTGCATGGCCTGGAAGAGGGAGATGCGGTCGCCAGTGTAGGGATCCTTGTAGCCAGTGACCGCCCGCTCCGCTGCCAGCATCTTGTTGTGCAGCTCGGGCCCAATGATGCCCTCTCGCACGGCCTCGCTCACCGAGAGCCGCGTGTTCCGTACCGGGTCGATGATGAAGCCGGAGGCAGCCTGAGCCTCCAGCAGCACCAGTGCCGTGCCCGGGCTCAGCAGCTTCTGCTTCATGGCCTCATAGATGCTCATCTTCTCGTTGGTGGGCTTGATCAACAACCCGGCAACGCTGCTCTGGCCCTGCAGGTACCTTCTGACCTCGTCCCTCTGCGCTAGCTCACCAACGCTCACGGTGCCCTTCACCAGCTGCTCCAGGCTCTCCTGGCTCAGGACGCCGGCGTCCACCAGCTTCCCTGCGGGCACCTTCTGCCGGATGCCATCGAAGGCTAACTCGGGCTCACCATTGTGTGCGAGGCCGTCCATCACGTCCCTGCCGTTGGGCATGGCTTGGACGTGTGGCTGAGCCACAGCAACCATGGCCTCTCCGGGCAGGTCGTCCGTCTGGATCATGATCTCACGAGTCTGTGCCAGTGCTGCCTTGTATTCCTCCTGCATCTGCTCCAGCCTCTCCCGCAGCTTCTGGTTCTCCTCTTCCAGAAGCTTCTCCTGGTGCTGCCGCTGCCGCTCCAGCTGCTGCAGCTCCTCCTGCTTGTGCCGGACATTCTCCTCTGCTTCCTTCTGATGCCTCTTGGCCTCGTCCAGCATGGCTTTCAACTGCTGCTTCTCCTGCTCCATCTCCTTTTGCTGCCGCTCCTGCTCCGCCTTCAGGTTCTGGGCTTTGTCCACCTCGTCTTTAAAGAGTTTCTCAAGCTTCGATTTCTCCTCCTCGATGAACTTCTCCTTCTGCAGCAGCGCATCCTTCTCCGTCAGGAAGCTCTGCTGGAGGAGCTGTGTCTCCTGCTGGAGCTGCGCCTGCTGGGCCACCTGCATCTGCAATGGGAAAGAGGACAGAACGGTCAGATGGCACCGTGCAGCGCTGGGAGTATGGCGAGGGGGACATGCACTGCGGCAGCACAGGGCAGGGCTGGCGTCACCCAACTGCATGGGCCCCACGGCAGGGGGTAGGAGTGAACGGGAACAGAGGGGGGTTAGGGAGCTGCAGCAAACAACATGGGGCAGGACAAGCAGGGATGAGACACAAAAGGTCAGCTCTGGGACCCCAACACAAGAGGGACATGGAGCTGCTGGAGTGAGTCCAGAGGAGACCATGGAGATGCTGCAGGGGCTGGAGCAGCTCTGCTCTGGAGCCAGGCTGAGAGAGCTGGGCTGGTTCAGCCTGGAGAAGAGAAGGCTCCTGAAGGGGAGACCTCAGAGCAGCTCCAGTGCCTAAAGGGGCTGCAGGAAACCTGGAGAGGGGACTGGGACAAGGGGTGGACAGAGGGGATGAGGAGAAACGTCTCCAACTGGAAGAGGGAAGAGTTGGATGGGATCTAGGAAAGAAATTCTTCACCATGAGGGTGACTGGGCACTGAAAAAGCTTGAAGGGAGAAGCTGTGGCTGCCCCATCCCTGGCAGTGCTCAAGGCCAGGCTGGACGGAGCTTGGAGCAACCTGCTCTAGTGAGAGGTGTCCCTGCCCGTGACAGGGGGCTGGAGCTAAAGGAGCTTTAAGGTCCCTTCCAACCATTCCATGACCCCATGGGTACTGTGGGGTCAGGTACCGAGGTGGGAGCTGGGCACAGAGAAGATCAAGGGAGGACGGGCCACAGGACCCCAGAAAGGTGCTGGGGTCACCCCACCACAGCAGGAGCTGCGGCAGCAGGAGCAGGTCCTGCCCTGACACCCACTGTGGGGTTTGCATCGCTGCACCAATGCCAGCTCCACGCACACCCCTGACCCACAGCGTGGGGGTCCTGCCTCACCGGCAGCCCAGCAGCTGGGGTATGGACATGGGCTGGAGGCACAGGCAGTGCAGCAGCTCCGTGCCTGTGTCCGCACCACAGGGGCTGTGGTGACGGCGGCCAGGACCTGGTTCCGTGTGGCCGGGGAGGGGGAGGAGGTCCCTGCGTGACACCACTGCTAAGGGGACCCAGTCACCCAGTACCTCCTCCGCCTTCTGCTGCAGCAACGCCGCCTCCTGCTTCAGCTTCTCCTTCTCCTGCTCCAGGTCGGCGATGGCCTGGCGCAGCTTCTCCGCGTCCGCGTCGCTCTGGTGCCGCTGGATCTCCAGGGTGTGCACCAGCGTCATCTTCTCCTGTGTGGCCAGCTCGGTCTGGTGCAGCCGCTCGCTGATCTCCTCTGCCTGCTTCTTGAACTTCTTGGCCTCCTCCTCTGCCTTGGCCTGGGCCATGCTCATCTCCGCCACGTGCAGCTTGAGGCGCTCGGCCTCGGCCGTGATCTCCAGCTGCCGCCGGCGCTCAGCCTCCAGCGTCTTCTGGAAGCCCTCGGTCTCCTCGGCCAGGCGCTGCTGCATCTGTTCCTTGTCCTCCTGCAGCCGCTTGGCGTGTTCCTGCGCCAGGTCCTTCTGCTTCTGCAGCATCTCAGCCTCGGCCTTGAGCCGCGTGGCCTCCTGCACCGCCTGCATCTTCTCCTTCAGCATCTTCTCGGCCAGCGCCCGCTGCTGCGCCAGGTCATCCTCGGCAAGCTGCCGCATGCGCGAGGCCTCCTGCGCCTCCACGCTGAGCCGCGCCACCTCCTCGGCCACCTGCTTCATCTTCTCTGCCTCCTCCGCCAGCAGCTTCTGCGTGTTGTCCTTGTCCTTGAGGATCAGCGCCTTGTTCTCCTCCTCGATGCGGCTCTTCAGCCTCGCCAGCTCCTCCAGCTGCACCCGCACCTTGAAGAGCTCCTCCTCGACCTGCGCCTTCTGCCGCACGGCGTCGCCCGCCTCCTCCTTCAGCCGCTGCAGCTCCTCGTCCAGGATGTTCTTCTGGTGGTCCGTCTCCTCCAGGCGCAGCTTCACCTTGGTGAGCTCCTGCTCCACCTGCGCCTTCTGCCGCAGCGTCTGCTCCGCAAACTTCTTGTGCTTCTCCATCTCGGCGTCGGCCAGCTGCTTCTGCCGCAGCGCCGCCTGCTCGGCCTGCGCCCGCCGCGCTGCCTCCAGCTCCGCCTCCTTGCGCAGCGCCTCGGCCGCCGCCTGCGCCCGCGCCGTGGCCGCCGCCTCCTCCTCCGCGCGCTGCTTCAGCCGCTCGGCCTCCTCCACGCGCCGCCGCGACAGCCCCGCGTCCTGCTCGGCCTGGCCCCGCGCCAGCTCGGCCTCCTCGGCCGCCCGCCGCGCACGCTCGGCCTCGTCGCGCAGCCGCTCCACCAGGCTCTGCTCCTGCTGCCGCACCTGCTGCAGCTCCTGCTCCTGCTGCTGCATGGCGGCCACCCGCGCCTTCTCCTCTGCCGTGATGCGCTTCTGCGCCGCCTCCCGCGCCAGCTGCACCTGCCGCTCCGACTCCTTCTCCGCCAGCTCCTTCTGCCGCCGCGCGTCCTCCACCATGGCCCGGAGCCGCTCCACCTCCTCCAGCGCCAGGCGCCGCTGCCGCGCCGCCTCCTCCTCGGCCGCCAGGATGTCCTGCAGCTTCTCCTCGGCCTCGCGCCGCCGGCCCTCCTCCTGCAGCGCCAGCGCCCGCTGCCGCTCAGCCTCGTGCTCTGCCTGCTCGCGGCTGCGCTGCACCTCCTCGGCCTCGCTGCGGATGCGGCTCAGCTCCCGTTCCAGCTCGCTCTTGCCTGCCGAGGCCCGCTCGAAACTGGCCTTGAGCGCACGGATCTCCTCCTCCACCTGCCGCCGCTGCCGCAGCGTGTCCTCCACCAGCCCCTTCTGCCGCTCCAGCTCGCTCTCAGAGCTGCGCTTCAGCTGCGCAATCTTCTCCTCGATGTCCTGCTTGTGCTGCGCCGCCTGCTCCTCCAGCAGCCGCCGCTGGTACGCCTCGTCCTCCGCCAGCCGCCGCAGCCGCTCGTTCTCTGCCTCCTTCTCCTTCAGCGCGATTTCCGCCTCCGCCTTCAGCCGCGACGCCTCATTGATGGCCGCCAGCTTCTCCTTCAGGATGCGCTCGGCCTCGGCGCGCTGCCGCCCGGCCTCCTCCTCCGCCAGCTGCCGCTGCCGCTTGGCCTCCTCGGAGAGGGCGCGCAGCCGCGCCGCCTCCTCCGCCAGCTCCCGCAGCTTGCTGGCCTCGGCCTCCAGCCGCTGCTTCGACTTCTCGCTGCTGGAGCGCGACTCCTCCTCCGCTCGGGCCTTGCTCTGCAGCAGCACCTCCATCTCGGCCCTCAGCTTGGCCAGCTCCTCCTCAACCTCCTTCCGCTTCTGGATGGCCTCGCTCACCTCCTCCTTCAGCCGCGACTGCTCCTCCTCCAGCAGCAGCCGCTGCTGCTCCCCGTTGTCCATCTCCGCCTTCAGCCGGATCAGCTCCTGCTCCGCCGCCAGCTTCTGCTGGGCCGTGCCCTCCGCCAGCTCCCGCTGCTTCTCCAGCTCCTCCTCGGCCGCCTCCTTCTGCCGCAGAGCCGCCTGCTCCGCCTTGGCGCGCTTGCGGGCCTCGCGCTCCGCGTCCTCCTTCTGCTTCTCGGCCTCCTCCTGCGCCAGCGTCTTCTGGTGCGCCACCTCCTCCGCCTGCAGCCGCAGCCGCAGCGCCTCGTTGGCCTTCTGCCGCCAGCGCTCCAGCTCCTTCTCCGCCTCCTCCCGCGACTGCTCGGCCTCGCGCTGCTGCTGCTTGAGGCGCTCGGCCTCCTCCTGCAGCTGCGCCACGGCCACGTGCTCGCGCTGCAGCGACAGCTCCAGCTGCGCCGTCTGCTCAGCCATGGAGCGGCGCCGGCTCTGCAGCTCGGCTTCAGCGCTGCGCTGCGCCGCCTCCTGCGCCACCTGGATCTGCCGCTGCTTCTCGGCCTCCGCCTGCCGCAGGCGCCGCTCGGCCTCCTCCGCCTGCAGCCGCAGCCCCTCCAGCGCCGCCACCGCCTCCTGCTTCTCGCGCGCCGCGTCGCGCTCGGCCCGCACCTTGCGCGCCAGCTCCTCCTCGGCCTCGCGCTTCTTCTGGCTCTCGTCCTTCACCTGCCGGCGCAGGCGCTCGGCCTCGTCCTGCGCCTGCCGCTTCTGCCGCTCGGCCTCCTCGGCGCGCGCCCGCAGGTCGCGCAGCTCGGCCTCGGCGCCCAGGCGCTGCCGCTCCGTGCTCTCCAGCTGCCGCCGGATCACCCGGATCTCCTCCTCCACCTTCTTGCGGCTGGACTCGGCCTCCTCAATCAGCTTCACCTTGGCCTCGATCTGGTGGTCCGAGTTCTGCCGCAGCTGCAGCAGCTCCTGCTGGATGTTCTGCTTCTGCTGCTCCGCGTCCACGGCCACCACTTCGCGCCGGGCCACCTCCTCCTGCATGCGGAGCTGCAGCTCCTGCGCCTCTGCCTCTGCCTGCGCCTTGGCCTTGGCGTGCGCCTCGGCCAACTGCCTCTGCTTCTCCAGCTGCGCCTCCACCTCCGCCAGCCGCTTCCTCTCCTCCTCCTTCAGCTTCTCGGCGGCTTTCTGGAGCGGGAAGGGGGAGCAGAGAAAACAGAGAGGGGGGAGAAAGAAAGAGATCACAAAGGGATGCGACCGGGCTGCGGCCACGCACACGAGCGCGGGATGCGCCTGCGATGGCTCCGGATCCCGGAGGCGGTGACGCCAGCTCCAGAAGACGCGTGGCACAAGAGAACACAGCTGGGACAGCGGCAGCAGCGCAGCCCCAGGCACCACAGAGAGGAGAGGAGCAGAGCAACAGAGCGCAAGCAAAGCCCGGAGCGATGGAGACCAGGAGCGAGCAGCTTGAGCACCAGCATGCCCAGAGCCAGCCAGGAGCCTCCTGCGCTCACTGGGGCTCACCACAACAGAAGGGCCAGCGCCAAAAGCCACCGACTACCTGGGGATGGAGCATCAGGATAAGTGGGACGGAGGGAGCAGGTGGGAGGAAGGAGCCACCAGGAAAGCCTCAATGACGTGGAGAGCAGCACAAGCTCCGGCCTTGCCACCACGCGCCACACGCCAGCCTGAGGCCCTTCAGTGGCCATGCCATCGAGTCTCATGCCACATGCACCACAGGCGAGGCAGGCGCATGCCCCATGCCGGGCACATGCGGGTGAGCGGGACCCCCTGTGCCACTGGGCCACGTCCCCTCAGAAAGGCCACAGGAGTGGGGGCAGAGGCAGAGGAGGGTGAGGAGCGGTGCGGCGCGAGGGGGACATGCGTGGGGTGAGTACCTGGTGCAGGGATGCCAGAGTCATTCTGGGCTTTATTTTACCCTCCATTAGCTCCCCACCACCACCAACATCCCCCAAGGCAAAGCACCAGTAAAGTATCTTGACTTGGAGGCACAAACCAAGAGTTAGAGAGGTCACGGAGAGCGGACCCCATGGTGCCAGCACCGTGCAGCCATGTGCCTGCGCTGTGTATCTGGGAAGTGCGTCCTACCACCAGTCCCACCAGAGCCCAGCCACCAGCACCGGGTGCGGCAGAGTTAGGGGCCACGGCAGCATTAGTGACGGGGCGGCAGCTGCCTCACACCAGCAGCCCCAGTGTTGTGCAGCAGCAAGGATGCAGCCGGCGCGGTGCTGCCGCGCTCCTACCTCCTCATCCTCCAGCCGCCGCAGCGTGTCGGTGATGAACTTGATGTACTGGCTGGTGAGCGTGGTCAGCTCGCTGTACTGCGTCCTCAGGTCCACGTACTGCGGCAGAGGATGGTGGTCAGCAGGAACAGAGTGCCCACAGCACACCATGGCACACCACAGCGCACCATGACACTCTGCGGCACACCAGCAGTGGTGGGGCCAGATGCAGACCAGCCCTGTACCTCCACCTTTGGCAAAGGGCTGTGGCTTCAGGGCTAGGGTTGAGATCATGAAGATTATGGGTTCCCTTCAAGGCCAGGTTGGACAGAGCCTTGGGTGACATGGTTTAGTGTGAGGTGTCCCTGCCCATGGCGGGGCAGTTGGATCTGGATGATCTTAAGGTCCTTTCTAACCCTAACTATTATATGATTCTATGGGTTAGGTTTAGGATCAGGGTTGGGCTGGGTTTGTGTTAAGATTAAGGTTATGTTTAGGCTTAGGGTTAGTGTCAGATTAGGGTTAGATTACTGTTAGGATTAGATTAGGATTTGGTGTCAGGGTCACTGTCATGGTCAGGTTGAGGGCTAGAATTCTCTCACCTCCTGGAAGATGCCATGAGGGATGGGGTCATTAGGTTTAGGGTTAGGGGTCAGGTTTAGGGTCAGGGTCAGGTTTAGGCTCGGGGTCCCCTCACCTCCTGGATGATGCTGTCGGACGCAGACTGCACTTTGGGTTTCTTGGCTGGTGATGCCATTGGTTCCACCTGTGCCTTGAAGCTCACGAGCTGCAGCTCGTAGTCCTGCAGAGGATGCATGGCCCATTACACTGTGTCCCAGCAGGACTCCGAGCTCCTCCCCAACAGCCCCAGCCCCACTGCACACCTTGATGGCGTCAATGTACTGCTTGGCGTGGCGCTGGCACTCCTCCACCTTCTCCTTGTTGCGGTCGCATTCCTCCAGCAGCTCCTGAGGGACAAACTGGGATGAGCTCCGGGAGTGCCAGCGGATCCAGCAGACCCAGCCCCACCGGCTGCACCGCACGTACCTGCTCCTGCAGCAGCTGCTGCCGCACGCTGGCAACGTCGGCAATGGGCACGGCCTGGATCTCCTCCTGCCGCCGGCGCGCCTCCTGCAGCCAGCAGCGCAGCGCGGAGCAGCTCTCGCGGTAGCTCCGCAGCTGCCGGCCCAGCTGCTCCAGGTCACGGTGCCGCAGGTCGGCCTGCGCCAGGACCCCGCGCCAGCGCTCCAGCAGCTGCTGCACCCGCTCCCGGAACCGCTCCAGGTCCACGTCCCGCTCGCTGTGGCCCCGCACCATGCGCTCGTTCACCTCCTTGGCCTTGCTGAGGTCGGTCTCCAAGGTGCTGAAGAGGGGCTGGTGGCCCTCGGCCTGCGCCCGCAGCCGCTGCGGCACACAGAGCAGCGCCGTCAGCACCAGGTCACCCCACAGCCCCGGCACACTGCTGCCAACGCCATTACCTTCAGCTCTGCCTGCGTGGCCTCCAGCTCCTGCAGATCCGCCGGCACCGTCTGCACGTCCTTCAGCTGGTCCTCGTACTTCCTGAGCAGCTCCTCAGCCCCCTGCGTGCTGTGGATCACCAGCTTGATGGTCTTCAGCCTGCAGAGAGCAGAGACAGGGACAGAGACCATGGGATGGGAGGGAGACACTGGAACGGTCACCGTCATTGAACCATGAGATGGTTGGGGCTGGAAGAGACCTCAAACCTCCTCCAGTACCAACCCCCTGACATGGGCAGGGACACCTTCCACGAGAGCAGCTTGCTCCAAAGCCCCATCCAAGCTGGCCTTGAGCACTGCCAGGGATGGGGCAGCCACAGCTTCTCCCTTCAACCTTTTTCAGTGCCCCAGCACCCTCATGGGAAGCACTTCCCAAGATCCCATCAACTCTTCCCATTGGAGCCATTCCTCCTCCTCCCATCCCTGCCTCCCCTGTCCCAGGCCCTCTCCAGGCTCCCTGCAGCCCTTCAGGCTCTGGAGATGCTCTCAGCTCTCCCCTTCCCTCAGCAGAGGGGCAGGATCCCCTCCCTGAGCTGCTGCTCCCGCTCTGGGCTGCACCCAGCACACGGGGGGGTTCTGGGCTCCAGCACTCACTGAAGCCGGGTCCTGGGGAGCTTCTCCTCCCCCAGCACCCCAAGTCCTGCTCCTCAGGCCCCAGCCCCTCTCCCCCAACCTGGGTCTGTGCTGGGATTGCCCCGACCCAGTGCAGGCCCCATCAGACCCAGCTCACCCCACCTGATGTCCGCCCCGGCAGGGCCGGGATGCGCCCCGGACACTCACTTCTCCAGGTAGATGCTGGACAGGCTGTAGACCTGCTCCATCTTCTGCAGCGTCACCTCCAGCTCCGAGCGCAGCATCGGGGCTGAGCCGGGGGGCTCCACCTGCGCCAGCACCTCCTGTGCCTCCTCCCCGAGGGAGTCCAGGCTCCTCCTGATGCCCTCCAGCTCCACATGGATTTGCTGCGGGAACAGGAAGGGCCCTCACTCCATGGGACACAGACCCTCAAGCCGGAGGAGAGGAGCAGAGCCCCGAGAAGTGTCTGAGCCTGCAGAGCCAGCACAGTGCAGGGCACTGTGCCTCATGCACTGCTCCTGGTGCTGGACACTGCTCCGGGTGCCCCATGCACTGCTCTGGGTGCCTCATGCACTGCTCCTGGTGCTGGGCACTGCTCCGGGTGCCCCATGCACTGCTCTGGGTGCCTCATGCACTGCTCCTGGTGCTGGACACTGCTCCGGGTGCCCCATGCACTGCTCCTGGGGCTGGGCACTGCTCCTGGTGCAGGGCACTGTGCCTCATGCACTGCTCCTGGTGCTGGACACTGCTCCGGGTGCAGGGCACTGTGCCTCATGCACTGCTCCTGGTGCTGGGCACTGCTTCGGGTGCCCCATGCACTGCTCTGGGTGCCTCATGCACTGCTCCTGGTGCTGGGCACTGCTCCGAGTGCCCCATGCACTGCTCCTGGTGCTGGGCACTGTTCCAGGTGCAGGGCACTGTGCCTCATGCACTGCTCCTGGTGCAGGGCACTGTGCCTCATGCACTGCTCCTGGTGCTGGGCACTGCTCCGAGTGCCCCATGCACTGCTCCTGGTGCTGGGCACTGTTCCAGGTGCAGGGCACTGTGCCTCATGCACTGCTCCTGGTGCTGGGCACTGCTTCGGGTGCCCCATGCACTGCTCTGGGTGCCTCATGCACTGCTCCTGGTGCTGGGCACTGCTCCGAGTGCCCCATGCACTGCTCCTGGTGCTGGGCACTGTTCCAGGTGCAGGGCACTGTGCCTCATGCACTGCTCCTGGTGCTGGGCACTACTTCGGGTGCCCCATGCACTGCTCTGGGTGCCTCAGGCACTGCTCCTGGTGCTGGGCACTGCTCTGGGTGCCTCATGCACGGCTCCGGGTGCCCCATGCACTGCTCCTGGTGCAGGGCACTGTGCCTCATGCACTGCTCCTGGTGCTGGGCACTGCTCCGGGTGCCCCATGCACTGCTCTGGGTGCCTCATGCACTGCTCCTGGTGCAGGGCACTGTGCCTCATGCACTGCTCCTGGTGCTGGGCACTGCTTCAGGTGCCCCATGCACTGCTCTGGGTGCCTCATGTACTGCTCCTGGTGCTGGACACTGCTCCGGGTGCCCCATGCACTGCTCGTGGTGCTGGGCACTGCTCCTGGTGCAGGGCACTGTGCCTCATGCACTGCTCCTGGTGCTGGGCACTGCTCTGGGTGCCCCATGCACTGCTCTGGGTGCCTCATGCACTGCTCCTGGTGCTGGGCACTGCTCTGGGTGCCTCATGCACGGCTCCAGGTGCCTCACAGAATCATACAATCATAGAATAGTTAGGGTTGGAAAGGAACTTAAGATCGTCTAGCTCCAACCCCCCTGCCCTGGTGCTGGGCACTGCCCTGGGTGCCCCATGCACTGCCCTGGTGTTAGGCACTGCTCCTGGTGCTGGGCACTGCTCTGGGTGACCCATGCACAGCTCTGGGTGCCTCATGCACTGCTTTGGGTGCCCCATGCACTCTCTGGCTGTCAGACACACGTCACCTGCTGCTCCGTGATGCGCCGGGCGCATTCCACCTGCGGATCCTTGTCAAGTGGCAGCCGCAGGCAATGGATGGTGCTGGATTCGCAGTGCTGCAGCTGCAGGCTCAGCTCCTTCAGCCGCGACAGGAAGCTCTGGCACAGGGACTCATCCTGCTCTCCTGTGGGGACAGCCACAGGGATGGGTCAGGAATGTCCCACTCCATCCGCCCCCATGAGGATGAGTCAGCACCATCCCACTCTGTTCGCATCCATAGGGATGGGTCAGCACAGTCCTGCTCCATTCCCATCTATAGGGACAGGTCAGCACAGTCCTGCTCCATTCCCATCCATAGGGACAGGTCAGCACAGTCCCACTCTGTTTTCATCCATAAGGATGAATCAGCACAGTCCGGCTCCACTCCCATCCATAGGGATGGGTCAGCACAGTCCTGCTCCATTCCCATCCATAGAGACAGGTCAGCACCGTCCCACTCTGTTTCCATCCATAAGGATGAATCAGCACAGTCCGGCTCCATTCCCATCCATAGGGATGAGTCAGCACAGTCCTGCTCCATTCCCATCCATAGGGATGGGTCGGCACAGTCCCGCTCCATTCCCATCCATAGGGATGAGTCAGCTCTGAACCACTCCATTTCCATCCATAGGGACAGGCCAGTACTGTCCCGCTCCATTCCCATCCGTAAGAACACGTCAGCACCATCCCACTCTTTTTCCATCCACATGGACGGGTCAGCACCACCCCGCTCCGTTCCCATCCATAGGGATTGGCCATCACCATCCCACTCTATTCCCATCCATAGGGATGGGTCAGCATCATCCTGATCTGTTTCCATCCATAGGGACGGGTCAGCATCATCCTGATCTGTTCCCATCCATAGGGACGGGTCAGCATCATCCCGATCTGCTCCCATCCATAGGGATGGGTCAGCATCATCCCGATCTGCTCCCATCCATAGGGATGGGTCAGCATCATCCTGATCTGCTCCCATCCATAGGGACGGGTCAGCATCACCCCGATCTGCTCCCATCCGTAGGGACGGGTCAGCATCATCCCGATCTGTTCCCATCCATAGGGACGGGTCAGCATCACCCCGATCTGTTCCCATCCATAGGGACGGGTCAGCATCATCCCGATCTGTTCCCATCCATAGGGACGGGTCAGCATCACCCCGATCTGTTCCCATCCATAGGGACGGGTCAGCATCACCCCGATCTGTTCCCATCCATAGGGACGGGTCAGCATCACCCCGATCTGTTCCCATCCATAGGGACGGGTCAGCATCACCCCGATCCGCTCCCACCCCCAGGACCATCTCCTCTCCCCCCTCTCCCCTCCCCACACCCACAGGGATGCGGCGGTGCCGCAGGGCCGGATCCCACCTTTCTCGTGGCCACGCCTCAGCAGGTCGTGGTGCCGGGTGCAGGCCTCGTACTCGCGCTGCAGCTGCTGCCGCTCCTCAGGCGCGAAGCTGCGCGAATCCCGGCTCTCCCGCAGGAATTCCTGGTAGTGCATCTCCAGGCTCTGCAGCACCTGGCGGCATTCCTCGGGCGGCAGCGTGCGGAACTGCGGGAGCACCACGCGTCAGCACCGGGATGCAGTGAGTGCACCGGGACACGGGGTGTGTGCATCAGGACACGTGCATCAGAACACAGTGTGTGCACTGGGACATGCATCAGAACACAGTGTGTGTGCATGGGGACACACGTGCATCGGGACACAGTGTGTGTGCATCAGAACACAGTGTGTGTGCATGGGGACACACGTGCATCGGGACACAGTGTGTGTGCATCAGAACACAGTGTGTGTGCATGGGGACACACGTGCATCGGGACACAGTGTGTGTGCATCAGAACACAGTGTGTGTGCATGGGGACACACGTGCATCGTGACACAGTGTGTGTGCATCAGGACACAGTGTGTGTGCATGGGGACACACGTGCATCGGGACACAGTGTGTGTGCATGGGGACACACGTGCATCGGGACACAGTGTGTGTGCATCAGGACACAGTGTGTGTGCATGGGGACACACGTGCATCAGGACACAGTGTGTGTGCATTGGGACACGCTGTGTGTGCGCATCGGGACACACGTGTATCAGGACACAGTGTGTGTGCACCAGGACACACGTGCATCGGGACACAGTGTGTGTGCACCAGGACACACGTGCATCGGGACACAGTGTGCGTGCATTGGGACACACGTGCATTGGGACACACGTGCATCAGGACACAGTGTGTGTGCATTGGGACATGGTGTGTGTCCATTGGGACACAGTGTGTGTGCATTGGGACACACGTGCATCAGGACACAGTGTGTGTGCATTGGGACATGGTGTGTGTGCATCAGGACACATGTGCATCAGGACACAGTGTGTGTGCACCAGGACACACGTGCATCGGGACACAGTGTGCGTGCATTGGGACACACGTGCATCAGTACACAGTGTGTGTGCATGGGGACACACGTGCATCAGGACACAGTGTGTGTGCATTGGGACACGGTGTGTGTGCACCAGGACACACGTGCATCGGGACACAGTGTGCGTGCATTGGGACACACGTGCATCAGGACACAGTGTGTGTGCATGGGGACACACGTGCATCGGGACACAGTGTGTGTGCATCAGAACACAGTGTGTGTGCATGGGGACACACGTGCATCGGGACACAGTGTGTGTGCATCAGAACACAGTGTGTGTGCATGGGGACACACGTGCATCAGGACACAGTGTGTGTGCATGGGGACACACGTGCATCAGGACACAGTGTGTGTGCATGGGGACACACGTGCATCAGGACACAGTGTGTGTGCATTGGGACACGGTGTGTGTGCACCAGGACACACGTGCATCGGGACACAGTGTGCGTGCATTGGGACACACGTGCATCAGGACACAGTGTGTGTGCATGGGGACACACGTGCATCGGGACACAGTGTGTGTGCATGGGGACACACGTGCATCGGGACACAGTGTGTGTGCATCAGGACACAGTGTGTGTGCATGGGGACACACGTGCATCAGGACACAGTGTGTGTGCATTGGGACACGCTGTGTGTGCGCATCGGGACACACGTGTATCAGGACACAGTGTGTGTGCACCAGGACACACGTGCATCGGGACACAGTGTGTGTGCACCAGGACACACGTGCATCGGGACACAGTGTGCGTGCATTGGGACACACGTGCATTGGGACACACGTGCATCAGGACACAGTGTGTGTGCATTGGGACACGGTGTGTGTGCATTGGGACACAGTGTGTGTGCATTGGGACACACGTGCATCAGGACACAGTGTGTGTGCATTGGGACATGGTGTGTGTGCATCAGGACACATGTGCATCAGGACACAGTGTGTGTGCATTGGGACACACGTGCATCAGGACACAGTGTGTGTGCATTGGGACACATGTGCATCAGGACACAGTGTGTGTGCATTGGGACACGGTGTGTGTGCACCAGGACACACGTGCATCGGGACACAGCGTGGGTGCACCAGGACACAGTGTGTGTACTGGGACACGTGTGCACCCAGACAAGTGTGAGCACTGGGACTCCCATGTGTGCACCAGGACCCATGCACGCACCAGGAGCCCGTGTTGCACCAGGACCCATGCACACAGCAGGAGCAGCAGGGGGATGGCACAGGGCACTCACCGTGAGCTGGGACCAGGCCTGGATCTGCCGCATGTCACGGGTCAGGCACTGCCAGGCCCTGAGGCTCCGCAGGTCCTGGTGCAGCTGGTGCCAGAGCTCCAGCAGCTCCTGGTGCTCAGCTTCCAGCCTGCAGAAATGCAGCGTGAGCAGCGGGGGGCAGTGGGACCCCTCGGCTGGGGGTTCCCATAGGGCCAGTGGGTGCCGGGGGTCAGCGGGGACCGTGGGGCCGTGCTCACCTCCGCACCGCATCCAGCGCCTCGGGGTTGGGGGGCGGCAGGATGAAGCACACGCTCGGCACCTCAGCCTCGCCGCCGCCGCTCAGCACCTTCCACTTGTGGGGCTGTGCGTTGCTGAGCAGGGTGCACGTGTCCTGCTTGTGCACCGTGATCTGCAGGCCCGGGAGGGGCGAGCATTAGGGGCGGGAAGAGACCTGGGATGCCAGGTCCCTGTGTACCCCTTGATGTGGTGGGGATGGGGGCACCCCTGGGACTGATGCATTGGGGGTCACCCCTGGTCTCCCACCATGTCCCTCCATGTTCCCCCATTACCCCCATGTCCTCTCATGTCCCCACCACGTGCCATACCCCCCATATCCCACCCATCCCCTGTGCCCCCCATATCCCCCTGGCTCCCACACCCCCATCCCCGCTCCCTGCCCGGGCGCACCTGCAGCTGCCGGTAGTCGCAGACCGCCTGCAGACGGGGCCGGCCCTGCACCGTGGCGCCGGGGCTGCGCGGCTTCAGCTGCACGATGGTGCTGGCGCGGCGCGAGAGCACCGGGAGCTGCGCCCCCACCTCCTGCAGCTGCTCCCGCAGCTCCTGTGGGGCGGCAGGGTCAGGGGGGTGCATCCCCTGCGGGGTCACCACACACACACTGCGGGGTCACCCCACACACACTGCGGGGTCACCCGTTCACTGCGGGGTCACCACACACACACTGCGGGGTCACCCCACACACACTGCGGGGTCACCCCACACACTGCGGGGTCACCACACACACACTGCGGGGTCACCACACACACACTGCAGGGTCACCACACACACTGCAGGGTCACCACACACACACTGCGGGGTCACCACACACACACTGCGGGGTCACCACACGCACACTGCGGGGTCACCACACACACACTGCGGGGTCACCCCACACACACTGCGGGGTCACCACACACACACTGCGGGGTCACCCCACACACACTGCGGGGTCACCACACACACACTGCGGGGTCACCTGTTCACTGCGGGGTCACCACACACACACTGCGGGGTCACCACACACACACTGCGGGGTCACCACACACACACTGCGGGGTCACCCATTCACTGCGGGGTCACCACACACACACTGCGGGGTCACCCATTCACTGCGGGGTCACCACACACACACTGCGGGGTCACCACACACACACTGCGGGGTCACCACACACACACTGCGGGGTCACCCATTCACTGCGGGGTCACCACACACACACTGCAGGGTCACCCCACACACACTGCGGGGTCACCACACACACTGCGGGGTCACCCGTTCACTGCGGGGTCACCACACACACACTGCGGGGTCACCACACACACACTGCGGGGTCACCACACGCACACTGCGGGGTCACCACACATACACTGCGGGGTCACCCCACACACACTGCGGGGTCACCCCACACACACTGCGGGGTCACCCCACACACTGCGGGGTCACCACACACACACTGCGGGGTCACCACACACACACTGCAGGGTCACCACACACACACTGCAGGGTCACCACACACACACTGCAGGGTCACCACACACACACTGCGGGGTCACCACACACACACTGCGGGGTCACCACACACACACTGCAGGGTCACCACACACACACTGCGGGGTCACCTGTTCACTGCGGGGTCACCACACACACACTGCGGGGTCACCACACACACACTGCGGGGTCACCCGTTCACTGCGGGGTCACCACACACACACTGCGGGGTCACCACACACACACTGCGGGGTCACCACACACACACTGCGGGGTCACCCGTTCACTGCGGGGTCACCACACACACACTGCGGGGTCACCCCACACACACTGCGGGGTCACCCATTCACTGCGGGGTCACCCATTCACTGCGGGATCACCCCCCCCACACGGTGAGGTCACCCCCCCACCATGGGGAACCCATGGGGACGCTGCAGACCTGTGTGTCTGCACGGTGCTGGAGTTGCATAGGGGTCCCCATAGGGGTGCCTGCTCAGGCTGGCGTGCTGCAGCAGGGTGTACTGGGGTGCACTGGGCTGTGTTGTGTTTCCCATAGGGGTGCACTGGGGGTTCTGCTCACATCCATGTGCTGCAGCAGGGCACCCTGGGGTGCATTGGGGTCCCCATAGGAATGCATTGGGGGGTGCATGCTCACATTGGCATGCTGCAGCAAGGGGCACTGGGGTGCCCATAGGGATACACTGGGTGTGCATTGGTGCACATACTCACATTGGCATGCTGCAGCAGGGGCACTGGGGTGCCCATAGGGGTACATTGGGTGTGCATTGGTGCACATACTCACATTGGCATGCTGCAGCAAGGGGCACTGGGGTGCCCATAGGGATACACTGGGTGTGCATTGGTGCACATACTCACATTGGCATGCTGCAGCAGGGGCACTGGGGTGCCCATAGGGGTACATTGGGTGTGCATTGGTGCACATACTCACATTGGCATGCTGCAGCAGGGGCACCGGGGTGCCCATAGGGGTACATTGGGTGTGCATTGGTGCACATACTCACATTGGCATGCTGCAGCAGGGGCACCGGGGTGCCCATAGGGGTACATTGGGTGTGCATTGGTGCACATACTCACATTGGCATGCTGCAGCAGGGGCACCGGGGTGCCCATAGGGGTACATTGGGTGTGCATTGGTGCACATACTCACATTGGCATGCTGCAGCAGGGGCACCGGGGTGCCCATAGGGGTACATTGGGTGTGCATTGGTGCACATACTCACATTGGCATGCTGCAGCAAGGGGCACCAGGGTGCCCATAGGGATACACTGGGTGTGCATTGGTGCACATACTCACATTGGCATGCTGCAGCAGGGGCACCGGGGTGCCCATAGGGATACACTGGGTGTGCATTGGTGCACATACTCACATTGGCATGCTGCAGCAGGGGCACTGGGGTGCCCATAGGGGTACATTGGGTGTGCATTGGTGCACATACTCACATTGGCATGCTGCAGCAGGGGCACTGGGGTGCCCATAGGGGTACATTGGGTGTGCATTGCTGCACATACTCACATTGGCATGCCGCAGCAGGGGCACTGGGGTGCCCATAGGGGTACATTGGGTGTGCATTGGTGCACATACTCACATTGGCATGCTGCAGCAGGGGCACCGGGGTGCCCATAGGGGTACATTGGGTGTGCATTGGTGCACATACTCACATTGGCATGCTGCAGCAGGGGCACTGGGGTGCCCATAGGGGTACATTGGGTGTGCATTGGTGCACATACTCACATTGGCATGCTGCAGCAGGGGCACTGGGGTGCCCATAGGGGTACATTGGGTGTGCATTGGTGCACATACTCACATTGGCATGCTGCAGCAGGGGCACTGGGGTGCCCATAGGGGTACATTGGGGGTGCATTGGTGCACATACTCACATTGGCATGCTGCAGCAGGGGCACTGGGGTGCCCATAGGGGTACATTGGGTGTGCATTGGTGCACATACTCACATTGGCATGCTGCAGCAGGTCCTCCAGGCGCGCAGTGCTGAGCCCGCGGTCGCTCCGCAGCTTCCGGCCCATCAGGTCCCGTAGGTCCCGCAGCAGCCGCTCAGCCTCGCGCACCTCCGCGAAGAACTGGGGGGGGCAGTGGGGTCGGGGGGACCAGTAGCTTGGTCAGTGGGAGGTCACTGGGGCCAATGGGGGAGTCCCCGAGGCTGGGGGTCCCAGGGGTCATACCTGGAAATAGGCACCGTTCTCCTTGAGGTGGGTCTCTACGCAGCAGCACAACTGCAGCATCCAGCTCCACTGCGTGCGCAGCGCCGCCAGGAACGACTGTGGGGTCGTGGACACAGGTATGGGACATGGGTCACGGACACCGGACATGGACATGGAGCTGCCACCAGCAGCGGCACCAGCACCAGCAGCCCCGTGTCCCCATTCCCATCCCTATCCCCTCACCTCGATGGTGTCACGGGCCGGGTGCTGCTCCCGCAGCAGCTGTTCCCCACAGCTCTGCAGCTCCTGCACCCGCCGCTCCCGCAGCTCCAGCTCCCGCATCAGCCCCTGCAGGGGGACACAGTGAGGGACCCCCCCGGCACGGCATGGCCTGCACACGTGTGTACGTCCGAACACGTGTGTGTCTGTGTGCCTGTGCATGTTCATGTGTCCGTGCATGTCCATGTGTCTGTGCATGTGTGCGCGTCCATGCATATCCATGCATCCACGCACACCCATGAGTCCACGCACACCCATGCGTCCACGCACACCCATGCGTCCACGCACACCCATGCGTCCACGCACATCCATGTGTCCCTGTCCCTGTCCACACCTTCCAGCCCACCCGGGCTCATGCAGCTGCAGGCCTGTGCTGGGGGGGCTCTGTGGATGCAACAGGGACCCTGCAGGACAATGGCTGTGTGCAGGGACCGGGATGGTACGGTACAGTCACATGCAGGGAAAGGGACAGGGATGGTGCAGGATGGATGTTGCACCCACACACGCAGTGATGCTGCACCCACACACGCAGTGATGCTGCACCCACACATGCAGTGATGCTGCACCCACACACGCAGTGATGCTGCACACCCCCCCCACAGGGATGCTGCACCCCCCCCCAGCAGTGATGCTGCACCCCATGTGCCATGCATCCCCCGTACCGAGTAGGCCTCCTGCTTGGAGGGCAGCGGGGGGCCGCGGTCGCTCCAGTCGAACGTCACCTCCTCGTCCTCGCGCTGGCTCAGCCACAGCAGCTCTGCGGTGGCAGCGCCCACAAAACCCAGCAGGGCCTCGAGGTGCCGCAGCCGCTGCGACGACGACTCCTGCGCAGGGGCAGGGGCAGGGCCAGGGTCAGCACCACGGGTTCCATCTGCCTCCCTGCACTCCCATGGCCCCCATCTGGGTCTGCTCAGCTCCCCATGGGCTCCATCTGCCCCCCAGAGCTCCCCATGGCCTTCATCTGCCCCCATAGCTCCCTATGGCCTTTAGCATCCTCACGGCCCCACCCATGGCCATCATCCTCCCCTCCGTCCCCATCACCCCCCAGCACCAGACACTCACCAGTAGCTCCCCGTACTCCTGCTCCAGTTTGCCCAGGCTCTCCCTGTAGGCGCTGCGGGAGCTGGGGGGTAGCTGGGCCTGGGGGTGGAAATGGGCTGTGAGAGCGAACAGCAGCACCCACAGGGCACCCATAGGGCACCCACAGAGCACCCGCAGCACCCACGTCACCCTGATCCCGTCCCGGCACCCCAACCCCACAGAGCACCTTGGGGACCCCAGGCTCAGGTCAGGGCACCCCAGGGGATCCCAGGATCAGGTTGGGGACGTCCAGGCGCAGGTTGGGGCACCCCAGGCTCAGGGCGATGAGGTCGGGCGCCCGGCACTGACCTCGTCCTCGCGCGCCCGCTGCACCTTGGCACCGAAGTCGTGGATGTCGCGGTGGAGGCCGCGGTGGGCGCTCAGCAGCGACTCGAGCGAGGGCAGGTCCATGCCCCAGCCGGCGCCCGCCACGCGGCGCTGGTTGTCCTGCACCCAGCCCCGCAGCTCCTGCACGTACCGCAGCGCCGCCTCGGACGGGGCCGCAGCCGCCGCCACCGGAGCCACCGCCGCCGCCACGGGGACCCCCGACTTGAGGCGCAGGTTGTACTCGGTGCGGATGGACACCAGGCGCTCATGCAGGCGGTACACCCTGCGGCATGGACACGGGGATACGGTACAGCATGCATATGGGACATGGAGGTATGGTACACCCTGCGGCATGGACATGGGGATACGGTACAGCATGCACATGGGACATGGAGGTATGGTACACCCTGCGGCATGGACATGGGGATACGGTACAGCATGCATATGGGACATGGGGATATGGTACACCCTGCGGCATGGACATGGGGATACGGTACAGCATGCAGCATGCACATGGGGATATGGTACAGCATGGACATGGGGATATGGTACAGCCTGCGGCATGGACATGGGACATGGGGATATGGTACAGCATGCAGCATGCACATGGGACATGGAGGCATGGTACACCCTGCAGCATGGACATGGGACATGGGGATATGGTACACCCTGCGGCATGGACATGGGGATACGGCACAGCATGCATATGAGACATGGAGGTATGGTACGGCATGGACATGGGGATATGGTACAGCATGCAGCATGCACATGGGGATATGGTACGGCATGGACATGGGGATATGGTACAGCCTGCAGCATGGACATGGGACATGGGGATATGGTACAGCATGCAGCATGCACATGGGACATGGAGGTATGGTACACCCTGCAGCATGGACATGGGACATGGGGATATGGTACAGCCTGCGGCATGCGCATGAGGATATGGTACAGCATGCATATGGGACATGGGGATATGGTACACCCTGCGGCATGAACATGGGGATATGGGGTGCCATGTGGAGGCATGGGGATATGGTACACTCTGCAGTGGCACAGGACAGGGACGTGGCACATGAGGGTGTGGGGATATGGGACACGGGGAGACAAGGACATGCAGACATGGGGGGACATGGGGAGCTTTGTGGGGCTTCAGGGATGCAGGGGACATGGAGACACAGAGGGATATGGGGAAGAATGGAAAGCAACAGGAACATGGGGGACATGGGGACACACAAGCACCAGGGCACACGGTGTAAGGGGCGCTCATGGCATGGGGCACACCACACTGGGCACACTGCATGGGACGCTGCGCGGGGCACAGCATGCATCACCCCCCCGTGCCACCCCTCGGCGGCGCCGGTACCTGCGGTACATCTGCTCGCCCTGCGGATGCCGCCCATCCTTGAGGCTCTGCACGTCGGTGAAGAGCAGCCGGATCATCCCATCAGCCTTGTCCAGGTCCCGTTCCACCTCCGCGGCCTTCTGCGGCCCCTTCCCCGCCTCCAGCAGCCGCAGCTCCTGCATGGAGCACGGGACGGGAATGGGAAAGGGAACGGGCACAGGCATGGGAATGGGCACGGGAATGGGAGTGGGCACTGGCACCATCATGGGCATGGGAATGAGCACAGGCTTGGACACAGGAAAGGGAAAGGGCACAGGAGAGGGCATGGGAATGGACACGGGAAAGGAAATGGGCCCGGGAACGGACACCGGCATGGGAACGGACACGCGAATGCGCGTGGGAGCGGACACCGGCATGGGAACGGACACGCGAACGCGCGTGGGAACGGACACGCGAGGGAACGGACACGTGAATGCGCGTGGGAACGGACACGCGAACGCGCGTGGGAACGGACACGCGAACGCGCGTGGGAACGGACACGCGAACGCGCGTGGGAACGGACACGCGAACGCGCATGGGAAGGGACACACGAACGCGCGTGGGAATGCCCCCGTGCCGCCGCAGCACCGCCGCTCACCGCCTGCAGCAGATTATCCGCCTGGTTGAGCTGCTCCTCGCAGAGCCCCGACTCCATCTGCAGCTTGGTGACAACGCGCTGCAGCCGCTCCAGCCTGCGAGACACGGGGGGACAGCGTCAGCGTGGGGACACGAACCCGCCCGCACTGCATGGACAGTGACCCCATCCTGCCCCACTGATTCTGTCAGCGCCAGCCCCATCCTGCCCCACACCAGCAGGGCTCTGCCAGCCCGGCTCTGGTCCCGGCCCTGGTCCCACCTGCAGACCCAGATGCAGCCCTGCCTGGGTGAGGAGCCCCATCCTGCTCCCCACCCCATCCCCATCTATATCCCGTTTTCCATCCCTGTCACACTTCCTGTCTCCATCCTGCTCTCCATCAACTCCCCTTTCCCATCCCCATCCCACTCCCCTTCCTGCTTCCCATCCCACTCTGCATCCTGCACCCCATCCCATAACCTTTCCTCCCCATCCTGCTCTGTATCCCTCTCCCCATCCCAACCCTGCTCCTCACTTGACTCCCAGTCCTGCTCCATATCCCATCCCCATCCTGCTCCCCAGCCATCCCCATCCCTCGCCCTGCCCCATCCCGTCCCTCATCCCTGCGGCCGCAGGCTCCGGCCCCGCCCTGCCCTGGCTGCCTGCCTGGCCCCGCTGCCTGCGCTGGTCCCAGCCTGCGCTGCCCGATCCCTGCCCGCTCCTGCCTGCGCTGCCAGCCCCGGCCCCGGCCCCGGAGCTCGTGGCACCGGCACAGCCCCGTTCTTGGCACCGGCACAGCCCCGTTCTTGGCACCGGCACAGCCCCGTTCTTGGCACCGGCACCACTGCCCCGAGCCCTGAGCCAGACGCGCCGAGCGGAGCCGGGCTGTGCTGGGCTGTGCCGAGCCCTGCGGCCACGTCTCTTCCCGGCAGCGGTGACTCACCGGGCAGCTCGGGGGGGGCCGGGACACCCCAAACCCAGCCCAGCCCCGTGGTCTGGCCACGTTCCACCAATGCCACCGCCCCGGCACGTTCCAGCACCGCCCCAGTGCATCCCGGTATCCCCCACCACTGCCCTGGCTCACTGCAGCACTGCCACCGCCCCGGCACGCTCCAGCACCACCTCAGTGCATCCCGGTATCCCCCACCACTGCCCTGGCTCACTGCAGCACTGCCACCGCCCCGGCACGCTCCAGCACCACCTCAGTGCATCCCGGTATCCCCCACCACTGCCCTGGCTCACTGCAGCACTGCCACCGCCCCGGCACGCTCCAGCACCACCTCAGTGCATCCCGGTATCCCCCACCACTGCCCTGGCTCACTGCAGCACTGCCACCGCCCCGGCACGCTCCAGCACCACCTCAGTGCATCCCGGTATCCCCCACCACTGCCCTGGCTCACTGCAGCACTGCCACCGCCCCGGCACGCTCCAGCACCACCTCAGTGCATCCCGGTATCCCCCACCACTGCCCTGGCTCACTGCAGCACTGCCACCGCCCCGGCATGCTCCAGCACCACCTCAGTGCATGCCAGCATCCCGCCTCACCCTGGCTCATTCCATCACTGCCATCACCCCAGCACGCTCCAGCACCGCCACCGTCCTGGTGCATCCCAACATCCCACCAGCACCCCGGTGCACCCCAGCATCCTGCTGCTGCCCCGCTTCACCCCCTCACCGCCAGCCCGGCGCATCCCGTTATCCCGTTATGCCATGCGCCGCGCTCACCTCTCGAACTCCGCCCGCAGCAGCTTCTCGCGCTCCAGCACAGCCACGTGCAGTGCCCCCCACTCCTTCTCCACGTCCAGCGGGTGGTACCCGGGGGGCACCTTCAGCTGCCCGGACTGCACCGCGCCCTGCACCGGGCCCACCGCACATCACCGCATGTGTCGCTGTGCCCCACAGGGGACATGGAACCCCCACCCCATGGGGCAGCCCCTCCCAGACCCCACAGGGACCCAAACCCACGGGACCCCAGCTCCACGGCTCCCCCCCCAACCACCACTCATTAGGACCCCCCCACCCCAGGGACCCCCAGTACCCTCCCAGGACCCCTACGGACCCTCAGTCCCTCCGGACTGCTGACCCCCCCAGGACCCCCCAGAACCCCCCTTTGTGCTCTGGCCCCCCCTGACCTCCATGGCCTGGAATATGGCTTTGGAACGGTTCTTGTCGGCCTCCTTGGCCGGCAGCTCGGACTCCTTGAACTTGAGGAACTGGCGCCAGAGGAGCTGCCGAGGGGGGGACAGATGAGGGGGAACCCTGGCACCGGCACCTCCTTGCCCCAGCACCAGCACCCCCAGGCCCTGGCACCCCCCATCCCCTCCCCGGCACCCCCCGGCCACGGTGCCACGTGCGGGGCTGGTGGGAAGGAAGCGCCGGGCGGTGCCGTGACTCACACGGCAAATGGAAGCTCTGAGTCAGAGCAGCCGCGGCGCTGCCACAGCTCTGGCATGGCACGAACACAGCCCTGCCATGGCCACAGCTCTGCCACAGCCAACCACACCCCAGCACCGCACCGGCACCGAGCCACCGCGCCGCGATGCAGGAGCCCAGTGGGTCACCACTGAACACGTGGAACCCAATGGTTCCTCAACATGCAGCTCATGGAGTCAACACACGGCCCAGTGGGGCCAATACATGGAGCCCAAAGGGGCAGCACACCACACCAGTGTGGATGCTGCTGGTGCTGGTTTGGGGTTGACGGCACCGGGAGGACTCATCATGGCATGAGACAACCCATGGCTGGGCCCCAACCAGCTGCGGCATCACCAGCACCTCCCCGGGCACTGGTGCCCTTTCACGGGGACATGGGGTATTTGGGGACATGGAGGGGGCATAGGGACACAGGGCTCACGGCCTCACCTCAATCTCCTCGTAGCTGGCAGGCACACGCCGCTCCTCGAAGCTGATGGTGTACTGCCGCATCCACTGCAGCAGCAGCGTCACCACCTCGTAGTACTCCTGCCAGCGCAGCTGCAGCTCCTGCATGGGCATGGGCACGCATGGGCATGGGGACACGGGGACATGGATATGAGCGTGGATATGGGAACATAGGCATGGACATGGGAACAGGGGACGGATATGGGCCTCGGGATATGGGCACAGGACACGGATATGAGCATAGATACAGGGATATGCAACACGGGTGTGCAACAGGCGGACATGGGAATACGGGATATGGAAATATGAGGGACATAGGGATATGGGACATGGGTATGTGGGGGATATGGGGACACGGGGCCCGGTGCCGCCACCACCACAGGACGGGTCCCCCCCCGTTGTCCCCAACTGACGTTGGCCTTGACGCCGTCCTGCGCCTCCGGCACGCGCGGCATGGCATCGTACAGCGACGACACGTAGGTGATGATGGACTTCTCATCCGGCTGCGGCACATCCACGTCTGCGGGGACACAGCACGGTCAGGGGGTACGGGGGGGAGGTGGGGACGGTGGGGACGGGTTCTGGGGTGTCCCCCGGCACCTTCGGGGTCCAGCAGCCGCGTCACCCCCAGGTCGCGCTCGGCCACGGTGAAAGCCTGCTCCAGGTTCTCCAGGTTGCTCTGGCGGTAAACGCGGCTCATGTCGATGAGCATCGGCCTGCGGGAGCCACGGTCAGCACCGGCACCACGCCACTGCCACCAGCACCGGGAGCCAGCGGTGGCCCAGCGGCACCAGGCACATGGACCCAGAGCAGGCAGAGCCCCATGGAGTGAGCAGCAGCCCCCCCCAGCCCCACTCTGGGGCAAGAACAGCCCTGCTATGGGCTGGCATTAGCAGCACCCTGCACCAATGCTGTGTGGGGCTGAGTCCCCACAGAGCCCAAAGCAAGGATGGGGATGGAGATGGGAAGGGGAAGGAGATGAGAAGGAGATGGGGACATAAAGATGGGGATGGAAAGGGGATGGGATGAGGAGGAGGATGAGAAAGGGATGAGAAGGGGACGGAGGTGGGAACAAAAGGATAAGGAAGGAATGGGGATGGGTGGGGATGGAAAGGGAAGGGGATGGGGATGGGGACCTAGGGATGGGGACAAGGAGATACAGGAGAGGATGCAGATGTGGATGCTGTGCCCATGCCACAGCCGGCGCCGGCAGCACGTACTTGTGCCGGTGGATGATGGCATTGAAGAGGCGGCCGTCGCGCCAGCTCGCCGTGAAGTTCTCGCACCGCAGCCCCTGGTAGCCCTCGACCATGCGCTGCGACCAGAGGAGCAGCTTCTCCTTGGCTGTCATGTCCTCAGACTGCCCCGTAACCTGGATGTCCGAGATCTGCCGGCACACCGGTGGTTACTGCGCTGCACCGGCCCCATGGCACCGACCCCATAGCCACCACCCCATAGTAACATCCCAGCCCTGCGGCACCATCCCAGCCCCATGGCACCCACCCTACAGCACCCACCCCACAGCACCAGCCCCGGCACCACCTGGAAGTGCAGGATGATGGTCCAGATGAGCCCCAGCGTGAGCTTGGGGTTGCCGTCGGCAATGTCATCATTGCGGATGTTCACCAGCTTCACCTATGGAGCACACGGGGTTGTGGTGATGCCGCGGTGGCACCGGGGGTTCCGGGCAGCACCAAACCTCCCCAGAGCTCCCCTCACCTGGCGATGCTTCAGGTAGTTAAGGGCGATCTGTACGTTCTGCAGCTTGTGGAAGCGCATCCGGCCCTTCTCGCGGGGCTGCGGGGACACGGCACTGAGACCGGCGGCACTGGCACTGCCCCGGCACAGCCCCGGCACCGGCTGAGCCAGGAAACCCCTGGCCCGGCCCCGGGGCTGCTGCAGGAAGCGCGGCTCAACCGGACAATGGGCTCAGGCACCGGATCCCGCGCCCGCGCTTCCTCAGCACCGTGGCAGCACCACGGCAGCAGCGCGCACCCGGCCCTCACCCGCTGGGATGGAGCCCCTGCACCCCGTGACACCGGCACCGGACACACCAGGGACCCCCGACCCCCCAGGTGCACCAGGGGGGTCTGCTCTGACCCATGGCCGTGGGGCACCAGGGAAACCCCACTGGCTGCAGTGCCACTGATGCACCAGGACCCCGGAGCCGGCACCTCCTGGTGACACCATCACAGGACACCCACTGGGGCTGCTGTTATGGAAACTTCGCGGCAGGTCGTCATGCGGTGCTGCACCAGGACACGCGGTGCCGCACGGGGACTCGCGGTGCCACACGGGGACACGCGGTGCCATGCGGTGCTGCACCAGGACACGCGGTGCCACACAGGGATACGTGGTACTACACCAGGATACGCGGTGCCGCACGGGGACACGCGGTGCTGCATGGGGACACGCGGTGCCATGCGGTGCTGCACCGGAACTCGCGGTGCCGTATGGTGCCATGCGGTGCCGTGCCACCACTCACCAACCGCAAGCTCCGGACGACGTCGCGCTCCCGCGGCTGCCCGGCAGCGCCGGGAGCAGGAGAAGGCAAAGCCCGAGGGGGCCGGTGAGCGCCGGGGCACCAAAGCAAAGAGACGTCCCCGCGTTAGAGCCGCGGCGCCGGCATTGGCCAAGCAGGGGTGGGGGCAGATGCAGGGGGCACGAGATGGGTGGGGGGTGCCGATGGGTGGGGGTGCTGATGGCGACGGTGGGCGCTGACATGGCGGCGGTGGCGGCGGGTTCGGCGCAGGACTCACCAGCTTGTCCCCCGAGAGCACCTCGAGCAGCGAGATGAGGTTGTGCCCGTCCCGCAGGTCCTCGTACAGGTCGTTGACGTGGCGCTGAGCCTGCGGGGACCCACGGCGACAGCGTCACCGCGGCACAGCCCGGCAGGGCCCCGGTGCCCGCGGGTCACACTCACGCCCCCAGCTGCAGCCGGTGCCCCCCCAGCCCCACACAGCCCCCGTTGAACCCCCCCAGCCCCCTGCCCATCCCGGTGCCGGTGGCTGCGCCGCATGCAGAACACGGTTGTGCCGCGCGGGGCCGGTACAGGAGCGGGGTGTGAGTGAGGGGCAGCGCGGTGAAGCCGCGGCACACACAGACCTACCTCTGCTCGCCAGTGCTGCGCGGGGAGAGGCAGAAAGAGAGAGTCAGGGCAGGACCCGCACCGGCACCGCGGGCTTTGGGCACTGCGTGGGGATGCGCCGGCAGCAGGGCCGGGATCCGCGGCACCAGAACCCACCCCCCAGGCACCATGAACCCCCCCCCAGCTCTGCTTCCCCCCGGCACAGCCACCCAGGACCTGGCACCAGGGGCCCCGGTACCTTGATGAGGTGCTTGTTGACCCATTTGGTGAAGGTTTTCTTCTGGACGCGGTCTCGCTCATCTGCAAGAGAGCAAAGGGAGGGTGAGAGGCGGCACCGTGGCACAACCGGCAACACCACGGCACAACAGCCCTGCACGGCACCACGGCACAACACTGCGGCACGCTGGCACAGCACCACGGCGCTGCGCCGTGTCACTACACCCAGCACAACACCGTGGCACCACAACACAACGCCCCGGCATGGCAGCACAACCGGTGGCACCGCAGCAGCCTGGCAGGAAGCGATGAACCAACGGTGCCAGGCCCATGCCGTGAGTCATGGGGAAGGAAGCGGTTGCTGCAGGCCAGGCCCCGGCACAGCCCTGTGTGCCCGGGGGGGGGTCCCCGGCACCCGTGGCCCTGAGTCAACGGCTGCACCCACGGGGCCCGTCCGGCCAAAACGTGCCGGGATTCGCCCCGCGGCGCCGGAACGCGGCACCCAACGGGCCCAGGATGGGACGGGCACAGGAACAGGCAGGGACCGGGATAGGCACAGGCAGGGTACGGGATGGGTACAGGCAGGGTGAGGGCAGGGATAGGTACGGGCAGGGCCGGGCAGCGCCGGCGGCAGCTCAGGCAGGGCGGGGATGGGGCCGGCGCCAGCGTGGGGAAACGCAGCCTCGGGCGCGTCTGCCCATAACCTGCCCCACAGACACCGCCCCAGCACAGGGTCTGCCCCATAACCTGCCCCACAGACACCGCCCCAGCGCAGGGTCTGCCCCATAACCTGCCCCACAGACACCGCCCCAGCGCAGGGTCTGCCCCATAACCTGCCCCACAGACACCGCCCCAGCGCAGGGTCTGCCCCATAACGTGCCCCACAGACACCGCCCCAGCGCAGGGTCTGCCCCACAACCTGCCCCACAGACACCGCCCCAGCGCAGGGTCTGCCCCATAACCTGCCCCACAGACACCGCCCCAGCGCAGGGTCTGCCCCATAACCTGCCCCACAGACACCGCCCCAGCGCAGGGTCTGCCCCATAACCTGCCCCACAGACACCGCCCCAGCGCAGGGTCTGCCCATAACCTGCCCCACAGACACCGCCCCAGCGCAGGGTCTGCCCCATAACCTGCCCCACAGACACCGCCCCAGTGCAGGGTCTGCCCCAGAACCTGCCCCACAGACACCGCCCCAGCGCAGGGTCTGCCCCATAACCTGCCCCACAGACACCGCCCCAGCGCAGGGTCTGCCCTATAACCTGCCCCACAGACACCGCCCCAGCGCAGGGTCTGCCCTATAACCTGCCCCACAGGAACCACATCATAAGCTGCCTCACAGACACCACCCCAGCACGGGGTCTGCCCCAAAGGCTGCCCTAGAGACACCACGCCATAGCCTGTCCCACAGACACCGCCCCAGCGTGGGGTCTGCCCCATAACCTGCCCCACAGACAACACCTCAGTGTGGGGTCTGCCCTAAAACCTGCCCCACAGACACCACCCCAGCACGGAGTCTGCCCTATAGGCTGCCCTAGAGACACCAACCCATAACCTGCCTTACAAACACTGCCCTGCCCCATCATGGGGGTCTGCCCCAAAGCCCATAGGCTGCCCTAGAGACACCGCCTAGCAAGGGGGTCTGCCCCACAGATTTCCTGGGGGACACCACCCCATAAGCTCCCCTACAGACACTCTCCTGCCCCACAATGGAGTCTGCCCCAGAGCCACCGCCCTACCCCATAACAGGGGTCTGAGCCATAGATTGCCTCGGGACACCACCCCATAGCCTGCCCTGGGACACTGCCCCACAGCGGAGTCTGCCTCGGTTCATGGAGGTCCCGAACACACACTGCAGTCTCCAGCTGTTGGACCCACAACCCCCACACCCTGGCCACCTTCAGCCCCCCACCAACGCCACTGCGCCCCACACTAACCCCATTGTGCCCCACGCCACGGCCAGCGCCCCACGCCGCACCGCGGCCATCACCGCGCCCCGCACTGACCCTGCCGCGCCCCACATCATGGCCACCACCGCCCCACGCCACGGCCACCGCCCCACACCGCGGCGTGGCCACCTCCGCGCCCCACCGCGCACCGCGCCGCGGGTCCCGGCACCTTTCTTGCCCTCGGAGGCCCTGAGCACGGCCAGGTAGAGGTTGTCCTCGGAGCCCGAGCGCTGCCCCACACCCGGCCCCACATCCTGGCCCCGTCGCGCCATGGCGGAGGCTGCAGCGGCGCTGAGACCCGACACAACTCGCAGCCACGGCGCGGCTCCGACGGGACGGCCCCAGGGAGGAGCCGGGGGCGCCCTTCCCGCCCCACAGGAACCGCCCCTTAACCCCTCCCTGGCCGGGCCCGGGGCCGCGAGGAGGGGGCGGCACCTCCCTGCCCCACAGCGGGGGGGGGGCCGGGACTCCACGCCCCAGAGGCATAGGACTCAACGGGCGCACACCTGTAGGGCTCAGGACCTCCCCAGCCCCACGCGCCCCACACCTGAGGGGCCCAGAGCCCTGTCGAGGGGTTCCCGCAGGACCCCAAAGCTGGTGGCATCACAGCGGGGTGTCCCATGGCACCCACATCACCCATGGCACCCATTACAAGAGCAGCCTGAACCTTGCCTGGAGTGCAAAGGACACCGGGGCTGTTGCTGTATGATTCACGGGGAGGGCAGCTCCCGGCACCAGCACCACCGGCACGAACGGCACCCATCGGCACCCTCTCAGCACCCACTGGCAGCCACCGGCACCACCGGCATCCACCGGAACTCACCGGCGCCACCGGCACGACCGGCACTCACCGGCATCACTGGCATCCACCGGCACCCACCGGCACAACCAGCATCAACCGGCACCCTCTGAGCACCCACCGGCACCACCGGCACCCACCGGCATGACCGACACGCACCGGCACCACCGGCACCCTCTGAGCACCCACCGGCACGACCAGCACCCTCTGAGCACCCACCGGCACGACCAGCACGCACCGGCACGACCGGCACCCACCGGCATCCACCGGCACCCACCGGCACCCACTGGCACGACCGGCACCCACCGGCACGACCGGCACGCACCGGCACGCACCAGCACCCACCGGCACGACCGGCACCCACCGGCACCCACCAGCACCCACCGGCACGACCGGCACCCACCGGCACCACCGGCACCCACCGGCACCCACTGGCACGACCGGCACCCACCGGCACCCACCGGCACGACCAGCACCCACCGGCACCACCGGCACAGGTTGCCGCTGGGCAGCACCGGGCCGCGGCACGCAGGCGGTGCCGGCTGCACGCACGTGTCCTCCACATCTGGCGCCAAGAACATCTGGAGCTGCGGTGGGAACGGGGCTGAGGCCGGAGCCGCCCCTCACCGGGACACGGGCACCGGCGGCACCGGCAGGGCCAGCGCCGGCTCCGCTCGCGCCCACGGGCTCCGGCCCCAGCAGCACCCTCGGCAGCCGCCGGCAGCACCGCGGGCAGGAGGCTGCCAAGAGCCGCCAAGAGCAGGCAGGGCCCCGGCACCGCGCACGGAGCGGCACGCGTGTGCACACGGACACACAAACACGCGTGTGCACACGGACACACAAACACGCGTGTGCACACACACGGACACACAAACACGCGTGTGCACACGGACACACAAACACGCGTGTGCACGCACACGGACACACAAACACGCGTGTGCACACGGACACACAAACACGCGTGTGCACCACGGACACACAAACACGCGTGTGCACCACGGACACACAAACACGCGTGTGCACGCACACGGACACACAAACACGCGTGTGCACCACGGACACACAAACACGCGTGTGCACACGGACACACAAACACGCGTGTGCACGCACACGGACACACAAACACGCGTGTGCACACGGACACACAAACACGCGTGTGCACGCACACGGACACACAAACACGCGTGTGCACACGGACACACAAACACGCGTGTGCACCACGGACACACAAACACGCGTGTGCACACGGACACACAAACACGCGTGTGCACACGGACACACAAACACGCGTGTGCACCCGGACACACAAACACGCGTGTGCACACCATGGACACACAAACACGCGTGTGCACACGGACACACAAACACGCGTGTGCACCCGGACACACAAACACGCGTGTGCACACGGACACACAAACACGCGTGTGCACATGGACACACAAACACGCGTGTGCACACGGACACACAAACACGCGTGTGCACACGGACACACAAACACGCGTGTGCACCACGGACACACAAACACGCGTGTGCACACGGACACACAAACACGCGTGTGCACCACGGACACACAAACACGCGTGTGCACCCGGACACACAAACACGCGTGTGCACCCGGACACACAAACACGCGTGTGCACGCACACGGACACACAAACACGCGTGTGCACCCGGACACACAAACACGCGTGTGCACGCACACGGACACACAAACACGCGTGTGCACACGGACACACAAACACGCGTGTGCACACGGACACACAAACACGCGTGTGCACGCACACGGACACACAAACACGCGTGTGCACACGGACACACAAACACGCGTGTGCACCACGGACACACAAACACGCGTGTGCACCACGGACACACAAACACGCGTGTGCACGCACACGGACACACAAACACGCGTGTGCACCACGGACACACAAACACGCGTGTGCACACGGACACACAAACACGCGTGTGCACGCACACGGACACACAAACACGCGTGTGCACACGGACACACAAACACGCGTGTGCACGCACACGGACACACAAACACGCGTGTGCACACGGACACACAAACACGCGTGTGCACCTGGACACACAAACACGCGTGTGCACACGGACACACAAACACGCGTGTGCACACGGACACACAAACACGCGTGTGCACCCGGACACACAAACACGCGTGTGCACACACATGCACACACAAACACGCGTGTGCACACGGACACACAAACACGCGTGTGCACCCGGACACACAAACACGCGTGTGCACACGGACACACAAACACGCGTGTGCACATGGACACACAAACACGCGTGTGCACACGGACACACAAACACGCGTGTGCACACGGACACACAAACACGCGTGTGCACCACGGACACACAAACACGCGTGTGCACACGGACACACAAACACGCGTGTGCACCACGGACACACAAACACGCGTGTGCACCCGGACACACAAACACGCGTGTGCACCCGGACACACAAACACGCGTGTGCACGCACACGGACACACAAACACGCGTGTGCACCCGGACACACAAACACGCGTGTGCACGCACACGGACACACAAACACGCGTGTGCACACGGACACACAAACACGCGTGTGCACACGGACACACAAACACGCGTGTGCACACGGACACACAAACACGCGTGTGCACCACGGACACACAAACACGCGTGTGCACACGGACACACAAACACGCGTGTGCACACGGACACACAAACACGCGTGTGCACACACACGGACACACAAACACGCGTGTGCACACGGACACACAAACACGCGTGTGCACGCACACGGACACACAAACACGCGTGTGCACACGGACACACAAACACGCGTGTGCACCACGGACACACAAACACGCGTGTGCACCACGGACACACAAACACGCGTGTGCACGCACACGGACACACAAACACGCGTGTGCACCACGGACACACAAACACGCGTGTGCACACGGACACACAAACACGCGTGTGCACGCACACGGACACACAAACACGCGTGTGCACACGGACACACAAACACGCGTGTGCACGCACACGGACACACAAACACGCGTGTGCACACGGACACACAAACACGCGTGTGCACCACGGACACACAAACACGCGTGTGCACACGGACACACAAACACGCGTGTGCACACGGACACACAAACACGCGTGTGCACCCGGACACACAAACACGCGTGTGCACACACATGGACACACAAACACGCGTGTGCACACGGACACACAAACACGCGTGTGCACCCGGACACACAAACACGCGTGTGCACACGGACACACAAACACGCGTGTGCACATGGACACACAAACACGCGTGTGCACACGGACACACAAACACGCGTGTGCACACGGACACACAAACACGCGTGTGCACCACGGACACACAAACACGCGTGTGCACACGGACACACAAACACGCGTGTGCACCACGGACACACAAACACGCGTGTGCACCCGGACACACAAACACGCGTGTGCACCCGGACACACAAACACGCGTGTGCACGCACACGGACACACAAACACGCGTGTGCACCCGGACACACAAACACGCGTGTGCACGCACACGGACACACAAACACGCGTGTGCACACGGACACACAAACACGCGTGTGCACACGGACACACAAACACGCGTGTGCACGCACACGGACACACAAACACGCGTGTGCACACGGACACACAAACACGCGTGTGCACCACGGACACACAAACACGCGTGTGCACCACGGACACACAAACACGCGTGTGCACGCACACGGACACACAAACACGCGTGTGCACCACGGACACACAAACACGCGTGTGCACACGGACACACAAACACGCGTGTGCACGCACACGGACACACAAACACGCGTGTGCACACGGACACACAAACACGCGTGTGCACGCACACGGACACACAAACACGCGTGTGCACACGGACACACAAACACGCGTGTGCACCACGGACACACAAACACGCGTGTGCACACGGACACACAAACACGCGTGTGCACACGGACACACAAACACGCGTGTGCACCCGGACACACAAACACGCGTGTGCACACACATGGACACACAAACACGCGTGTGCACACGGACACACAAACACGCGTGTGCACCCGGACACACAAACACGCGTGTGCACACGGACACACAAACACGCGTGTGCACATGGACACACAAACACGCGTGTGCACACGGACACACAAACACGCGTGTGCACACGGACACACAAACACGCGTGTGCACCACGGACACACAAACACGCGTGTGCACACGGACACACAAACACGCGTGTGCACCACGGACACACAAACACGCGTGTGCACCCGGACACACAAACACGCGTGTGCACCCGGACACACAAACACGCGTGTGCACGCACACGGACACACAAACACGCGTGTGCACCCGGACACACAAACACGCGTGTGCACGCACACGGACACACAAACACGCGTGTGCACACGGACACACAAACACGCGTGTGCACACGGACACACA